CTTTTCCAGGGTTATGGATGTATATTAAATATATGCATGTGTATAATAAAAATCTTACATTTATATCCGTTATCTGGTACCTGTAACACAAGTTCTTTACGAACTTATTACGGGACCAGTTAACGTGGCGTGATTAAAAAAAATAAAAAATTTGACTTTTTGTACCTACGTATCTTTTCATAAATCTTTTAGTTGTGCATGATTTTTGTGTGTCACACAAAATGAACTTTATTTCTTTAACCATATGAGTTATAATAGTTTAAAAGAATATTTCTAAAACTCAATAATTCATGTATGAAGGATAAAGCACACTAGTTTGAACGGAAATTGTTAATGTTGTTGTAGGCAGCGGCTTGGCTCTGCCCCTGGCATTGCTGAAGTCCATGGGCGACGGTAACCACTCACCATCAGGTGGGCCGTAAGCGCGTCTGCCTACAAAGGCAATAAAAAAAAATTAAAAAAAAATCGGTTTACTGGTGGTTGGAGGTCTTGTGAGTCCGCGCGGGTAGGTACCACCACCCTGCCTGTTTCTGCCGTGAAGCAGTAATGCGTTTAGGTTTGAAGGGGGCAGTAATGCGTTTAGGTTTGAAGGGGGCAGTAATGCGTTTAGGTTTGAAGGAGGGGCAGTAATGCGTTTAGGTTTGAAGAGGGGGCAGCCGTTGTACTGTACTGAGACCTTTGAACTCTTATCTCAAGATGGGTGGCGGCATTTATGTTGTAGATAGATGTCTATGGGCTCCGGTAACCACTTAGCACAAGGTGGGCTGTGAGCCTCTCTAAAAAAAGGACTAGTTGATTAATAGTGTTTATAATGTATGTTGAATTGGGATCGCGGCGAATAAAATAAAACTATTCCACTTTTGCAGTTTAGTTGTTCTCTTCCAAAATCTTCTAGCATGAAAAATGAATTGCTGTTCGTTAGTCTCGCTAAAACTCGAGAACGGCCTGACCGATTTGGATAATTTGGTCATGAATTATTTGTGGAATTCCAGAGAAGGTTTAAAAGGTAGATAAATATGAAAATGCTCGGAATTAAATAAAAATAACAATATTCCGGACGGATTCATTTTGTTTGTTTTAAGTTTATTTTATACAAAAGCTTAGGTCTTTTATTTATCGATTGAGGCACTACGAAGTCTGCCGAGTCAGCTAGTAATTAATAAATAGACATGCTTTAACAAAAACCGACTTCAAATAGAAAAAAATATATATACCAAAACAAATTAAAATACACTAAAAACAATAACCATCGAAATCGATCGGCATAATATTAAGTCATTGAGTTTATTCATCTATTTGTCGCGCACGCACTTAATGCAAATTTAAGACTTATATGGTTTTCTCATGGATACCATTATCAGAACTGGACTAAATTAGAAATAGGACCACACGGGAAGCGTCAGCTTTCTAATAAAAAAAAAGAATCAGCAAAATCAATTCACCCAGTCAAAAGTTATGAGGTAACAAACATAAAAAAAACATACAGTCGAATTGAGAGCCTCCTCTTTTTTTGAAGTCGGCTAAAAATTAACTGACACTTTTTTACGCCTTTCTTGTTCAATCGTACTCGCCATCTTGCTTTTCTCTGTCATTCTCTTTTCCCTTTCTTACCGTATTCTCTCACTCATACCTTAACGCTCCGTTCCACACTCTTTTCATGCGTTCCTTTCTTACCAATCCTACAAGTATACAGTTGTTCAAAACAATGCCAATGTCAGTTTCTCCCATATGTTACGAATCATAAAATAAAACCCGCATAACTATAATTTGCGTAATTACTGGTGGTAGGAGCTCTTATGAGTCCGCGCGGGTAGGTAGCACCACCCTGCCTGTTTCTGCCGTGAAGCAGTAATGCGTTTCGGTTTGAAGGGTGGGGCAGCCGTTGTAACTACATATACTGAGACCTTAGAACTTATATCTCAAGGTGGGTGGCGCATTTACGTTGTAGATGTCTATGAGCTCCAGTAGCCACTTAACACCCACATAAGGAATAAAAAAAACTTCGATAGATGAGGTTTCATTAATTCTCTCCATATCTCTGTTTCAGTTGTACTGGCGGTAAGACGCGCTTTGAGAGCTGATGCATCCATCCAGCCTATTTCTGCCGCGAGGTAGTGACGTCGCAGTTTCCAGTGCGCTACAGCAGCTACAACTTACAAACAACAATAAATAAATAGCTGTTAACATTTCCTGTTGCCCTTTGTTAATATTCAACTTTATTATTCAGTCAAAAACGTATGCATGCTACATTCGAATCTCATTATTAATTAGTTACAATTGTAATTCAATTAACTTTTAATTGCACGAAAATGCGAGCCCCGCAACAATAAAAACTTTATAGAACAATAACGTTATGAGGCGCGACCGAATAAGGACGGGGCGCATGTTGTCCGTCGAACAAGACATGTGACGCGCGCCGACGCTAATACGCTTTGCACTTGACCCGGCTGTTGGGAGCTTGACGGACCATCCTTTTCTAACGCTCAGTTTAGATAGAGATAGAGAACTACACCAGATGCGATACAGCACTGCGCTCAGACTTTGTGGACACAATACTACCAGTTTCGTAACCAGACAATTCGAATCTCCATCCAACCCCACCCGAGAAGATAAAGATGAGATCGAAACTATTCCGGTTCCGCAAATCCAGTTTCTTTCTTCTTTCTTTTCAACGTGATAAGAGGCGAGCGACCGGGAGTCTACGACGATGACGTCACCGACGACACAGATTACACTTGTTCAACGCATCAAAGAATTGGAGCAACTATACTATTCTTCGATTGAAGGTTAGGAAGGCAATGAAACGAACAAATTAGATCCATCTACATTAATACATTAGTGAAGAGCTTATAATTGACTTAGTGAAAGTTGGGGTGGCCATTCATATGTACCACCACCCTGCCTATTTCTGCCGTGACGCAGTAATGCGTTTCGGTTTGAAGGGCGGGGCAGCTGTTGTACTTTAAAACTTAGATTTATTGCGATGTTGATGCCTAGGGGGCTTCGGTAATAATTTAACAATAACTGGACCGTGAGCTCATTCAACCATCTAAGCCAGCCTTTGCCAAAGTGAGCGATAACGCCCCCTTGTGGGCGCTGCAGGCCTAAAGAGGAGCGGTAAGAGACCCAGAAAAAAAAGGGGACGTTATGTAGAGGCTTGGGGGGCGATTTGTAATTTTATCTAGGAGGACTCGTTGAGACCTACTGAGCTCTCCCCATAGTGGTTTTTAAGTAGGTGAAAAAATAGGGGCGCTAAAAAATAATTTATTCTCAAAGTGGGCAGTAGACAAAATAAGTTTGGGAACCCCTGATCTAAGCAACAAAACAAAATCATAACAAATCGATAACTCTATTCTATTTACTTTACTACACTTTACCGAGTGACTCATTGGCAGATTATGGCGGTACCTACTGGTGCTCACAATGGCCCCTACCAGTGGTAATGCAATAAACGATTGCTTTGCGACAGACTAGCTTCACGGTTACTCCAATGTGGACCGGAAACGCTCCATAGAGGTCCTTCGCGACCGAGGCCTCCACAAACTAAAGAGGCCACTCATGATTCGTCAGTAGCAGCATTCTTGATACTGCCTTGCAAGTTTCCAACTCTTGGCCACCAGACGATGCTACCGTATACGCCAACATCTTTTTTTTCCCTACCTTTGCTGATAGCCTTTTTTTTATATCTTTGTTTAAGGAGATTATTCACCTAGTGAATATGTCACTCCATTGTCGTCTCTGAAGGCCCACTAATACTATTTTATAAAATGACAGCCATTTCGGATTCCGTAGAGGCTAATACGCAATTTACACCTCCAACTTCTCGAAAATCTGTACATTTTGCAAAGAATTGTTGTCTCAAATCATCATTCCGCGCACACTCCATAGCTGATAGCCTTGAGAGGCTATTTCAGCTTCGCCCTAACATGTAGATGAGCTCACGGGGCTCAAACCGGAGTGTTGCTAACACTGGCCCTAGCAAGAGCAGTGCTTCGCAGAATCTACCACCGGATCGGAAACGCGACCCACTGAGAAGATCCGGCGAGAAACTTAGTGGGCAATCGCCAGTATCACTGCTATAGATCCCGAGCAAGACTACTGTTTTTAATTCACAAGTACTCTAAGGGCTTGGTTTACTTCTTAAATCCCTGATACTCTTAAATATTAGTTGTAGGGTGTGTTACTGCACGGGTGAGTGCCGTCATGTCTCTATTCCTGATATCGTTGCTTGAAGAGTTTGGAGCCATTTTATCAAGGCAGTTGACAGTACGATCTTTTGCCTCAATATAGACAGCGAAGTTCACTTAAACTGTCTACGGGTAGCAGAGTAATAGCAACAGTGAAATCTCCAAGCCTCAACTGTCAATTTTAAATCACCATCTTTACGGAAAATTATGATTGTTTAAAAATATCAGCTTATCGTAAATTTTGACACTATTCTGGTGTGTTGTAAACACGATTTTATAATATTATTAATTTTGCTTCCGTATTCATTTAATATGTACCTTTATTACATTAGCATTGTTAACATTACATAGTCATAAAAACATGTAACAATAAAAAAGGAATACTAAATGTGTAATTCATAATTATCAAAAATAAATTAAACAAAAATAAGAAATAACCGAACTTTTATTTAATCGACAACGTCATGGCGCAGCCCTATAGACCTGTCCATTCCTGTATTCGGATGCCGTTATTCATTGGAAAACGAAAAAAGAAACTTGGCCGCACATTGAAAGTTCCTTTGCCTTTGTCGATGCAAAAAAAAACTAATCAACAGCTGATTTTTCATTATACTAATTATGATGACACTCCGACCACTTTCTCTTCGACAAAAATATGGCTGTATTTAAAAGTTTATATGTTACAAGTAATGTTAATATTTCACGCAGGCTGTTGTGATAATTATTGTGACGGAAATACGAACTTTGATTGTAACACAAATGCGCAATACACACGTATAACTAAACATATGTTAGATGACCAACTTTACTCACCTTTACGAACGGCATACAACTCGTCAAACTCCTAAATAAAACACCTGGGCTATAATATAACACTTCGGTAATAGTTTCTTTTTCTCTTAAAATACATTATTACACTTTTTGACAGCAGTACGGACGCGGAAACGCTGTCCAAGTTATATTTCAGCGTTTTTTTTGGGGTCGCGCGGACGAGCTTACACGGCTCGATCAGTCAAATTACTAAAATGTCAGCTGTGAGAAGTCCGTTCTCATTGGTCGAATCGATTGAAAATCTGTGATGCACACATTTATTTTCATTGACCTCTCGCTCTCTCATTGGGTTTCTCTTTCTAAGTTTAATGACCTTGATAGGGTTTTTCAGTAATTTTGAATCATATTTCACCATATTTGTATGGAATTACCGATTTTTTTTAGTTTTTTCGTGATATAGTCTTGTCTTTGAAGCACTTTAATGGTTAACTTGCTCATATTGAATCATATGGGAAACAAAGCGATGTGTCAACAATATTTGTATGTGTGCGTTAGGGACAAAGAAAACAATCTATTGACATTTGCAAAATATTCTGATTGGTCTAGGATTCACAGCTGTTTTTGACAGTCCAGCTTCCAGCTTCAGTTTCCCAATGTATCAAGAGATGGCAGCACACTCTGACTGACATCAACTAATTCCAAATTTTAAGCTTAAATAGTTTTAGAATGTATAAATATTAAGTTAAATATTTTTTTAAAGAATACTGACATGTATTACACCTTTTTTAGTAAGCAAAAGTGGTAAAAAAGACTAAAAACGATTTGAACTGAATTGATCCTATACAGTCAATTGACTAACCTAGTCCATGTAGCTATGGCAACGAAATTGCTTGTTATGATGCTAAACGGCCAAGTAAAATTCAATTGTACATCGTAGTGAAACATAATAAATTAGGACTTTTCAAATTAGTAGCATACTGCAATGTCTAAATCCAAATGAAATACAGCAACCAATTTCGAAGTGTCGAGAACTGTCTGAATATCGTTCATTATTCTTTAATTAACTTTTTTTTTTTTTTTTTTTTTTTATTGCTTAGATGTGTGGACGAGCTCACAGCCCACCTGATGTTAAGTGGTTACTGGAGCCCATAGACATCTACAACGTAGACGCGCCACCCACCTTGAGATACAAGTTCTAAAGTCTCAGTATAGTTACAACGGCTACCCCACCCTTCAAACCGAAACGCATTACTGCTTCACGGCAGAAATAAGCAGGGCGGTGGTACCTATCCGCGCGGACTCACAAGAGGTCCTACCACCAGTAATTACGCAAATTATAATTTTGCGGGTTTGATTTTTATTACACGATGTTATTCCTTCACCGTGGAAGTCAATCGTGAACATTTGTTGAGTACATATTTCATTAGAAAAATTGGTACCCGCCTGCGGGATTCGAACACCGGTGCATCGCTTCAACACAAATGCACCGGACGTCTTATCCTTTAGGCCACGACGACTTCACGACGACTTATTTCATAAGCAAAAATGGATTCTATTAATCTACTAGCCCGTGAAGATGAGTTCAAAAAGCTGAATAAACAACTAGAGAAGAAAAGTGAGAGCTTAATGAAACAAATAGAACAAGTATTGGTATGTATGTTTAAAGACGTTAGTAGTATTATTATTAAGTTTTCTCTCGAGTTCTTGACTCGGTTTAGTTCCTAGCTCCCGCCCTGAAACCTTCAGGGAAGAGGAGGTTCGGACTCCCTTGAATTTATGAAAACTGTATTACCCAAAACTTTACTTATTATTGTGCATGTGTGTATGGCTGCTTGTTTTTGTATTATGTGTATGCTTATATCTAGGGTCAGCAGACTAAAGCACATAAGTCAAAAAACTCTACTTTACAGGAATTAAAAAAAACTATTTAGAATCTTATACATTAACAAACTTAATAATGTTTATTTGAATTATATAAGTCTATAACACTAACTTATTATTAAAATTAAATATTTTAAAGTAAATGTGATTATTTAATAATTAGATGACTTAAGTTATAAGGAACACAATAATAGTATGAGTTAAGTGAAAAAGATCAACAATTAAGATATATATTATAATAATATAAGTCATAAATATAAATAACAACTCAATGTTTAATTAAAATTCTTCTTCTTATTCTATTATTCTTCTTCTTCTAAATATCTGGATCAGTATTTCGTAAAGTTTCCAACGTGGGAAGACTTATGTAAAATTCATGGAAAATATCTAGTATTAAAGGGAGCAGCGAAATTAAATAATTTTTTTTCTCGATGAATATGGGTAATGGCTGTATAGATATTATATCATCAGTTTGAGAACCCCCAATGGATGATCTCCTTTTCATAGCAACTGTCTTTATAAAATTGTCACTTTCATCTAACGGTTTCATTAAACATCCTCGGCAGACAGGTTCACCTTTACCATGCACAGTAAAAAAGTATTTTTATGTCTTCATTCTAAGCTTTTGCTTTTCAGGTTCAATATCTCGTATTCTTTGTTTAGATTTATCTTGAATTTCCATTAAAGACGCCAAGTATGCAGATCTTTTTGCATATGACCCCATTTGCCAATATTCTGTAAATATGGCACGCCTATCAGTTAATGGTATACGTTCTTTACATTTCATTCTGCAAACAGGTAACTCTTTCAAATTCAAAATCATTTATTTCAACTTAGATGTCAGTATAACACACTTATTGAATGTCAAAATATAAATAACAATGTTATCTCTACCACCGGTTCCAAAAAAAGCCACAGTCCTGAGAAGAACCGGCGAAACAAACTCAGCGGGCTTTTTTTTTTGTTTTTTCTCAAAAAATTTTTTTAATTCATAGTGCGATCTGATATACATTTTCCTTTTAAAGTTTTGTATGCCTGTCCTAAGTTACGTTTTATTCTTTTTTCTCTTTTTATAGTACGTATACTCTTTTTTGGAGACACATTAGGATTCATTGAAATTTCATCACAAGTACTTGAACTTGATGTGATTGGAAGTCTCGGTAATTCATAACATGGATATCGTACAGAATCATCACTAGAGAAGTCAAGTACAGAATAGTATGTTAAGCTACTGACTTGACCTGATGATGTCGACGGTATAGGATCGTCTACTACTAGGTTCTACTAGAACTCTGTGTTCAAAATCGACTGTTGATTTACATTTTCTAAAAAAGGACAAGACAATTAATTATCTATTTATAATGATATAATATTGATATAATTACGTAATTTGCAAATCATAATTTTGAAGATATGTGAAAATATACCTTCATTGCTTTCCAGATGAGTGGATGACGCCATTTCAACTAATTTCTTGCCTCTTTGAATATTCATCTTAAATAATTAAAATACTTAAGCACTCACACAAAACTAACCAACAAACTGTGCACAATCGACAACATTAGTAAATTAAAACCACTTACCGAAGTATTGTTTACGTTATAAATATTTTTAAGTAACCACTTTCTCTAAAGAAATGTTACATTTTGATGTTCTTTATAACATAAGTCAGACTTCTTACGTTAATAACTTTGTACTTATGGTGTTCCTTAGAACATAAGTCCAGTTATGTTTTTTAGTTCGTTTGACTATATTAGGATTTGATAAGGTTGATACAGAACGCCGCTTGAATACGCCATGAAATACTTGAGTTTGATTTATGTGCTTTAGTCAGATTGTGCATTGAGCAAAATGTAAACCGATGATGTAATAAAAAATAAATTGAAATTTTTGACTTATGTGCTTTAGTCTGCCGACCCTAGATATTTGCTTCCAGTTTGTTTATGTATCTATGTATACTTTTTGCCACAACGCCTGTTGCGCCTATTACTATGGGGATGGTTTCTGTGGTTCGTCCGTCTGCACTGGTATCTCCCACATTAGCTTCATTATAATTATTATATTATATTTAATAAATTATATTATATATTAGTTAGTATTAACAAAACTATTTAGTAATTAGTTAGTATTATATACCCAAATTCAATGTTTTCTTACCCAGTTTTCTTTTACGGTAAAACTTTTCAAATGCCTTAAATGAGCAGAGGAAATAATCTAATGTCAATAATATACCAGTGTTTATTAATAAAACGTAAAAGTGGCTTTAATTGTATTAAGTTTTCTTACCCAGTTTTCTTTTAAGATAAAACTTTTCATATCCCTTATATGAGCAGAGGAAATAATCTAATGTCAATAATATACCAGTGTTTATTAATAAAACGTAAAAGTGGCTTTAATTGTGTTAACGCCTCGCGGTGACTGAAGGGAATACTAAATAAAATGCATCTTGCACTTGCACTAGGTTTGTTCCTAATTCTTCTTTCCTTTTGCGGACCTACTGGAAGAGATTTCAACATGGAATAACTAGTGCCCTTGTACTCCGTATCCTTATTGTCGTGTTTCTTCTAACAGCTGTGTGTACAAATATATATTAAAATGCATCTTGAGGTGTTAGTGATTATGGTCGAATGTTAAAACAGTAGTCTGTGGACCACATACACGCGGAGAGCTTACAATGCCCTACGCGTTCAATATAATAATGCGTTTAGGATGATGTTGTCACTGCCGCGCTTTTGTAGTGCATCCACAATGTTTGCGACATCTCACACCGATGACTTCTTTGCAATAATGCGGAAGAGAAGTGCATCGTTATTGCGTCGAGTTCGTGACAGTGGCAACAGTCTTTTGAAAATCATATCGAGCAAGATCGAGGGACTGCTGATCAATAGCCTTTGCAGTAGGCACTTGGAAGGAGAAAAAATAAAATAAAAAATGTAATGGTATAAAATGTATATATATAATGATAGTTATGTGTTAGATTTTTTAAGTCACTAACATAGATATAAGTAATTACTACTAACAAAATGTTATGGTTTTAAAAAAAAAACTGAAATAAAGTATTAATAATAATAATAATAAAAACACTTGACGATAATTAATTTATATCATATCAATGTATCCACTTCCTTTATCCCAAAAATAAGACATGTCTAAAACCAAAAACTAAACAATATTTGATGCATTTACATTTTGTTTCAGCAAAAACCGGATTCATATTCAGAGTTCACAACACCAACAAAAAAACATTCGTGTGATATGCAAAAACAATTAACACCAACACGTGCACATAAGGAAACAAGAAATGTTAAAAGTAAATCAAAAATATCAAATTCAGTATCTGAACAACAAGTAAGCAGGTTAATTGATGCTGACGGATCGAATAATAACTTGAATAACGGCCCACAACAAATAACTGTTGCTTCGAATAGTGTTAGAACTGTGTGTGACTGCTGCAACGTTAAATCTAATGATATGGAATTCCTATATGCCTTTGTTTGTGTACATGTTAAAGACAAATTACTCCCGCAATCGTATGCAAAAGGTGTGTTGTCTATATTGTGATTATGCTCAATAATAATTAATTAAATTAAGACTTATAAATAGTACCGAGTGCAAGGTTTAGTAGTACCATTGTCAGGTTTTTTTTTTTATTGCTTAGGTGGGCGAACGAGCTCACAGCCCACCTGGTGTTAAGTGGTTACTGGAGCCCATAGACATCTACAATGTAAATGCGCCACCCACCTTGAGATATTAGTTCTAAGGTCTCAGTATAGTTACAACGGCTACCCCACCCTTCAAACTGAAACGCATTACTGCTTCACGGCAGAAATAGGCGGTGTGGTGGTACCTACCCGTGCGGACTCACAAGAGGTCCTACCACCAGTGAAAAACGGTACCAGGTACGGCAATGGTTCTTCTTCTTTTAGATAATTTGGCTCCAACGCCTTTGGCATTGATTTTGCCAATGTCAAAGTATTTACAAAAATAACAGGTGCTTAGAGAGGGAAAAAATTACTAAATCTAAATACAAGTAAATTTGGTCGGTTTTTCCATACGCGAATCTGTGGTTTTAAGAACAGCACAAACAAATATATGTTAGACTAACTACTTTAGAGATAAATATTATTAGCAGATAAAAATTTACACAGAATATTTACATGTTTAGAATAGACTAAAGTTAATAAACAATTAATATTAATAGGTCGGGGAATGTCATTGGGAAGGATATCATAAAGAGGGGATACGATATTGGGGCAGTCGAAGAAAATGTGATCCAGGGTACCCTCATCTAATCCACACTCACAAAGAGAATGGTCACGGACTCTAATTTTGGCAAGAAAAACAGGGGAGCAAACATGGCCAAGTCTAAGACGGATTATAGCTGAGACAATTTTTTTAGGAAGATGGCAGTGGGAGGAAAACCAAGGCTTAGAGGGCAGGGTCGGTTGCAAGTTACCATAATGCTTACCTACTGACGGCAATGGTTATCTAAAACTCTATGCCTACAGGCTATTCCGTACAATAATAATAATGAAGTTGATACTTATAAATAGTACAGAGTGCAAGATTTAGTAGTACAACTGGCCGGTTAGGCAATGATTATCCAGAACATGATACTGACAAGCCACTCCACACTTCACTGGACATTTGACTGTTTTAGGGAAGACCATAGTATACCTAACTATGGCTTACAATGTGTCCTAACATCATTATTTAACCAGAATTTTCTATTAAATGCTAATTACTATTTTGTAATTTTTAGATTTTGTAATGAAATGTAATTAGTATTTTAAATGAAATTTATACTAATTTTTTTGTTGCAGATAACATAACAGTAGAGAAAGTGTGCAAATTTCTGTCTTCAAAAATTAAGTTATTGCAAGAGAAAATAGACAAGTTACAAAGCACAATAAGCAGTAAGGTGAGCCTATCGACACTTAATCACTCAAGATGACATTCAAAAACCTATATTCCTGTATTATTTTATGTCATCAGTGTAGAAGCCACAGTTAAGAAGCGGAGGTGGGGGGAGTCTGCCCTCCACAAGATATGAAGTTGTTTGTTCATCTACACATTACCCATTCAACTTTTCACTGGTGGTAGGACCTCTTGTGAGTCCGCACGGGTAGGTACCACCGCCCCGCCTATTTCCGCCGTGAAGCAGTAATGCGTTTCGGTCCGAAGGGTGGGGTAGCCGTTGTAACTATACTGAGACCTTACAACTTATATCTCGAGGTGGGTGGCGCAATTTACGTTGTAGATGTCTCTAGGCTCCAGTAACCACTTAACACCAGGTGGGCTGTGAGCTCGTCCATCCATCCAAGCAATAAAAATAACTGATTATGATGAAATTATGCAGACACATTGTCATCTTCAGAAAGGCTGTAGCCAGTTCTTTACTGTTCCAAGGTGCTTGGTCCAATTGCGTTGTATAGCGGTTTGCTGACCCCTCGAACCGGAATGTCTATATAAGGGGACTGCGGCGCTGCTCTTTATTTTCACACGTGTTACTGGTTGTGTTATTACCTTGAATAGCACCCCGTCTCGTCCCGTGAGTGTAGTATAAGGAGACTAAGGGATTTACCAGATAATGGACAGCAGCGTTCTCTGCCTATTTCTGCCGCAAAGCCGTAATGCGTTTCGGATTGAAGAGTGAGGCAGCTTTGAACCTCGTTTCTCAAGATGCGTGACGAGATCCACGTTATCGTGTTTCATAGGCTCCGACTAATCAATTAACACCAGGTGGCTTCGTTCGTCCATATTTACAAACACACAAATGCCATGGTTTCAGACAACGCAATGCGAAGCGCACCTAACCAGACTGGCTGATCTGGAAAACGAGAGGATGTCTCTATTGAACAAGAACAGCAACCTGAGGACAACCTCGATCGAGATGAAGGCCAAATGTCATTCATTGCAGAACAGACTCGAGGTGGGTCTACGTCAGTTGGGTTAACACGTTGCAGCTGAGACTTGAATATCGAGGCTCTAGGACAGCCTTTCCCAAAGTGGGCGATAACGCCCCCTTGTGGGCGCTATAGCTCTAAAGGGGGACGGTAAGAGACCTAGAAAAAAATGGGGGCGTTGTTGGGGGCTTGGGAGGCGATTTGTGATTTCATCTAGGAGAACCTTTAGACACCGATTGAGCTCGATTGCTTGTATTCTTTTAAATGAAAAATGATATGAAGTGAAATGAGATTGATTTGAGACTTTAATCAATTGAGGTGAAATTAATTGAAAAGAGATGGGATGGGATGAAATGAAGGCTCAGCAAAATAGTGGTTGTGTACTGAGACTTTTTAGTGGACTTTTTGGAAGACCGTATTACTGGTGATAGGACGACTTGTGAGGCCGCGCGGGTACCACCACCCTGCCTATTTCTGCCGTGAAGCAGTAATGTTTTTCGGTTTGAAGGGTTGGACATCCTTTGTAACTATACGGAGACCTTAGAACTCATATCTCAAGGTGGGCGGCTGCATTTACGTTGTAAGTGTCTATGGGCTCCGGTAATAACAGGTGGGCTGTGAGCTCGTCCGCCTATTTATGCAATAAAAAGCTAGGTTTTTATTATTTATTGCCCTTGTAGGCAGACGAGCATACGGCTCACCTGATGGTGAGTGGTTACCGTCGCCCATGGACTTCAGTAATACCAGGGGAGAACTAGCGTTTGAAGAACATGTCATAACGCTCGGGAAACACCGTGGAGGGCAGCTCATTCCAAAGCCGGATGGCACGTAACAAAAAAGACCTCTGGAAACGCACTGTCGATGAACTGACGAACTATCGTCCAGCGGCTTTGTTACATTTTCCAAATTTGTGCACCGTCACTTAACACCGTCAATAAACACTTAACACATCAAAGATCAACAACACACAATTTCACTTCTCGCGTTCCCACCAAAAGTCTCCAGAGTGGTGACGTCAACGACCCACCGAGGCCTGCGCTTTACATTGCGCGCTTCAATATTTAAAACAAATTTCACCATTCTAAGGTTTATTCACTGGCGTGCCGTCTTCTTCGACAGTGTAGCTAGATGAGGGCGCGAACAAATAGCATCGCGTGATCTCTTTGCACTTTGAGAAGGCGGCACGACATGAGAACCGTCTTGTCGTGGCCGCTGGAAACTCGATACCCGACCCTGTAGACCGAATGGTAAACAGTCGACGTCGCCCAAAACACGTCATTACGGATCCTCCCGATCCATTAATGGTGCTTTTAGGTACCACAAGCACCGGTCATCGTCCTCGTCGAACCCGTCGCTTGCGACGAAGGGCTCGACGAGCGAATTAACCCATAGACACAGCCCATTGAGTTTGTCGCCGGATCTTCTCAGTGGATCGCGTTGCCGATCCGGTGGTAGATTCTGCGAAGCACTGCTCTTGCTAGGGTCAGTGTTAGCATCACTCCGATTTGAGCCCTGTGAGCTCATCTACTAGCTAAGGTTACGTTGAAATAGCCTCTCTTAGAAAAAAGAGATCTCTTTGCAGGAGAAAGATAAGCTTTACAAAGAGCAGAGGAGCGTTGCCGACACAGCCTCCAATGAGCTTAAAAAGTTCAAAACGAAAGTCGTCGGCCTGGAGGCGAGGTGCGCGTCACACGAGGACGTCATCGACAACCTGAAGCAGCAAATTGAGACTTTGAAGATCAACGAAAAGGTAATTTTTATTCACTCGTTGGACTCAACTTTTACCTTGTAAATCTCACGTGTAAGGTGTGAACAATCCATGTCTATGGGGTTGCTCAGAAATTATATAGAACAGATAAGGCTGTATGGGCTTAGATCCCCATGCCTTTCCTAATAAGGAAAAAATGTACCAAAAAAAAAGTGTATGAGGAAGAATTTTGGAGTCTATGGATAGCATACATTAACTTGTCAATAAATAGATAAAATGACTTATTGAAAATTGTGGTCTGGTTTTGAATTTTGAATGAAACGAAGGCTCAGTAAGATAGTAGTCGTGTACTGAGACTTTTTAGTGATCTTTTTGGAAGACCGTATTAGTTAGTGGTGGTAGGACCTCTTGTGAGTCCGCACGGGTAGGTACCACCGCTCTGCCTGTTTCTGCCGTGAAGCTGTAATGTTTTTCGGTTTGAAGGGTGGTACAGTCTTTGTAACTATACTGAGACCTTAGAACTTATATCTCAAGGTGGGTGGCGCATTTACGTTGTAGATGTCTATGGGCTCCAGTAACCGCTTAACACCAGGTGGACTGTGAGCTCGTCCACCCATCTAAGCAATAAAAAAAAACTGACGGTTTTGGTGTTATGCTATTTTGGTATAAGTCGATGAGCTATACTGGTGGTAAGCCGTTACAGCCAATAGACTAATGTAAAGCTGCTACTCGCCTATCTAAGGCCGAAGTCTCTGATGCACTGGAACAACTGTCCCGCTCCACGGAGTCAGGGCGACGCCAGCCGGAGCGTTACACTTTACCATCACCTCTGTTATGCATATGAAAACATTTGTTGACCTGTCGCACGTTGATAGAAATGCAGCAGAACCATTCACGTCATTACGGATCCTCCCGATCCATTAACGGTGCTTTTAGGTACCTCAAGCACCGATCACCGTTCTCGCCGAACCTGTCGCTTGCAACAAAGGGCTCGACGAGTAAATTAACCTACTGACTTTCACGCCTGATCTTCTAAGTGGTTCGCCTTTCCGATCCGGTGGTGGATTCTGCGATGCACTGCTCTTGCTAGGGCTAGTGTTGGCAAGGTTTGAGCCCCGCGAGCTCACCTATTTGTTAGGGTTACGCTGAAATGACCAACTTAAGACCATCAGTTAGGTAGAGAAAAAAAATTGAAACCATCTCCAAACACAAACGTGTATATATTCCAACTAGCGATCCGCCCTCGCTTCGCTTCCGAAACTTTAATTAATTATTGATTTCTCCACTATTTAATGGATGTTGTTATACATATAAACCTTCCTCTTCAATCAATCTATCTATTAAAAAAACCGTATCAAAATCCGCTGCGTAGTTTTAAAGATTTAAGTATACATAGGGATAAAGGGACAGAGAAAGCGACTTTGTTTTATACTATGTAGTGATTAGGTTAGGTTCATAATATATTTGGAATATAAATGTCATTATTGACGCCGCGTAGGAGATACGCGATTCAACCCGGAACTTGTCGTCCGCGAGCCAAGCCAAAATAACTAAACTAGAAGCACACGTCAACGCGCAGAACAAACAAATAGATAGACAAACAAGACTCATTAGTAACCTGAGGAGGCAGATCAGTCTGATGTCCACGAGTGGGGCTCTGAAAGTTTTGGAACAAGAATATTGCAAGCTTTTGGATGAGATTTGAGGTCAGTATAGATTAGTACAGCCCGGTTCCCCCACTCTGCGTGTTTCTGAGACTTGGCCTTGGTGTCTCAAGGCAGTGTGTCGTCGGTGAGACTTGACTGCCTATTTCTGCCGTGAAGCAGTAATGCATTTCGGTTTGAAGGGTGGGCCAACCGTTGTGGCGGTAGTTCTTTTGACGTTCAACAAGTATGTACTTTCATTTATGTTGAATTTTTTTTTTTGATTTGATTTGATTTGGTTTTATAACTATACTTGAGACCTGAGAACTTATGTCCCAAGGTGGGTGGCGCATTTACGTTATAGATGTCTATGGGCTCCAGTAGCCACTTAACACCAGGTGAGCTGTGAGCTCGTCCACCCATCTAAGCAATAAAAAAAAAACCTGTTGCAGAACTCAAGGTCACCGAGATCAGGCCGATGTGATCATGAGCACTACCGGTTAATCCATACCACGAGCCCCTGCGTCTATCAACTGGACTGTTCACAATTCTTACCGCGCACCAGCTGTCCCCTCCACGGTTTTTACTATGTCCTTACCAAGGTTATTGTCCTTGAGCGATGACCACCACTCGGCATCAGCGATAGATCAAACTATGAATTTGACGTGTTGATATATTGACCCTCACTGGTGTAGCGGTGGGGTAGTCTGGTCATCTTCCTCCACCGTGTAATGAGTAAGCAAAAAAGTACCCTTTCGCGTGTAAATAATCAATGTTTCCACTGCCAATCATCGGAACTCTGCCCTCGTTATCGCAATTCTAACTGTTACAACAAATAAGTTTGACATATATATACGGAAGTGTGTTGGTTAGTTTGTTCATCAGTAAGTTAACCCAGGGACAGGATTTTGGGAACATTGCTTAGATGGGCGGACGAGCTCACAGCCCACTTGATGTTAAGTGGTTACTGGAGCCCATAGATAACTACAACGTAAAAGCGCCACCCATCTTGAGATATAAGTTCTAAGGTCTCAGTATAGTTACAACGGCTGCCCCACCCTTCAAATCGAAACGCATTACTGCTTCACGGCAGAAATAGGCAGGGTGATGGTACCTACCCGTGCGGACTCACAAGAAGTCCTACCACCAGTATTTACGCAAATTATAATTTTGCGGGTTTGATTTTTATTACACGATGTTATTCCTTCACCGTGAAAGTCAATCGTGAACATTTGTTAAGTACGTGTTTCATTAGAAAAATTCCAACACCGGTGCATCGCTACATACGAATGCACCGGACGTCTTATCCTTTAGGCCACGCCGACTTTATGCTTAAATGGAATTCATAATTCAGAGAAGGATAATGGGAGGAGACGGTCACGACCCTCAGACATGAGAAATGCGCCTCAAGGAGCAGAGGATGAACGACCTCACGGCCCGCCTAGTATTAAGCCGTTACTTTAGTAGTTTAAGTTAAGCTCATAGACTTTAAAATCCGTCACCCGCTTCCAAACACGACATGAGATCTAACTCAGGAGTTATCGTAGCGACCCGTGCGGACTCACAAGACACCTTACCAACTTTGGACAGAGTCTTTAAATGTCGATAAAATCACAGACTTGACTCATTCATTTTGTATCAGTAATTGAACACGAGCGAAGCCACATGTCATCTCTAGTAATTAACACGAAACTATTCTAAAATTGTGAAGTTTTTAGAATAATAATTATTATTGCGCCATAGTTAAGTTGTTCACAGATTTAGTAATATGACAATAATTCATTTGTTTTTCTGATCAACGTCGGTCAGCCGACAAGCTCATGAGGTCGCCACCTACCTTGAGACAAGTTCTAAGTCTCAGTTTTACAGTACAACAGCTGCCGCACCTTTCGAACGTGGTGGTACCCATCCGTGCGGACTCACAAGAGGTCCTACCACCAGTAATCACGCAAATTATAATTTTGCGGGTTTGTTTTTATTACACGACTAGCGGCCCACTCCGGCTCCGCTCGCGTCTTTAACAAAAATTTAAACGATATTTGACGTTATTTAATTTTTTTTAATAAAATTAATCGTTATGCCTTTTTTACTGTTACACCATCTTTATTTCTAACGCCACAACTGCGTTCCTCAATGCGTTTCCAGACATAATTTTGGCAGACACCATCCGACTCTGGAATCAACTTCCCTCGTTGCTTGCATTGTCCTCTAAGTTAGGTTAGAATGGAGTCGGTTCCTTGGCAATGCACATGGCATTGATAATTTCCACAGGAAATGGTCACTTCATACCATGGGCGACATAAAATTGTGGTAATGTGTAAAACAAGTTTGTAAATTCTGAGAAACGTCTTTTGTTATTATGAGGTCGTATTAGTAAGGCGATAGCCTTTTGCACTTGTGTTTATCGTGATTTAACTAGTGATGTACTGGAATATTATCGATGATAAAATGGTTTAATATTTTTTCCGGATTTAGACAAAGAGCGTTTTCATAGCTTAGATGGGCCGGTGAGCTAAATATCTCGTTTTCTAAGGCACCTTCTTCAAAGCCCTGAATGTAAATAGAGCTACAGATAAATAGAGTTTTTGTCAATGTCTGAAGACTGCTAAGAAGCTAATTCCATAATATTTTTAATTAATAGAGTGATTATTAATAAAAAATACACACACCAAACAATTACGCTATTGTCATCAATCACCGTAAAAAATAACTTCGAATGGAATAATAACGGACACTATAAAGCACTGGAATTAAAATATCGGCCATCTTTTCACATGGTGAATGAAGGGCATGATCGTCACACTATATTAAAATTTAAGATATAGGAAATAAAAATGGCGGAATTTAAAAGGGAAAACATTTACCCATATAAATATATGGATAGAAGGTATTAATGACGCTGGATGTCCGGGGTCTCTTACCTATATCTGACAGCAAAAAGAAAAAATTAAGCGGACCAAAGTAGCTAGTAAAAGGACAAGTTTACCTAAGTCATTTTTACATCCGGTTGATGGAAGGCCGGCTATCCTCAACCCACGCTGGTTCTAACCCAACGGGGTATTCCGTAGGATAGACCATTCTAACCGGCGCCATCTAGGCGGGCTTCGGATAGCCTGCTGACCGAGAGGGCTGGTCGTGGCGCCGACGACCGCCAGTCCGGCGTCCCGAGGGGGAGGGTGATGGGAAAGATGTGCTCCGCACTAAACGATTCACTTTCCCCCCTTTGCCTTTTCATGAGCTCTGTCTCATGCAAGGTTTGGACGTTGGTTGTTCAGCGACAGGAGGTTTTAGTAGGTTCGACTCCGACATGCTCCGCCCTCCATCCCCAGTGAAGGGCGGAAGTCCGGCGATTTTTACCTGACCAAACAAAATAATGTCATTTTTAGCCTCTATTCTGCTACAACACTACCGCTAGTCCGACCGTCCAGACTGAATATCCAAAATGCAATAACAAACGCATCGTATCCGTCTGTGTACCATCCCCGGGGCTCAGTTGCAAGCTCAACTAATTACCAGACCAACGAAGCGACCAGCGAATCAACAAACGGCCGTCTGGTGTAGTGGCAAGGGACACGGTCACTACACCAGGGGGTCGCGGGTTCGAATCCCGCCAAGGGAAGATATTTATATGATAAAAATAAAAGCTGTGTGTACAAAATATATTAAATAAAATAAATAAATAAAAAATGTATTTTCCAGGGTTATGGATGTATATTAAATATATGTATGTGTATAATAAAAATCTTACATTTATTTCCGTTATCTGATACCTGTAACACAAGTTCTTTACGAACTTACCACGGGACCAGTTAACGTGGCGTGATTGTTAGTAAATATTTATTTTAACTAGGAGCATCGATAAAGTCAAATCTGTCCCAACCCTACTAGCCCGCGCAATACCTCGCGCTACCATTGTAACTCGAATTTCCTCCGAAAGCGCACGTCTTCTATCGCAATGAAATCTCTCGTGCTCCTCTGTCTGTCCTTGTGCGTCTGTGTTCAATCCTATCATTTTCTTGTCGGCGATATATCCAGTTCCTTGGTACATCACAAGCTGGTCCAATACAACGCGATACCTTTCATGAAGCGTGTGAAGAACTACTTCTACAGCAGTGCCGATAATAAAATTATTACAGTGAGTTATTATTATTATTATTATTTTTTATTGCTTAGATGGGTGGACGAGCTCACAGCCCACCTGGTGTTAAGTGGTTACTGAAGCCCATAGACATCCACAACGTAAATGCGCCACCCGGCTTGAGATATAAGTTCTAAGGTCTCAATCAGATTACAACAATCAGTTACTGTAAGGAAGTCCTTGGGTTTCTCTCAGTGTGCTTAGTGCGAGTTTCTTAACGTTTTCGATAGCGTAAAAGTTAACCCAATTTTGTATTTTACTGATGGTACGACCTCTTGAGAGTCCGCGCGAGTAGGTACCACCGCCCTGCCTATTTCTGCCGTGAAGCAGTAATGCGTTTCGGTCTGAAGGGTGGGGCAGCCGTTGTAACTATACTTGAGACCTTAGAACTTATACCTCATGGTGGATGGCGCATTTACGTTGTAGATGTCTATGAGCTCCAGTAACAACTTAACGCCAGGTGGGCTGTGAGCTCGTTCGTCTAAGTAATAAAAAATAAAAATAAAATGCAGTTGGAACAGCGCCTCTAGCGGCACTAAGCACACATGGGCGACATGCGTTCGTATAGGTTGTGGAGTCACCGCGTGAGCACGCGAGAAGCGCACTCGTTCTCTGAGTATATGTGTTTTTTTTGGATGGAATGGATGGAAAACTGTGGATGGACGCAGAGGTTCTAAGCCAGTGTTTCCCCACATGGGGACTACGGGGCTATTCATAATTCAGGGGGCCAATGCACTAAATTAATATAGAAAACCTATATAAAAATTATTTTGAATTCGAATTTCAGGTTTTTTATTATATGTTTTGAAATATTACTTACTGTATTTTGATAACAATTTCATAGTGATTTCTTCCTAAAACATATCATTTATGTTTATTAAGTGAACAAATAAATTTTTTAATGTAGAGAGGCCATAAAAATTTTAGAAATTTTACAATGGGGCATGGAACAAAAAAGGTTGGGAAACACTGTTCCAAGTTGTTGGATGAACTCTACTCCGAGAGCGGGTAGTATTGAAAACAACATAAAGGATCATCTCAAACCATTTATATATCGTGGGGTGAATTATATAAGCAATATATTCGCTGCGCATTTAAAATTAAAATTATTATTTATTGTTATTATTATTAGGAAGTCCAACACTCATATAAATATTAGCCTATCCATTAAGTACATGTATTTTCTGCATGGATACCAAGTTTCAAGTAAATCGGATGCACGGTTCAGTAGTTATAACGGAACATCCGTAAAAACCACTGTAGATTTATATATTAGTATAGATATAGATAATTTGGAAAGAATCTTCTTTTTCTTCACCTTATCCCACTAGGTGGGGTCGGCACAGCTAATTTTTCTCTTTCATTCTCTTCTATCAGCCGTCATCTTAACACTCACTCCTCTCTCTCTCTCATATCGTCATTCACACACTCCATCCATGTCTCCTTCGATCGACCTCTTCCCCCTCTACCTTGCACTACCATTTCCATACATCTCCTAGTCACATGCATCTTCTCTCTGCGCATCACATGTCCATACCACGATAACCGTCCGCTCCTTAATTTGTTGCTTACCGGGGCCACTTTCACACTTCCTCTGATATACTCATTCTTTATCTTATCCATTCTTGTCACTAATTTGGAAAGAATATCAGAACAAAATAACTTCTTTATCTATTTGAATGGAATATACTCAATTGAAGTTCAATTAACAAACATAGAACTGTTGATACTAGTACGAAATAAACCGGACATTTAATTACAAAGATAAATGTGATATAAATAATAAACCAAATAACCTTTTAACCTTTCGATATATTGATGCTCGTGTATCATCATCATTCATCATTCTTTCCCATTACCAGTGGCGGATTTGCAGTCTCGGCCGCCCTAGGCCCCAAGCCGTCAGCCGCCCCTTTCTCAACATCCAACATATAGACTACATAACGAAATTACTCTATTGCCAACTTTTATCTGAATAGATTTAGAAATTTAGGAAAAAAAATTAGTTTTATGCGGTCCTTACTGGTGGTAGAACCTCTTGTGATTACTGGTGGTAGAACCTCTTGTGAGTCCACACGGGTAGGTACCACCGCCCTGCCTATTCCTGCCGTGAAGCAGTAATGCGTTTCGGTTTGAAGGGTGGGGCAGCCGTTGTAACTATACTTTTCTTTTTTTTTTTTTTTTTATTGCCCTTGTAGGCAGACGAGCATACGGCCCACCTGATGGTGAGTGGTTACCGTCGCCCATGGACTTCAGCAATGCCAGGGGCAGAGCCAAGCCGCTGCCTACCGTTTAATACTCTCCACAAGCCTCGTTTGAAGAAGGACATGTCATAGCGCTCGGGAAACACCGTGGAGGGGAGCTCATTCCATAGCCGGATGGTACGTGGCAAAAAAGACCTCTGGAAACGCACTGTGGATGACCGCAGTGGCTCCAGGTAGTATGGATGAACTCTACTCCGGTGGCGGGCGGTGCGATGGTAAAAACGAGATGCCGGTATCATCTCGAACAATTCCTCAGAGCACTCCCCATGGAACATACGGTACAAAATACAGAGGGAACCGAGACCTTAGAACTTATATCTCATGGTGGGTGGCGCATTTACGTCGTAGATATCTATGGGCACCTGTAACCACTTAGCACCAGGTAGGCTGTGAGCTCGTCCAACCATTTAAGCAATAAAAAAATAAAATAAAAAATGCCACCTTTTATCTAAATAGATTTAGAAATTTAGGAAAAAAGTTAGTTTTATGCGCCTATATATTGCATCATGCAGTGCAGTCCGCCCGCCACACGTTATAATAAGTTTTTTGACACAATTGGGGCCGCCCCTAAATCTGGCCTCCCCAGGCCCGGGCCTACTGGGCTTTAGGGTAAATCCGCCACTGCCCAATTACTCCTCTGCTGGGGTGTAGGGCTCGAATCATCCACGAACCGATCCATTTACATTCAGTCTTAAGGACCGATGACAATTCAATATTAAAAAAAATATTGAACAAATTGAAATTCAACTAAAAAATTAAAAATAAATAATAAATAGTTTAAAAAAACTAACAAAATACGCTTTTATAGAAAATCCAATTAAAAAATAGAAAATAAACTTTATTATTATTTATTTATTTTGTTTCACGGCCCGTTGACCTTAATATTTATTCATTCAGGGTATCCAAGCGTTGGACTCGCTCAACAGTAAGGCGACCGTGAACATTACTGCGGGCGGTGTCGGCTACCCGTACGTGAATATGCGCATGAAGAGTGAACGCGGATCCGGCCTGAGTTACGACATCGGAATATACGTCAACCAGAACTATTTAAGAATAAATTGATTTGAAACAGTCACTGTTTTATTTATTACTCTTCGTCTGACGAGCTCACGTGCGAGACTAGGCTTTTTTTATTGCTTAGATGGGTGGATGAGCACAGCCCACCTGGTGTTGAGTTGTTACTGGAGCCCATAGACATCTACAACGTAAATACGTCACCCACCTTGAGATATAAGTTCTAAGGTCTCAGTATAGTTACAATGGCTGCCCCACCCTTCAAACCGAAACGCATTACTGCTTCACGGCTGAAATAGGCACGGTGGTGGTACCTACCCGTGCGGACTCACAAGAGGTCCTACCACCAGTAATTACGCAAATTATAATTTTGCGGGTTTCATTTTTATTACACGATGTCATTCCTTCACCGTGGAAGTCAATCGTGAACATCTGTTAAGTACGTATTTCATTAGAAAAATTGGTACCCGCCTGAGATTCGAACACCGGTGCATCGCTCAACACGAATGCACCGAACGTCTTATCCTTTAGGCCACGACGACTTCAAAATTGATGACAGGATGACATTTTCAATCGAAAAAAATAAGAGTTTGGTTTTACATAATTCATTCATACTCTGTAAATGATTTCTTAATATTTTATATAAAACGCAATAAAATCTCTTATTATTGTTCAATCATTTTAGATTGTTCCATATAATTTTCTATATTACTTTTGCCTAATATCCTGGATGGATAATAAGATCATGACGATGCATCACAACCACTTGCTCTCAAAGCGTTTAAAGTACATAAAATAAGGCACGTCAAGATTTTCAAACCCATTGGATAAGCTGAAAAAAAAAAGGCCTAGGGGTAGAGGTCCCAAACGATGGTCGGACCAAATAGCGGAGGAACTGGGGATACCTATCAGCGACGCACTCCACCGGGCTGCAGGGCGGGATCGATGGAGACAGTTGGTTGACGAAATCGGACGGAGTCACGATCCTCAGCAGTGAGGAACCGATCGAAGAGAGAGAGAGGATAAGCTGATATTCTATCATCCAAACCGAAGTGCAAATTGCATCACAATAGTAATGGTCTAGGCGGTGCCAATAAATAGCATGTCCTACCACCTCTGAAAACATTTGCATGTAAAAAAATCGAAATAAGTTTTTAACGTAATCTTTATACATAAATATTTCTTCTGTGCTTGTGTTTGTCACTGAGCTCCTAAACCATACTGGTGGTAGGACCTCTTGTGAGTCCGCGCGGGTAGGTACCAACGCCCTGCTTATTTCTGCCGTGAAGCAGTAATGCGTTTCGGTTTGAAGGGTGGGGCAGCCGTTGTAACTATACTGAGACCTTAGAACTTATGTCTCAAGGTGGGTGGCGCATTTACGTTGTGGATGTCTATGGGCTCCAGTAACCACTTAACAGCTGTCAGCTCGCCCACCCATCTAAGCAATAAATAAAAAGTAATCTTTATATATATAGATAAATATTTCTTCTGTGCGTGTGTTGATTTGAATGATTTTTTTGTATGCGTTTGAGTGGCGCCCTGGATGGTTTAGGTTCACAAACCAGCCCGGCAGATGGCGCTGCAGTCGGTATCTAGGTTATTTATCTATACTACAGCTAAACCGCTAGATCGACTTGAATGAATTTTTGCAGGTCCGTCCGGTTTTGTCGGGTCCGTTAGTCTAAAAATATTTTTGTTCATAGACAAGTCATAAAACTTCCTTAGACACAATATTAACATTGACGTAACTTAAACAAGAGAAGTCTAAGACGTTTCGCCTCTCAAATGTGTATTTCTATTGAGTTTACTTTAGTTTATATTAATATGATTGTGAGTTTAGCGTTTGGCTAATGTTATTAATCAATTTTTTATGGTAAGCAAGATGTTTTTTTTTCTTGAGAAACCACCGGATCATCAATGTTATTCCTCGGGAATGCTTGTGTGCACTGCATTTGAACTATGGTATGGCATTGGTATTGGCATCATAGTACCCTGTACTCAACATTTCGTGTCTGGTACATGTTTCTCCTGCGAAATAACGCTTGTTATTGACAATGGCGGTCGACTCCGGCAAGCTGCTCACGGAGTTAAACTCAAACATTGTCTATGTCAATTTGATACTTCAGACATTGTAGTATGTCTTTCAGAAATTCTGTAAATATATCGGTACACGTTTGATTCGTTTGCAGCAATGATTCTGAGGCTTGTTTTTAGTTGATTCTAGTCTTTAGGAACTCCTGAATACAAATCATTTTGTCCGCTTCATTTAATACAAGAGGATATTTATTTGTTGCCAATTCATTAAACATGTGTTGATTTATTACAAAAATACACACAACAAAATTCATATTGACATTAATAAGCTTTATTAATAAATACCATTGAATTAATGAAAAAACAATACTTGCACAAAAGTCCTTCCTAACAGTTACTAACCTTACTTTTATATTTCAGTTTACTATATCTAATGGTGCCCACCGAATGTTACACTATATCTAAAAGCAATATAAACAATAATAGATTGGATGATGGGATTGGCAATTTCAATCTCTTCGACGACGCAACACATCAATTGGCAGTACGTGACCGTAAAACTTCGTTTAAACACAAAAAAATAAAACACGAAACGCAAAATGAAGCTTTATCAAGGAAAACTACAAGAAACAGTGAAATTGCTTATGATAACACTGAACTAAGACCTAATTTGAATTCCAATGAAAAATCTAAAAGAAACCTAGGTGGATTTTGGAGGAAACTAAAACCAAAAAATCACAAATCCAAAATTAAAACTACAGTTAAAACTTCAATGAAAAGCTCGACAAAAAATTACAATATTAGTAGACTAACATCTCGTGTTGCTCAAAACCAAATGCTCAAACTTACTAAGAAAAAAAGAGATATTAACACTAGATTGACAACATGGAGACATCACAGTAAAAATCATACAGCAACACATAAACACGCTAACAAAACTCAAAAGACTACAACCAGAAAACAAACTTCGAAAGTAGATGAAAATCTTCATAACGTACTTGCAAATTTGACTACAAAGCTGTATAAACTAAAAGAGAAATACGGAATCTACAACGAAGAAATCGGAATACCAGCAACAGATGCATCAACGACTAAATTGATGCAGTTGAGTGATGATGAAAATTTTGGAACAGCAGAAATTGAGGCCTTGCTGGACGATATGAGGAGTAAAGCTATTTCAACGATGGCGGAACAAAATCCAGGCGTTACCGATTTAATAACCAGCTCTGTTACTGAGGCTACCTTTAAATCTGATCCTCTGTTGAAAAATCTAGAAATCATTCCTGGTCTTGCCTTAAGCACTTTAGTTTTCGCCAACAAAGGAGCTAATCTCAATGAAACGGTGGGAATGGGTTCAACTGAATCACATGACGTCAGAGCTAGATCAGTAAAAGATGAGGCTCTCTCGACCGCACAGAAGATAGAAGATAAGATACAGAAAGGATTTAAAGGTTTTTGCAAGAAATTGAAGAAGAAAGTTACACGTGATTTTCGTAAAAATGATTTACAATCAACGTTAAGGAATCCAAAAAAACATCACACTCCTAAACTCGTACCAACATCATCAATATCCCATACTGTTCCATCGACTACGCCTAAAACTCATACATACAGCGCTCCAAGTCCTATCCTAAAGCCTAGTAAGTTTGCGCGGAAAAATCGTGAAATGAAATACAATGACTACAACAAATACTATGTTAATAATTATAAAACTGGTACTGCACCAGCGATGGATGATGCATCTATGCTGCCTGTTTACGAGAGAATGCTTGAGAAAAGCCAAGAAAACAACATAATGAATATACTCGCGACAAAAGACAACATTGATAGAATTAAACGAACTAAAAACGATATAGAAGTCACGAAAAGTAATAAAAATACTAATATTGAATTATATGAATATGGCGAACAGATGCCTGATGATTTATATTATAATATGGATAAAGCAGAGACAACGAGCACGGATAACGATGCTCCTATGAACTACGATGATGTGACATCTCCGAATTACGATATGAGCAATGTCGATAACGATGTTGGTACTTCGACAGCTCAGCCAGTACCAGAGGACACGAGCTACGAAGGACTGTCCGACAAAATATCGTACAAAGCCTACGTTAACGGTTACAAGCATTATCTGAACTTTCAAAGGGAGCAGGGCAATCAAAACTTTTCAGACATGATCAAATACCAAGCGCACAGGCATCACAATGTGGACGATATAGGAAAATACATTTTGAACAAAATACCGGAATTGCCACGCGTCAAGAGATTCTTTGATGATACCGATATTGAAGACCAAGATTCTTCGACGAAAAGCGACGAATCGTGGTTCAGAAAGCATTTTTACATATTCATCGACAATAATCCCCCGAAAAAATATCACACCTCCGAAACTGTCTCATTGAAATCGCCCACGACTGAAAAACTGGTTACCTGTCAACGTAAAAACTTGTCTGAATTGGAACTTAAAGATAGAGTGAAGCTAGATCTAGATAAAGATAAGGACGATACTGAAGATTTTAATTTGGATGAGCTTGAGAAATCTTTGGAGAGTGATTCGATCGCGAAGTCAACGGCAGGTAACTTTATGATATTTGTATCATTAATTAAAACAATTTAAATACAATAAGTGGTGTACGTATTGATACAGGAATGTTTTAAATCTATGGACTTCACGATAACTCTTTTTATACTGTTTAATATTTGTTTATAAATTAACAGAATTTTATCACTCGTTCAAACGTTGTTAAACTACGTTGACTAGATACTCTGACCTTATATCTCGAGAAGTTCTTATTAGGTCAAGATAGGCCTATGTTCTAATTGGGTGATATCCTAAAATAACAGTAGGTCGTGGAGTTCAAATACCACACAATTATTATGAAACTGTAGCTCTGTATTTACTCTATATTGTAAATCCGAATACGCATCAATATTATGTACCTTGCACTTTTCAAATATTTAATTTTACCGTACTCGCATCACGTATGACGGGTCACAATGAACGTGCCATGCACGCACGCACATGCGTTCAAAAATTTTCCTGTGTAATTCAATATTATTTGTTGATATAAAATGCGTGAAATCGATCTATTAGAAAAATTTTAAACTAATTACTCTTCTAATATGGAGTAAATACAGTACGGCTGCTTAATGATATAAAGTTGTTCATAATTAATCGTAATACAAAATTAATCTAACCTAAAATTCTTGCTGAAGAAAAAAGCACAACAAAAGAAGCCGCCACCGAAGACCATCTTAATAAAGACAACACTGATGAAATAACGTCACAGAAATTTCTGGACAAGTTATTCAGATTGAATAGAAAGACGACCAGAGATGATTTAATAGATTACGATAAAGATTCAGATATTCGTGTAAATAGCTTCGACGAGACATACGATGATGACTATAACACAGAATTTATATTCGCCGATGCTAATGATAGGATCAAGCGCGACGAGAAGAAATCAACTATATTCGAGATTACAAATCGAATTTTTAAGACAAATAACAATAAACTTGACACTAAGGATCTGAACGGCGCGAAAATCTATACAACTGTGCCCACAACGTGTTCGAAAGACGATAACACAACGGCGAATTTAATTAAAGATATTTTACACATATTTCAAAATAATAAAAAGGATGACAATAAAAACAATAGGCACCGAAGGTTCAGTCCGTTGAAGCGTTTGAAAAACATTTTTCGTGTTAAAACCGATGAGAAATACACGAATGTAAATTACAATATTCATGATTATGAACTTATGACAACTGATCCGGACGTCACTCCCATGAAGTACCACACACCGGCAAGCGTTGAAGATATTATAGAGCAAATACCTAATATAACTGCTGATGAGTCTTTTAGCACGAAGATTAATGAGCACGCAGAGATGGAGCAAGCAGCAGATACAAAGGGAACTCAAGCTCTCCCAGAATTCAATGGAATTAAGAAAGACGCATATTTTCGAATAGGTAAGTAAGGTCAGGCTTAAATACTTTTTTAATAGTTATTTTATTGCTTAGATGGGTGGACGAGCTCACAGCCCACCTGGTGTTAAGCGGTTACTGGAGCCCATAGGCATTTACAACGTAAATGTGCCACCTACCTTGAGATATAAGTTCTAAGGTCTCAAGTATAGTTACAATGGCTGCCCCACCCTTCAAACCGAAGCGCATTACTGCTTCACGGCAGAAATGGGCAGGGTGGTGGTTTCCTGCCTATTTACTGGTAGCCATAGGAGCTATTGCAGCTTCTCGCGGACGATTAGGTGAGCTCACGGGCTCAACCTGAGAGAATTTGCTGACACTAGCCTTAGCAAGAGTAGTGCTTCGTTGAATCTACCACTGGATCTGAATCGCGACCTACTGAGACGATTCGACGAGAAACTCAGTGGGCTGATCAAATTATTAAAATACAGTGCTATTATGTGCCATAAGTAGTAGAATCGCATCATCTTATACTTATGTATTACTGCATCTATATAAGGATTCTTTGTAAGCAGCGACTTAGATGTAACCTCAATCGTTTATACAGACAAAAAATCCCTTATTGTCAACTTTTGTTATGGTCAAGTAAGTATGTAAACCGATTTTTCATTCCATTTTTTTCTTGCTGAACAGATTTTGCTAATTCTTTTTGTAAGCCGGCGCTTCTCGTGTGGTCCCATTAAAAATCATATTAATATCTAACCAGTAGTGTTTGAGTCACTGGTCGTCTGGACGTCTTATGAGTGCGCACGGGTAGGTGCCACCACCCTGCCCATTTCTGCCGTGAAGCAGTAATGCTTTTCGGTTTGAAGGATGGGGCAAACATTGTACTGTTAAAACTGAGACCTTAGAACTCATGTCTCAAGGTGGGTGGCGGCATTTACGTTGTAGATTTCTATGGGCTTCGTGTAACCAGTCAACACCAAGTGGACTCGTCCAACTATAGAGCAATAAAATAATTAAAAAAACTTCCCTAGAAGTGATGAAATCCTCATTTCACTTTGTCGGTTTTCGTTTGCGTACTGTGACAGATGACTTTCACGTGAGCACCACGAACAAATTGAAAACGAAGCCCAGAAAAGTGTACGAGGACAGTCTGATGAATGTAAATGTCAAAACTGTGACCGCTCCCCGTGAATGGCTACAAGCGGATCAAGGAAACGAAGCATACACCAAACAAAAGGAATACAACGTGCAAGGTAGGTAGGAGGACGTGATTATTTGATTGTGGAGAATATTAAGCGGTAGGCAGCGGCTTGGTTGGCATTGCTGAAGTCTATGGGCGACGGTAACCACTCACCATCAGGTGGGCCGTATGCTCGTCTGCCTACAAGGGCAATAAAACAAAAACTAAGGCAGAGTTTGAATGGTTTAACTCAGGGGTCGGCAACCTGCGGCTCGCGAGCCACAAGTGGGTCTTTGGATATGAAACTGCGCCTCTTTAGGAACGCAAATATTACTTAATTTAAAATTTTTTCTGAATCGACTAACGAGGATTGGGCACCGTTTCTATCTCTCAACCCATTGTTGTAAATAAATGTTTGATTTTTTCATTTTTTAGTTAAATAATAAGTGATTATCGAATAATACCATAATAATTTAAATCTATTATATATTATCTAAAATATACATTTAGTCAATAAAAAAACAGTACAAACACTACCATGTATTTTATTTGACACGCACACCCATGTATACTCTTTTGTTTATTGTTAAAGTCTGTGGTAAAATTGAGAATAGATTAATATTGTTTGTCTTTATTATTATTTGTCTATAGTGTAGTCTTGGCGAAACCTTGGCGACCTACTAGTAAAGATAACGTATTTTCAATCCACTCGGTAACGTCAGCAACTGTCAAAAATGACATTTAACGTGGTTTTGTATCACTTCCTAATTGACGCCCAGACTGTGGACTTGCTTTGACTTGCGCCACAAATTGAACACATGACCAAATGTAGAAATTTGATTGCAGTACCCGATCGAGATATTGTATTTAAACAGTCGCAACTAGACAAGATTCCTCTAGCAGTAATAGACAAGGGTGTAGACGAATCTAATCGAGTTGCAGAAAAACCACAAGTTTACGAACCGATCGACGGAGATTACAACGAGAACCGTCCCAATGGCACGTTGAATTTGGAATATAGTTTGTTCAGATTTAAAAATGCAGCTAGAGATTTTAATAGGAGTCAAAAATCTACGCCTTTCCCACTAGATGAGGTGAAACCACAGGAAATGGATAAAAAGTTTACGCCGCCCGACTATTTTGGGGATCTGCTAATCTGGCATAATGATATACTAAATTCTGATGAGGTACCGACGCCTTGGAAGGACGCTGTATTCAATTTCGAACATTCCGAATACAAAATACCTAAAGTTGATTATTTGAAAGAAGGCAAAGACTATTTAAAGTCGCTTGAAAGTAAAGACAATAGTGCTAAAGAAGAAAATGCCAAATTTAAAACAAAAATCAATGAAATTTCCAATAAGGCGGCCAGGAAAGTTAAGAATACTGAACTTTCTCAGAAATTTGATCAAGTCAAGAATGATTTCGATGGAAAACAAAATAGTTTTAACGATTTTGTGAATAATAGGGGCCTTACAAAAGCTCAAGTTTTGATTAAAACTAGTGAGAGGGTAGGAAATAGAAGAACAAATAGTGCAAGTATGAGTATTTTTTTATTCCTAATACCTATTTAATAAGCTAAGTAAATCAACTGTTCAGTGCTCTGTATACATACATAACATTGATACCGGATTATTCAATCCGTTTCTGTAGGATAGTCGTCGAAGCACCGTGGTATATAGGGAATGTTGATCTTCATGACGACCTAAACATAGAACCGATACGTTAGTACCTCAAAGTAGCATCGCAACGCTACTTTGAAAAAGCGGCGCGACACGATAACCCTTTTATCGTGGCCACCGCTAACCTATATCCTCGACCCAGGCGACGGGGCAACGCAAAGCCGCCGTCGCCCAAAGCATGTTTTGTCGGACCCCCCAGATCCACTCTCTCTCTGCTTTTAGGCTCTTCAAGCACCGATCACCATCCTCGTCGAACTCGTCGACTCCGGCGAAGACGTGCGAACTAGCCCATAGACACAACCCACTGTGTTTCTCACCGGATCTTCTCAGCGGGTTGCGTTTCAGATCCGGTAGTAGATTCAGCGAAGCACTGTGCTGGCTAAGGCTAGTGCTAGCAATTCTCTCACGCTGAGCCCGTGAGCTTACCCATCTGCGCGAAGTTTAAATAGCCCCTTAGGGGGGTACCAATGATTAGATAGAGACACATACATAAGGTAACATTTATTTGTCGTAAGGCCAATTAAAAACAAATTGACAAACTGATGAGTGTCGTCATTTACAGAGAGCGTCCCGAGCAGGGACTCCGCTATCCTGGTGGACACAACCCTCCTCTCATACGATGATGACGTCGGCTTCCTGACCAACAGCTTGAGGCAGACCGGTGAGTTTGAGGGCATGTTTCCTCTTAAATTTGTACCACATTTTGTATTGGACTTGTTACACCAACCAGGTGACAGATTTGTTTTTGTTTGTATGAGTACTGGACGGTAGAGATAGGTATGATGGTGGGGCCAAACCGTGCGGGCTCAAAACATGCTTCACCCATCAATAATTTATAAATTATCGCGGGTTTGTGTACTTGCCTGCGGGATTCGAACGCCAGCAGAGACGCATCCCTCGATACGAATACACCGGGCGTCTGTCCGTTAAGCTGCGATGACTTCAAGTTTCAAAAACAATTGAATTATCAAAAAATATCATCATCATTCTCCTGCCCTTCTCCCTGTCAGCTAGCGAGGTGCAACATGTTTTCTCCTTCCATATCTACTCCTGTATCATATATCATTTCTTACACATATATATATAGTCTTTCACGCAATCCGTCCATTTTATTAGGTCTACCTCTTTCTCTAAAGCCTTCCATATTTATAGTCAAAACCGTTTTACCAACCTCATGGTCATTTCGTCTCATCACATGACCATACCATCCCAAGCGCGCATTTCTCAACTTCTCTGTCACAGGTGCCACTTTCAGACTTACTCTATTATATTCATTCCGTATTCTATCCATTCTCGTTACTCCACACATCCATGCTCTTATCTTCTCTTAGAGTTCATTGGAATTGCTTCAGCGCATGGGGCTGCGACCGTTGCTGGCCTTCTCAACCCCTTCTGGTAATGTCTCCGAAGGATTCAAAGTTAGCAAAAGACCGGCTTTACCACTGTCTACTTTGAAATACAATTTATCACATATTTACTGCCTACCGGTAGGCAGCAGCTTGCCTCTGCCCCTGGCCTTGCTGAGGTCCATGGGCGACTGTAACCACTCTCCATCAGGTAGGCCGTATGCTCGTCTGCCTACAAGGGTAATAAAAAAAACTTACGCTAAAAGTCGTACTGCGCAGACTGTCAGACCAAATATTTACATCAGGCTTCACAATACATACCGTAACGACGTAGTGGTATACTGCGTCTGGTCTGTGTCTCCGGTCTTCCAGATTCTCCAGGACACAGACCTTACGCTCGTGGGTGATGGAGATAATAACAAATGTTATTGAATTCCAGCCAAGAATTCACCAAGAAGCAGAATATATTCGAAGAAACCGGACGCTACATCGGTAGGTCGTTTTAATTTTTATAAATGATAAGAATACCGGATCTACGGAATTGATTCTCTATACGAAGACAAATTTGACTGGTTTTGATTGCTGGTAAATAAAAAAATCGCCGTCGCCGAATATTTTGTGCCGCGCAATGTATCACAAATAAAACCGAACTGTACTGAGTATGGGGTCAACGGACGCTCTAGAACACCAGACCGTCCACTAGCTTGGGGATAAACAAAAAAAATCGAAATATCTTTGTGCTTAGTAAATGCTATGCTATTTTCGATTTGTGTAAAGATTATTCTTGCTACGACTTCATGATCGGTTGCTTTATACCTTTTCACAATTCTCTGGCTACCTTGCAATAAATATATTCTACCAACTAAGCACGGGTACTGCAGTACATGAAGTCATATTGGCCCGTGCAAAACATGAAAAACAAAGGTTTTAATGTAATAAAAATCAAAAACCCGCAAAATTATAATTTGCGTAATCACTGGTGGTAGGACCCCTTGGGAGTCCGCACGGGTAGGTACCACCACCCCGCCTATTTCCGCCGTGAAGCAGTAATGCGTTTCGGTTCGAAGGGTGGGGTAGCCGTTGTAACTATACTGAGACCTTAGAACTTATATCTCAAGGTGGGTGGCGCATTTACGTTGTAGATGTCTATGGGCTCCAGTAACCACTTAACACCAGGTGGGCTGTGAGCTCGTCCACCCATCTAAGCAATAAAAAAAAAAATGTTTGTTCATTTATGCAATAGGATTGAGATTACGACATCAGGTCTCTAAATAGGTCGTAACATTCACGTTTCAATGTCTATGGTATTCCATTTATCACCAGGTGAACTATCCGTTCGTTCACCTATCTACACAATAAATAAATAAAATTTAAACATGCAAAAGGATTTGTTATTTTCTCTTGAAACTAAGTATAAATGTCAACAAAAATGTTTTTATTTATTTATTGCTTATATGTGTGGATAAAATCACAGTCCACCTGGTATTAAGTGGTTACGGGAGCCCGTAGACATCTACAACTTAATTGCTGCCACCCACCTCGAGAAATGTGTTCATGTAGTCTCAGTTTTTACAGTACCACGGCTGCTCCAGCATTCAAACCGAAACGCATTACTGCTTCACGGCAGAAATAGGCAGAGTGGTGGTACTTACTCGTGCGGAGTCATAAGCCGTCTTAAAACCAGTAAAAGTGTCGTTTATTTTAAGCAAAGGGTAACATAAGACTGATATGACCTCATAAGGTATCGGAATAACTTGGCAAAACTTACTTCTGGGTGTAATGATCGTACGCATGTTTTACTAGCAAATAAATCTCGCATTGCCGTTTTAAGGTCATCACCAAGACGAACCGACAACCAGTTCAGTATTTTACAACACCTCTTCCGATGACGATGAATGACTTCGAGAAATTCCTGAAGGACAACAGTCTGGATGTGGAATCTGTAACGTCTCCCATAACGGACCTGCCCACTGACGACGCTGAAACACAGAAGGCTAAGAGAATGAAAGCAATCAATCGAGAAATCAACGACGACAATAATATAAAGATGGATCCAGAAAATGTCTTCAATTATTTAGATTATTTAGAAAGTGGTTTATTTGATGACGGCGATGCAGAATTGTATAGGGACAAAAGGCAGACTAGTGTAGATGAGGATTTTGATAACGGAAACGATAGGTCAAAAGGGACCACAGCAACTGATGATTTGTCAAAGAAGGATTTCGATATAACGATAATTAATGTTGACGACAAAAAAGCCGCTCAACATGACGCGGCCGATTCGCAAGTGCTCGACAAAGCAGAATCGACTACGGAACAGATTAACGCAAAGACGGGAATGTCGAACTTGAACAAAATCGAGAAAGCAGCTAAAGAGTTTGACTTTTTTAAGAAACTACACAACAATCAAATGTACAATCGTTTGTTTCCTAAAAACAATAGAATCGAGAATACCGCTGGAGTTCTAGAAGCCACTACTAAAACAATTATGGCTTCTGAAGAACTATTTCAGAAGCTGCCCATTAAACTGGGCAGTGACCCGAAAAGAGTACGGATTAGTAGCCACAGCTATAAATACGATATCATCTATCATCGGCCGAAGAAGAACCAGAAGGGGAAAGGAGAAATAAGTGCAGGTTCATATGACAACTCGAGATTTAGTACATGGTAGTTAGTTAGTATTAAGTTAGTAATTGCGCACACAACTATTTCAATGGGACGTAAAGTTTATTCTCCTACTGTACAAATTCAGAAATAAACGACACATATTTGCAAATGATTGGAATTTATCCTGAGAGTTCACTAAACCAATAGAACTGAAGACGTTCATTGTATTGTGTCTCAAAGATCAGCTGTCGACATTTATTTAAAATCAAAATGCATCTTGTGTGCCAAGATGCATACTTATTTATCCCCCTCTAAATTGTTTTTTTGCCGTGAAAAAAGTTTTTCTCTTGTCTAATATTCCGTTACTACTCACATGCCCTGGGACAGATGCGGCCATCATTATTAACAGAAAAGTAAATTTTAATGAATATCGATCTTATCTTCTTCAAATCCCCTTAAAGGTGTTCTGCGAGCCCTATGATATATCCTTGTCCAAACAAGGTTTGCGGTGAGTACTCAGCCATTTCGCTGTGTCCCTGGCATCGCTGACTTCCATGAATGACAGTAATTTTGTTAATAGCCATCAGAAGTGCCATATTCTCGCCTGTCTACAAAGGCCCTAAAAAATATAAATATTCCCTTACATAATTCCATTCTGTTCTAGAGACACAGGACTCTAGTAAATACTAAAGTATTGATACATGTTAGTATTGATTTCAGTCAATCCTATATCGGAAGTAACCTACTGCACCGAGATTGAGGAAGACGGACAAAACAGCGATGACAACAGTGAGTAAGTCGCCATTTTTTTTCTACAGCACGGATTTTCTCTGGCTAAAGTAGTGGCACCACAATGTTTTCGCTCGCGTTAAACTTTTAATTGTAAAATAAGGCAATGGGTTTGATTTATTCTGTGTAAAAATCATGCTGATTCGTTTCTATTGTCTATAAAAAACAGGATAGACTATTATAAACTTGCGATCATAATATTGTGTAGAACGAATATCTCAGAAATTAATGTCAATTCGTTTATTCACGTGGAAATGTAGAATACAATACTAATTCATGAAAAGTTTTCAGTCTTCCTAAAAGGAGTCGCGTGAGGGGAAATACCGAAGGATTTACTAACGATGGTACGTACCTTACCTAGGTCTAGTGCCTGTGACGAGTCTTTGTGGACTAGTTTTAGTCTGCCATGTCTTTTGCCAATCGACTGTTTTTAGTTCTAAACTTCAGGACCTTAGTACGTTTCCTAAGAATTTCTCGGTTATCTCCAAGGTTGGCGATACGTCCAAAAGTACTTAATCAACATTGTTGAACATTTCAAATTAGTTCCAAAATCCAGGTCACTCTGAAATCTCAGTTTCAAAACTCTGTACCCAGGTGCGGAAGGACTAGAGCGCTTTGTGTTTCATGTCTTTAAGGGTGCTCTAAGAAATAGTCTGAGATCCCTTCATTCTATTTATACAAATCGCACCTTCTATAGGCACAGTATTACCAAATCTCGGCCCTAGGCAGAGATTTGGCTGTGTCTCATACGCTTGCTGATGTCCATGAGCAACGTTGACCACTCATCAACAAATGAGTTATATAATCGTTTGCCTTCCAAGTCAAGAAAAGTGCATTGATTCTCAACACCCGAGTCATACACGGGGCGACATGTAGTGTGTTTAAAACCTTTGCTTTTACCCATTTTATTTCAGTCATTGAAACAAGTGTTATACCGATAGAAGAATTTGACGTAAAGCTTGCTGATAGAAACAAACGTGATGCGAAAAATCAGACATTCACAGCTAAAGACGTAGCGGCCATAGAGGTGATCATCGATCTAATAAAGAACACTGAAGACAAACACACCACGCAACCAGACCTGGACGATGTCGCTTCGAAATATCCTGTCAATTTGAGTAATTCCATTCAAGTACACATTGGAGTTCCGGGAGCTTTTATTAGTGACAAAAAGAGGTCGTTAGAACCGAATAAAGTCAGGAAGGTCTTTTCGGCCAGAATGCTGACCCCGGTCGACGTTGTGTATCAAGTTAATTCGTTTGATACCAACGATGTGACTTGTAAAACGGTTGAAGAGCGTCCGAGTTTATTGCCAGGCGTTTATCTGCTAGTTGATAGTTCTTATCCAGAAGGTTTCGCTCTGAAACCAGTCGCAGCTAGCTCGGATAAAAACGTAAAACGTCCGAATGTCACGGTCGAAACTGCCACCAGCGCACCGCCCAACGCAATTTCAAAGGTGACTTTGAGTAAAGATTTAATCTCCGCAATCAATAAGCAACTGGTGCAGCTGTACAATAATCTAACAACGGCCACAAAAGACAAAAATGCTACAAAACATCGTAAGAAACGAAGTATTAATTGGAAAGCAATCAAAAAGTATTTTGGATACGACCGAGTGTGCAATTGTAAATGTAAAGCCAATAAAACTATGTGCAGGGCGTGCGCGGCTAGCGACGCCGTCATAAAGGAGCTACTGTTTGAATTCGACAACCTGGGCAGGTACATGCGCGAGCATTGCACTGAAATCCAAACGTATTTCTGGATGAATCCAAGCGGCGGGAAAAAATTGAAAGATTCCGTTCACAATATTGATAAAGACTTGCATGATTATTACAAGAGGGTCAAAGGTAAGTGCCAAGGGCGCACATGTGATGCAATGGGCATTATAGACAAGAGAGACCTGGTGAGAAGTGATATTTTGAAAAGTAAAGACCCAGGGGTGATCTTTGTTAGGAAATTAGAACAATTAGCGAGAGATGTGAATGTGGCCTGTAAAACTGCGACGTGTTACAATGAGAAGCTTATCAAGGGAAGCAAACGACTCTTCGATGCGGTCGCCAATTGTATATCTAGTAAGTCCTTCGAGAAGAGATCTGATTGTAAAAATGAAAGTTATTCCGTTGAAAATATAAGCGTTAATATAATTTGTAACGATGCTAAAACGAGTGTTGATGATTCTAATGATTTCACTTCGAGTAGCCTCGATACGATAACAGAAAATTATAACACCGTTAATTGGAATCTAGAGAAAAGAAACGGAAAAAAACATAAAGGAATTAAAAGTTTATTTAAAACAAAACACAAATTAGGTGCATTGAACGACGAAATGACAAAACAAATTGATATTGAGAAGAGAGAAGCCAATCAAATCGATTCTCCATTAATATCGGACGCCGGTGGTAATTTCTGGAATGATTACATCAATAGGATCACTAGAGATGATAAGCCAGCTGACGAGAATTATATTCCTACTATTGGTGTTGGTATCGCTGTAGTACAAGATGATATAGAGGAAAATAAAAATTACCTATCCAACGTTGATGGCAGTTCAACACACAAAGATGACGGCAACAATGAAAATGTTTTTCCTAGTGTTGGCAGTACAGTTATACAAGCTAGAGCTGTCACGGCAGAAGCTGGCAACGGATTTACAGAGAGAACAAAAATACCTGAACTTTCTGGTGTAAATGACTCATTCGATGATGATCCCGAAACAGCTGACATAACGAGTAATATCAAGGAGCTATTGAAACTTTTCGATACGTTAATAAGCGTTGGAAAAGACACAGAAATATCTGAATATGCAAATGAAATTACAACTCCGTCATTCAGTACGGCTAGATTCAAACTGAATACTATACCAATTGTAGCCCAAAAAATTACACACCCTATAACCGCTAAACAAACATTACAGTATACAGAAAAACCTAGCACAGAAAAAAAGCAAATACATACGTTAACAAGTCAAATACCAGTCGAAGATAGATCAGATATAACCGACCCCAGATCTACACTTACAACAACTACACACGTTGCACAGACAACTGCTTCAAAAGCGCCACTGGATAATATGAAAACAAGAAAGGATTATATTAAAAACATTACCGAAAATAGTACTGAGTCCAGTGACGATACTTTGATAGTAATAAACGAAGTAAAACGTGATAAATGCAAGAATCTGTTGCTTGCGATCATAGACTTTGAGATTAACAAATTGAATCGCGAATGGATTGAGTGCGCCAACGGTGAATTATACAAACGGAGACGATGCAGTGAGGAAGATGATAAGAAAATTGGAATTGAGGACATACGGTGAGTTTTTTATTTTATTTTGGGGAGTGCTCTGAGGAATTGTTCGAGATGATACTGTCATCTCGTTTTTAGCATCGCACCGCCCGCCACCGGAGTAGTGTTCATCCATACTACCTGGAGCCACTGCGGTTATCCACAGTGCGTTTCCAGAGGTCTTTTTTGCCACGTACCATCCGGCTATGGAATGAGCTCCCCTCGACGGTGTTTCCCGAGCGCTATAACATGTCCTTCTTCAAACGAGGCTTGTGGAGAGTATTAAGCGGTAGGCAGCGGCTTGGCTCTGCCCCTGGCATTGCTGAAGTCCATGGGCGACGGTAACCACTCACCATCAGGTGGGCCGTACGCTCGTCTGCCTACAAGGGCAATAAAAAATAATTTTAAAAAATTTATTAGTAAATAAAAAAAACCTCCTAGCGTAATCTTCTGTTCAATCGTGACGCTAATTTTTTTTCCGTAACTATGTACCTACATAATTATTCCACAATCATATTATTATTAAGATGATATCGTATTTTCTTCGGTTTTCGAGAACTTAGACAAAATGAAAACTGCTAAACCTCAAGATTCTATTAGTTCGTTCTGTGTGAAATGAAACGTAAAACTTGAGATATGTTTTTAAATACAAGATAATTGCACAATCATCTTAGGTCAACGCCAACATTGCTCATCGGTGACCACAAAAACTGTTAATAATTTTATAACCGGAGATTAAAACATAAATGTAGTTTTAATTGTATTATTGTGTTCGCGAACGTTCTCTACAATGCAGGAATAGAATCGTCGAATTAAATTAATGTATGACTGCGTATTAACTGGTAGTGTTGCAAGCAGAGCCGGATTAACCATGTAGCAAGAGTAGCTATTGCTACGGGCCCCGCGCGAACGAGGGCCCCGCATATTTAAACCCACCCATCTCTGCACGAGCTTAATTTTTTTAGTGACTTATTAAGAAAAAGTTGTTTGTATAAACGTGTAGAATTTCAATCAGCCTGATAATCAGCTCTACAAAAGTCTGACGTATGCAAGCACTCTTACCCGACACAGTGTGGATGTGTAGCAGAATTGAGATGGCTCGATTTAAGTTTAGATAAAGGGCTCTTTGAAATAATTAGCTACGGGCCCCGCGCTTGCTTAATCCGGAGTTGGTTGCAAGCCTAAATAGCTTACCAAAAGCATCATCTTAGTACCTACCTACATTTAGATCTATAACTCAAAGACATTACTTGTGATTATTATCGACGTAAATTCTTGATCAACAGCTCAAATTTGGTAAATGCGAATGCGAACAGGAATATGACGACTGAAAAAACTTCTGAAAAATCAAAGAGTACATCTCAAAACGCAAAAGTTAAAGGGATTTTCAATAAAATCGCCAATAAACTAGCAAATAAAGTTGCCCGAGGAACTAGAAAAGGTAATTAAACTTTAAAAACAATGTTTCCGTTTGGAAATGTTTTTTTTTTTTTTATTGCCCTTATAGGCAGTCGCACATACGGCTCACCTGATGGTGAGTGGTTACCGTCGCCCATGGACTTCAGCAATTCCAGGGGCAGAGCCAAGCCGCTGACTACCGCTAAAATAACTAACACGGACAGTTCATGAAAAATTTAAAAAAGTTTTTGCATGACACCATGATAACCGGTCCAGCTTTTCATCGGGTATGAGACCCCAGTATCCGCCTTTAGCAGTACGTACTAACATCTCCTTGTTGTATCTTCTTTGAAAAGACATAGTAGGCAGCACTATTGATGAGACCATGGTCGCATACAGTTGCTCGATCATTTTAAAGCCCTAGGCCCTAGACACGTCCTTACGGATCCTTCATACCCGATCCTGTGGACCGAATGGTAAACAGTCGACGTCGCCTTCAACACGTCATTACGGATCCTCCCGATCCATTAACGGTGCTTTTAGGTACCTCAAGCACCAGCACCTCAAGCAAAGTAAGAGTAATAATGTTTATTTGTTCAGGAGACAGCTGATTCAGATCTCATACAGAAAGTGAAACCAAGAAGAATTCAATAAACATAATTGATTAATAAGCTCGGTAGCTTATGGAAATATCTCCTAATATTTTAAAAGAATATTTAATAATGCCGGTTGTGTTTTGATATTCTGTGTACTCCCATTTAACATAACTAAAGCTGATATTTATTTGGTAATTTTAATGTTGATCTAAAATGCTCCTAGGTTGTCTGTGTGTTTGTTTTTAGATGTAGCTGTAATGTTTAAGAGGTGCGTTTTATTTTGTAAGTGTTATATTTAATTTTATTGTCGATTACGTGTTTGCGAATGAAATTGTTTTCATATTTGACATAAGTTTTAATAAATGTAGTTGTATTTTAAAAAAGATTATTTTATTTAGTTGTAATTATGTTTTTCGCGTATTTTAAATTGGCACGGGTAGGTACGACCGCCATGTTTATTTTTACCGCGAAACAGTTGGCGTTCCGGATTGCAGAGTGTGACATGACAGTTAGCTTTATCATAATTCGTAATACGAACACTTGATTAGATGTTTATAAAAATGAACTAAACGGCGTTGGTAATTTTAATTACATTCGTAATGAAGTAATCAAATGAGCACTTGACTACATCTTTATAAAACGAACTAAATGGCGTCGGAAATTTTAATAGATTTGTAATGAAGTAACAACACTTTTTTTGGGGCAGAGATCTGCACTCCTTGCAGGTTAACGTACATACCATTACTGATGGTAGGACCTCTTGTGAGTCCGCGCGGGTAGGTATCACCACCCTGCCTATTTCTGCCGTGAAGCAGTAATGCCTTTCGGTGTGAAGGGGTGGGGCAGCCGTTGTAACTATACTTGAGACCCTATATCTCAAGGTGGGTGGCGCATTTACGTCGTAGAAGTCTATGGGCTCCAGTATACCCACTTAACAACAGGTGGGCTGTGAGCTCATCCACCCATCTAAGCTCTTCTCGCTACTTTTCAGTTTGTTTAATAATGATATACTCCGGTCGCCGGCGAGCAACTTAGCCCTTTTCACGGATGATACGGCTATCTACTACTGGCGTAAGAATATGCCGTTCATGCATAGTAAACTCCAGATCGCGGCCACCAATTTGGGACAGTGGTTTCGAAAGTTGCGCGTCGACATCAATCTCACGTAAAGCACAGCCGTGCTCTTCAAAAGGGGTCGCCCTCCGGACACTACTGATAATATCTCATCTCTAATTAGGCGCGGTAACTCCATTCCCGCCATAAAAATCTCTGGCCAGCCCATACCATGGGCTTCGAAGGCTAGTAAGCTAAGTACTTAGGCGTCACTCTTGACAGGGGGATGACATTCGGGCCCCACATTAAGTCAGTAAGCGACCGAACCGCGTTCCTACTCAGTCGACTCTACCCCATGATCTGCAGGCGAAGTAAATGGTCCCTTCATAACAAGATTACACTCTACGAAACTTGGATACGTTCCGTTATGACCTATGCGAGTGTAGTGTTCGCAACCCATACACACATTAACTCTCTCCAGATCAACGAATTCAGTTTCGGCAGGATAACCGTCGGAGCATTGTGGTAAGTGAGAAATGTAGATTGAATACATATGAAATTCAAGACTACCTAAATTTAGTACCGATACGTAAGTACATATCTTAAGGAAGCGTCACAGCCCCCCTGATGTTAAGTTGTTACTGGAGTCCATAGACATCTACAGCGTAAATGCGCCACCCATCTTGAGATATAAGTTCTAACGTCTCAAGTATAGTAACAACGGCTGCCCCACCCTTTAAACCGAAACGTATTACTGCTTCACGGCAGAAATAGGCAGGGCGGTGGTGCCTACCTGTGCGGACTCACAAGATGTACACCAGTAAGCGCTACTTCGACAAAGCGGCGCGACATGAAGAACCCTCTTATCGTGGCCGCCGCTAATTACTTTTCCGACCGCGATGGGACAAAGCAAAGCCGTCGTCGCCCGAAGCATGTCTTGTTGGATCCCCCGGATTCACTCTCGGTGCTTTTAGGACCCTCAAGTACCGGTCACCGTCCTCGTCCAACTCATCGACTACGACGAAGAATTCGAAATCACTACATAGTATAAAACAAAGTCGCTTTCTCTGTCCCTATATCTGTCTGTCCCTATGTATGCTTAAATCTTTAAAACTACGCAACGGATTTTGATGCGGTTTTTTTTAACAGATAGAGTGATTGAACAGGAATGTTTATATGTATAATAACATCCATTAAATAGTGGAGAAATCCATAACAACTTACAGTTTCCGAAGCAGTTTCGGTAGGCAGCGGCTTGGCTCTGCCCCTGGCATTGCTGAAGTCCATGGGCGACGGTAACCACTCACCATCAGGTGGGCCGTATGCTCGTCTGCCTACAAGGGCTATAAAAAAAAAGCGAAGCGAAGGCGGGTCGTTAGTTAATGAAATAAAACGAAAAATTCTTGCAAATTGTTTACATTTCAAGACACATTCCTTTTATCAATGAATATAATCGAACATACAAACATTATTGATATAGTTTAAATACAGTTATCAAAAGTTGTTCTTTACAATTTACATGTAAACACACTTAACCGTTCGCATATGAACAGTTTTACAGAACACAACGCATTTCGTTCAGTATATATATATAAATTGCACCGAATCACATAAAATAATCAAGCTGTAGAATTGGTAGGTTTTATTTCTTAAAGGACATGATACAATCAAATGTGTTTTAAATTTAAGAAACAATTAAAATTATTAGAGGCCTTAAAAATGATTTAGAATTAAAATGGCTACAGTTTGTTACAGCATCAAACACGATCGAGAGAGAGACTAAATAAGTAAATACACATTAAAGAACTTGTGTCCAAATCGAATTTAAAAAACAATAACAAAGTGAACGCATACATTTTACGTACCTTTAAATATTATTTTTTTATTGCTTAGATTGGTGTACGAGCTCACAACCCACCTGGTGTTAAGTGGTTACCGAAGCCCATAGACATCTACAACGTCTACGCCACCCACCTCGAGATAAAAGTTCTAGTCTCAGTATAGTTACAACGGCTGCCCCACCCTTCAAACCGAAACGCATTACTGCTTCACGGCAGAAATAGGCAGGGCGGTATACTTTGAAAAATCGTGTATTGATCTCCGAGCAAGTTTTCATAATGATTAGCAACCGTATCGCAATGTGTAAACAATATGTGACGTCGCAGTGTAGCAATAGATAACTCTAAAACAGGGCTGTCCAAACTATATACTTTTGCTCGGGCTAATTAAATTGATCACAAAAGCTGAAGGGCCGCATAAAAAAAGTTTTTATTTTTTTTAAGGGATTTTATGACCTGGTAACTAAGACCTTTAGGTCAGTGTTATTATGAAAAATGATAATATGGAGTGAAATGAAATGAAAATGATTAATTTGAGACATTAATCAACTGTGATGAAATGCAATGAGATGAGCTGATATGAGATGAAATATAATCTCAGTAAAATGGTGGTCATTTACTGAGATTTTTTCAGTGGACTTTTTGGAGGATCCCGAGAAGTTACGTCCAGCGGCTTTGTTTTATTTTACCACATTTGTGCACTTTCACAGAAACTAGACAGTTAATAAACCACCGTTATTACACATTTAAATCAGAAGAAACACTAAATATACAAAATAAAACAATACACACAATTTCATTCCTCGCGTTCCCGCCAAAAAATCACCAATCAGTTTTCAAGTAAAAAAATAATAATTGGGTAATAAATACTTTCCAGAAATTTCTCCCATAGTAAAAGATAGCTTCACTTTCAAATGATGTCATGGGAATTAAAGGTTACAAGAAAGAAGATAAATTATACCAAATATTGATTTTATTATTTTTTGACAAAGAATTCTACTATCCAAACTTATATTTATATCCAAAACTATTTTCTGATTAAAACATGCGTCGCGGCCCGTTGTCTGGACAACCCTGCTCTTTAAGATCATTAAAATATTAGTGGATGATGTTTAAATTATTACATACTAAACTTTAAATGTAAGTACAATGAAAAGTCTTATCGGTTTAAAATAATAATTTGAAAACGATTAGGGAATGTGTGTTTACCTGTGTGCTTAGTGGGAGTTTTTTAACATTCTCGATAGCGTAAAAGTAAAAGTTAACTCAAGTCTGTATGCAGTTAAAACAGCGTCCCTAGCGGCAAACATAGCCAAATTTGAGTTAACTTTTACGCTANAAACTTTAAATGTAAGTACAATGAAAAGTCTTATCGGTTTAAAATAATAATTTGAAAACGATTAGGGAATGTGTGTTTACCTGTGTGCTTAGTGGGAGTTTTTTAACATTCTCGATAGCGTAAAAGTAAAAGTTAACTCAAGTCTGTATGCAGTTAAAACAGCGTCCCTAGCGGCAAACATAGCCAAATTTGAGTTAACTTTTACGCTACCGAGAACGTTAACTCGCACTAAGCACAGGGAGCCCGTAGACAAATGCCACATGCTGCTGCGCCTCACAAGATTGAACTCTAGTCTAAAGATGTTCAGGAAAGAAATAGACAGGACTCTTGTACCAAAGACTCCGAGTTCTCGATACATTCAACCACCATTAATATTTATGGGGAATAAGTAATTAGGGAAGAGGAATTTGCTACAGTGTACGAAAGGAATTTAGTGTTAGTAACCATAGCAAACTGAGCATTCTCCAGAATAATGAACAAAATATGCCCTTCAATGCAAATCAGCCCTAAATTATACAACACTAGCAACCCGCCGTCGCTTCGCTTCAGAAACTGTAATTTATTATTGATTTCTCCACTATTTAAGGGATGTTATTATACATATAAACCTTCAATCACTATCTATTAAAAAAAAACCGCATCAAAATCCGTTGCGTAGTTTTAAAGATTTAAGCATACATAGGGACAGACAGATATAGGGACAGAGAAAGCGACTTTGTTTTATACTATGTAGTGATACAGCACACTTTTGTTAAAATTTCTCTTCTCTTCTTCATCCCATGTCTACTCAATGCCGAGTGTAATAAATTTAGTCCAGTAAGTTTACATTTTATTTGGAATCTTTCAGTTTGTTTATAGTTAAAATAATCATACTCTGCAAAATAAATTTTACGTTACCTGCACTGCAAGACATGCAGTACAACAATGTGCTCAGAATCACACATAACTCAATTTCACCAAGGGACCGAACCTTCATAAATTGACCACAGATTACGGTCCGTATTACTCCAAACAACCAGTTTTCTTCTTTTGAAACATCAGTTGCTTCTGCACCACGAATGAAACTCAAAACCTTTGCATTAATTCGACATAAATGATCTAGTTATTACAACTAAAGGCCTAGTTAACACTGAGTTCCAAACAGTAGCAAGTAATACTTGCGATTACTTTCCAAAAGCACTTTATTCACCTTTCGAGTGGCAAACCTTTTTTTCACATTTTTTTTTTATTGCCCTTGTAGGCAGACGGGCATACGGCCCACCTGATGGTGAGTGGTTACCGTCGCCCATGGACTTCAGCAATGCCGGGGGCAGAGCCAAGCCGCTGCCTACACTAGTACATTACTACCGGACGTTCTCATCTTCACGGGTTCCAGTAACTGTTGTTGTGTAAATCACTTTTAATACGACTGTCTCACAACCAGCACAGCACAGAGCCCCACACCATACATCACTCTTCCTCTGGCGGATCATTCACTTCTCCACCTTCTTCTTCTCTTCTCGCTACCGGCACTAATTCTATGACAGGATCCGCTGTAGCTTCAGCGAGGTTTGTGACGGATTTCGACTTGAAGCACTGGAAGTCTACGTGGCGGCTCTTTGCTTCCTCCTTCTCCCAGGACATGTGGATGAACGGCCTCTGGACATAATTGTAGATGACTTCAGCCCTGCCGCCGGGACGTTTGCGAACTTTCTCCTTGTAAGTCGGGTACCCTTCGACGCCAAGCCTTATCTTTTTCAGTCCTCTCTCCTTCATTACTTGTTTTGCTACGTCCCTGTAAAATTTATTTTATTTTTTAGCCAAAATGTCTTTTATTGTTTAGTCTCGCTTAACCATAGTGAATTTACAACTGTAAATTGATTGCCTTTTTAGGCAGACGAGCATACAACCCACCTGATAATGAGTGGTTACTGCCGCCCATGGACTTCAGCAATGCCAGGGTAAAGTACCTACCGTAAGATTAAAATCCTAAAATTATATACTAGGAATAGAAGGAGGAAGCACCAACAACGTCTTGAGGGTACTAGCTGAAAGACTTGATGGCCCAACCCTGGGTAGATTCATCAAGTTGCATGTTCTACATGCTGCTTGATGGGGCTGCCAGGGACGGAATTGATTGATTTATTTAAATACTAACATAGTTCTTAAGTTTTTTGTAATATTAACACAATATGAGACTGATGTCTTGAAATAAAAGTTTTTTATTTTATTTTTATTATTATTATAGTAAAGACCCCTGACCTAGGCTGATTAAATTTCTCACCGATTCTCAATATACTTGAAGAACCTATACAACGGTGTGGACAGCACAGTCTGACTGTATTCGTCTCCCATCTGGGGAGGATATTCCTCGTCCCAGTCCACAGCATCATCATCGAGCAACACCACCACGTGACACTCGCGGTCTCCGCGCCGAGCAGACTCCACCATCAGCGGGAGTACGAGACGCTCCAAGAACGATTCAAACTGACGGCGGGCACCTTCATTGGATAGCTCATGTAATAAGCCACGGAGGTTCTGAAATTTAAACATTTATTTACATAATAGTTGACATTGTTATTATTTTCTCTACCACATGTAACAAAATAATTGGTTCATATACTCGTACTATATGTAATCTAGTTTTAATTATATTTATGACTCGCTAACACCAAAGTTACAACACCGTACAACATCAATCTCACCTGGCACCTCACTGTGTTAGCATCAAAAGGCACCAACAAATAATCACAGGCCTCTCGCAGCTCTTGCACAGACACCGTGGGGGGACAGCGAATTGTACCTCCTCGGTAATATTCCAGTATAGCTCTGAATACGGTCGCGGAGATACCTTCAGCTACTTCATATTCGCCTCTTTCATTTGGATGTGTAAATTCTATCCCTGAAAATTGTCATTTCTTTTTCTAAGCTGTTTATTGAATCTCCCTTGCCAATTCCATCTATATCTCATATTTCAATGTATAAAATAAAATGCGAATCACTTGATACATATCACGTTATAATTTACATGTTACAATTCCAATTGTCATACTTTAGCTATTTTGTTTACACTGATTTTTTTTTATTGCTTAGATAGGCGGATGAGCTCAAAGCCCACCTAGTAATAAGTGCTTACTGGAGCCCATAGACATCTGCAACGTAAATGCGCCACCCATCTTGAGATATAAGTTCTAAGGTCTCAGTATAGTTACAACGGCTACCCCACCCTTCAAACCAAAACGCATTACTGCTTTACGACAGAAATAGGCAGGGTGGTGGTAGCCACCCGTACAGACTTACTAGAGGTCCTACCACCAGTGATTACACTAATTATACTTTTTGGGGTTTGATTTTTATTACACTATGTTATTTCTTTAGCATGGAAGTCAATTGTGAACATTTGTTAAATATGTATTATTAGAAATTTTTTTGTTTCAGTTAAGCTACCAGATAACTGTTGAGCCCAAACAAGCTTACTGAAATAAGTGCTTACTGGAACCCAAAAGCTACCCCACCCTTCAAACCGAAATGCATTACTGCTTTACAACAGAAATAGGCAGGGTGGTGGTAGCCACCTATACAGACTTACTAGAGGTCCTACCACCAGTGATTACACTAATTATACTTTTTAGGGTTTGATTTTTATTACACTATGTTATTTCTTTAGCGTGGAAGTCAATCGTGAACATTTGTTAAATATGTATTTCATTAGAAAAATTGTAGTTTCCATTAAGCTACCAGTTATCTACTGTTGAGCCCAAAAAAGCTTACTGACCAATGGCCAATAAATCAGTTTTCAACTATTTGCATAAACTATCAACAGTCTTCATCTATTTGTGGATTAGCTGTATAACTAACCTCTCTATATCATTATTAATTATAAAGCAATGTACATGTGTCAAAGTTATTTACTGAGTGACAACTTAAACCAAATCTTTATGATATAAGCTGTTTATTATCTGTCTATTGTAGGGTGTTCCCTACCTTGCAGTAATAAAGTAGATGAAGAGTTATTGGTCTGACCTACTCAGGCAGTTAATGAAAATACCACACAAAAAAAAGAGGGCACAATTGAACATTAACAAAGATGCCCTTTCTATAAGTCTGTCAGTGTTAGGAAGTAGATTGAAAAATGTTATTGAGACAGCAATTTTCTGTTAACTGGGCAGTGTCATTTGTGACTTTATGTCATGATGTAACTACTTAATTAACTAATAGGCAGCAAATCAAAATAGTATTCATTTTCAATTACAGTGGTAACTATTAGTATTTTGTAACATTAATTGTTGATCCCAGCAACAATATAAAGGTTTCAAAACTAGCTTTTGATTTTACTTGAAAAAGGCTAGCTGAAATTAAGAATGCATTTCACATCTTTTCTTAATTTTCAGGTATAATCAAAGAAGTTTCTGAGAAACTGTATGAATGCCTTTTGTAGTCTATAATTGTATATTAATTATTACTTAATTTCATCAATCAATCATTTAGAAAGTCGAACTCACCAGAACTAAACATTCTCCCAAGCATTGTGTTGGGATGCGCCGTGAACTGAGAAGGATCGACGACAAACCTCGTATTGTCCACAACCAACGTGATTCGGTCATCTCCGAGTTGGTGCTTCGGAGCGTTTTTCGGAGGTTCTTGAGCTGAAGAGGTCGATGGCATCGGGTTACTAGACGAACACGCCCCGGACTGCATTGTAGGAGCGCGGGGCCTGTTCGATACTCCAGATCGCTTTGAGAGACGTCTCCGACGCTCCTCCGCGTCTCTGTTGTACTCTTCCGAGCCACTGCTGCTATCAGGATAGAAAAACGACCTGCGATCACTCATTGCCTCACCATGTGCCTGAGAGTCAGACATACGCGCGTGCTCGTCTCCGCGAGCTTTTACATCACGGTCCACACTACGGTGCCTCCGAGGCGGAGATTTATACGAGCCTTTCTTTGAAGATTTCGTTTTGGATAATTGTGTTTCACACTAGAAACTGCACGTCGACACCTTTGTTTGACTGCTGATCATAGATTATATACAAAATGACATTACCTGTCAAGTGTCCATCACTTGAAAAGCTTTGTATAATAGTTTAAAAGTTACATTTTACTGCATTGTCATTCTATAACTTAAATCTAACTAATACTAGCCAAATTTTCAGATAATAAATTAAAATGTGTGCCATATTAGTGCAATAGAAGAAATCATAATATGTAACTTTAATTATAAATTGTACCTGTTACAATATCTACTGAACTAAATTATCCTGTGCTATATAGAATTTTCTTTACGCTGACGATCCATCTTAAACTTTTTAATTTATACAACTACCGTACATATTTCCAAATACTTTTATTATTATTTTAATCGCCGTTTTTCGTCATGGATGGACACTTGCTTGGTGCTAGATACCAATCATTGATCTGTGGTCACACTGCTGACTGACGGATGTTGGCTGTTGACCGTTCCGTTGTCAAACACGAAAATTGGTTAATTTTGTAAATTGTTTTTACTAAAAATAGTTGTAAATACATCCCACCAAATAAATCTGTGATTTAAATTTATAAGTGAACGTTATAGTAACTAAGATAAGAAGAAAAATAGTGTGACTTAAGATATTGTAAGAAAGTCGTAACAAGTGTACAAAACCAGGGCGGGTCGGGTTTTTGCTTTTTATTTCGTTAAAATGGAGAGTAACGAGGAATATCACGACCCGGATTACCCGGAAGTTCCTGTTAGTGTCAAGGAGGAACCTCCGTGTGTCGCTCAGGAAGAGAAAGTTGAAAAAATCAAATCTATAATACGGCGCGAATTTCAGAATGAGCTGGAGGCAAGACAAAGCGAAGTGGTGTTGATTGATCAAAGGTAAAACGTTTATCAATCATTCTACTCTAACATTAAGCTTTCAAATTAGTTCGAAACTTAAAATATATCGGAAAAGACGTTATGAAAACACCATGTGGTGTATCAAAACAAAACTGGTAATTTTGAAGGTTATAGAATTGTTTTTAAAAACATGTACGATTTGGATGTCTCGTGTCATTGTCAAGGACCATAATGATGACAATAACATTTTCTCTCTAGGTGTGTAATTGTTTAAAATTTATAATAAAAGATGTTCCTGTATTAGAAATGGGGTCCTCACTCTCCCATTCTCAAAAACAAACGATTATATCTTAGGCTGTGTGTAAAATAGCATTCAAATAATATGTTCCCAACTATTATCACAATCTGTTCAGTAGGTTTTTTGAGGTGTACATACATAAATGCATAACCATAAATCAGTGATTTATGAGGAGGTATACTTAAATAAAGTAACAAAAGCTCTTACCTCATTACTCATTGTAAGCTGATTGTGCCATGTCTGCCAGCTTATCTGAAGTTACAACAACAACTATACAGCTTGGATCATATCATACCATACTTTAAAAAAAACAACAACATGAATTTTAGTATTACATATTTGTCAATATCCATTTGTACTGTGTATTAAATGTGTGTGTGTGTGTGTGTGTAAAATCAGATAGAACATATTCTAATGAAAAAAGTTACTCATTTTTTGTAAGGTTCTCTGTCCATCTGTACTAGTCATTAAATTACATAAATTTCATAATACTTCACATAATACATCTAAACCAAAAATCAAAACAGAAGGAAGCACTAAAATTTCTGCACTTTTCTCTATCTATCTATCTCTTAGGTTTATGGTGTTTCCTTTTAGATTTCGCCAATGTCAAGTGTATTTAATACTCTGCTTTCTATAGCGGGCTTCGTGAACGAGCAAGGTCACAGATATTCACTAAGAATTAAGTGGGTAGCTAAGAATGTCACTTTTCTCTACATTACTGTTGAAACTATTTACGTCATTGTTATTATTTTGTCACTTTTGAAATATAATTTTAGTGAAGAAAGTTTGGTTGAAACTACTTTTAAAGTTTAATTTCACAACTATTGTTAAGATTTATACTTTAATCGTCCCTAATCACTAAAAACGTAGTTGAATTATTCAAAATAATAAATGTAAGATTGAACTGTAAATGTATTTTAATTATGTCTACAATTCGCAAAAACTAGAGAAAATATTATGAAGCAGAATCTTGAAGTCGTAGTGGCCTAAAGGATAAAACGTCCGGTGCATTCGTATGTTGCACCGGTGTGCGAATCCCGCAGGCGGGTACCAAATTTTCTATTGAAATACGTACTCAACAAATGTTCACGATTGACTTCCACAGTGAAGGAATAACATCGTGTAATAAAAATCAAACCCGCAAAATTATAATTTGCGTAATTACTGATGGTAGGACGTCTTGTGTGCGCGAGTAGGTACCACCGCCCTGCTTATTTCTGTCGTGAAGCAGTAATGTGTTTCGGTTCGAAGGGTGGGGTAGCCGTTGTAATTATACTGAGACCTTAGAACTTATAACCCAAGATGGGTGGCGCATTTACGTTGTAGATGTCTATGGGCTCCAGTAACCACTTAACATCAGGTGGGCTGTGAGCTCGTCCATCCATCTAAGCAATAAAAAAAAAAGCATTATAGTTTTCATAAATGTCCAAAATGTGCAGTTAATTATTATTAAAATATACAAATACAGTTATATATACAGGTACTAATCTATAACAGTGTTAATGCACTGTTGATCGTACTGCGTTATCGCTTTTGAACTTATTCACAGAAGTCTGACCTGTGTTGTTGTGTTCCGAACTTAATTACTATTAGGTACTTTGATAAGGCTGTGCCCCTGGCATTGCTGACTTCCACAAATGATTTTGACCACTCACTATCATGTGGGCTACATGCTGTCTGCAATAAAGACAATAAAACATTTATTTATTTGGGAAACAAACAGTACAAGACAAACATATAATATTTTAAAAAATAACCAAAACAATAACCAAATATGTTTCCACAATCAAAATCATATATTTAAGTAGAAAGTGAACAGAGAAGATAAATATAGGAATTTAAGTTACATAAAAAAAACAAAAGCAACACAATACGCACTTACTAACACGCATTGAACATCAACTTACACTATAAAAATATAATAATTATCACATTGTTGTTTAATTGTAATTGCCATCCATCCAAGTATGACAGATTACACAAAAGGACGTCCCAGGATTCTAGTAACTCTTGGCTTCAGGAGAGCCATCAACTAGCCGTCTGCCCATCTATAAAATCTGTAAAAACTGGTTTCATCCCATGGGTACATCTGGTATGTTTAGAAATAATTAATATTCCAAATAAATAGGAACTAAAGTTATTGGTAATTAGTTGTTCTATATTGTGAAAAGCAGATGTTAATTGTTACATTCCTCGGCTAAAGAGATCCCTGTAATGACCAGGGAAGAGGCCCAGAGGTAAAAATCGAGATATTTTGCATCCATGATGTAAACTAAAAAGAAATATAATATTGATTAAAAAAGAGAAATTTTTAAATACCCTTTTTTACATCACTGACATTTGAACCACATATTATGTGTATGTGTACATTTATTATTAAATAGTATGTTATGCTAATCATGATCTGTTTTTGTTTTATAATTGCACTAATGTACTTATTTTCCATTTAAATTCTGTAATAGATACTGATATTCAAAATCTGTGTTGACTTAATCTTTATGTTTGCCTGATAAAAGTCTCGTGTTTCTACTGTTGTATCCTATGATTATTGTATCTTTATACCGGTAACAATGTAATTAATAAGTTTGTTGGGATAAGACTCCCCACCCGGGTGAAGAACGTAATAATGTTGGAGAATTAGATAACACGGTATGAGAGATAGAACTGTTTTGCTTTGCTTGAATCCTGGATTCTTAGGTGTTTGTGTTCCCCCACTCCATACGCCGGCTTAGGGAATGTCGAGGAAGACCAAAAATATCCAAGTTACTTTTCACGCGATTTGAGAATGAGGCACTTTTTTTTTCCCTGCCTTAGCTGAGAGCCTTGAGAGGCTATTTCAGCGTAACCTTAACTAGTAGGTGAGCTCGCGGGGATCAAACCTGACGACGTTGCTAACACGAACCCTAGCAAGAGCCGTGCTTCGCAGTATCTACCACCGGATCGGAAACGCGACCCACTGAGAAAATCCGGCGAGAAACTGAGTGGGCTGTGTCTGTGGGTTAATTTACTCGTCGAGCCCTTTGTCGCAAGCGACGAGTTGAAGAACGATGACCGGTGCTTGAGGTAACTAAAAGCACTGTTAGTGGATCGGGAGGATCCGAAATGACGTGTATGGGGCGACGTCGACTGCTTTCCATTCTGTCCGCAGGATCGGGAATGGAATGAGGCACCAGGTGGTGGAAGACCTCATTTCCCGACCCTCTTTAATTCTGACTTAGAGGTGTACACCACGGGTATGAGATTGCGGCGTCCTCTGATGGTCGTGGCCCCGACTACCACCGAATCGTAAATGATATGCTGCTAATGTCTTTTCGTTGCTCTGAGTTGCGTGTAAGGAATGTCGCGCGATATCCAGCTGCTCTTTTTGGGGTTCAGGAGGAAATCACCGAATTTCAGTCCCTGTCGCTCGTTAAATCGCGTTAGGGTCACTTGAAGCAGGCTGAGGGCAAGGGGGCGTTTCAGGCATATCCCCTCTCCACCCTCTCCCCGTCTTAGTTTGCCCGTTAACGGAATTTGAACTTAACCACCATAAGAATAACATGTATTTATGCATAGCTGTAAAAACACTTTTCTGTTAGGTTTATACTTTGTTATTAGGATTGGGATGTGTTCCAAAATGTTTAATGTAATTATTCTGCTCTGTGTGCTTAGTGAGGGTTTATTGACTTCTCGACCGCGTAACAGTTAACTCAAATTTGTATGGAGTGGGAACGTTTGCCTACATTTGCCGCTAGGGGCGCTGTTCCAATTGCATAAAAATTTGGGTTAGCTTTGGGTTAGCGCGATCGAGAAATGAAAAACTCGCCCTAAGCACAGTGTTCACTACATTTCTTCAAATATGCGACTGTGGTACCGATAAAAGTCGGTATTGAACCAGCTAAATCCGAAGAATGTAGGATAACATTGAGACCACTGCTGAGAAGAGCCTCTGCCCAGGAGATATAGCCATAGTCTACGCGGCCCGAAAACTATCAGTGATAATTTTTCACATTCAGGATGTCATCGTCACGTCGTCTCCTCCACCGCCTTCGATACGCTCTGGTGAGCAACTACTACAATGATCTCAAACTCAAATTATCGAATGCGCAGGTGGAAGATGAGATCGCTGCAATCAAAGACCCCAAGTCGAAAGCCGAGGTGAGTTGGAATCTCTGAGGTTGCTGTTCTTTTTTTATTACTTGGATGGGTGGAAGAGCTCACAACCCTACTTTTTACGTTTTGAAGTCGTCATAGCCTAAAGGATAAGACGTCCGGTGCATTCCGTTGTATCTAGCGATGTAACGGCGTTCGAATCTCGCAGGCGGGTACCGATTTTTCTAATGAAATACGTACTTAACAAATGTTCACGATTTTCATTCCACGGTGAAGGCATAACATCGTGTAATAAAAATCAAACCCGCAAAATTATAATTTGCGTAATTACTGGTGGTAGGATATCTTGTGAGTCCGCGCGGGTAGGTACCACCACCATGCTTATTTCTGCCGTGAAGCAGCAATGCGTTTCGGTTTGAAGGGTGGGGCAGCCGTTGTATCTATACTGAGACCTTAGACCTTATATCTCAAGGTGTGTGACGCATTTACGTCGTAGATGTCTATGGGATCCAGTAACCACTTAACACCAGGTGGACTATGAGCTCGTGACCACTTAACACCAAGTAGGCGGTGAGCTCGTCCACTCATCTAAGCAAAAAAAAAAAGTGTAATGAACCCGTTGAATAAATGCCGTCCGTTATGTAAAAAGCCGCAAAAGCTTATAAAGGTTCGTACGTATACTTATTCAGATATCAACATTGTTACGCGAGGGGCAGCGTAACATCCACCCGTCGGTCAAGAAGCTGCTCGGCAAGAAGGAGGTGGACATTTCCGAGATATTCAAAAGCAGAGCTCCGAGGAATAAGTCTAAGAAAGATTATTCGGTGAGTTTATCTTCTTCCTTTCCTCGGGGGGTCGGCGCAGTATGTCCTCAATTCCCATTCACTTCTACGTTACGTTATATTTATCCTCACATCCATCTCTCGATTATCCGCTTTCACAAAGTCATCGGTCTTTTTTTTCGATGAATTCATATGTATGATTTTGGTGTCGATTGTCCGATCTTGACTTAACAGCCTTGAGCTCAAACAAAATTTGAGGGGACCCTGAGGCTTTGGCTCGATAAATCGGGATAGGAATATATGAAGGGTTAATGCGTTTATGGTCCTTCGAGCCCATAGCCTCCTTGAGAAATGGGGTTGAATGCTCATTTCGTCTTTTCGCATTAAAAGTGTACAATTTCCAAAAATATTCGAAATTGAGTTAATATGCGGAATCATTTGGTATTAGTCATTTTTCTCATAAATACTGTCAAAAGAGCGTAGTTTAGTTTTTGTTTTTTTTTTGTTTACCTATATTTTGACTACTAGTAACAAAATTAATACACCATTTTATCTTACTTTAAAAGACAGATAATGTAACTGGTAAAAACTAAAAAAATAAATGTTGCAAAGATGATTAATATTAAAAATATGATATATTAAACCTTTAAAACACTCTCCTGTAAAATTTTGTAAGGTTTGAGATTATACAGTTTTAATGCGTGAAGACGATTTGTATTATACGACGGTTGGCCCACCCTGCGAATTGAAATTGACTATTGCTTCGCAGTACAGATAGATGTAATGGTCGTACCTACCCGTGCGGGCCCATAATGCGCCCTACCACCAGTAAATACGGTCACAGTCTGCTGGTCTCATGATCATCCTTCCCTTAGGCCAGCGGTCGGGGAACCGGGGTAAATTACCCCAAAAGGGGTAAAATTTTGGGGGGTAAAAATGAAACTTTTGTGAGTAAAAAGTATGTATTGAAGTGAAACTTCTTTAGAATCGTTAAATGTTTAGTTATTGTTTTCTTTTCAAAATTATCATGGGGGCTATAATTTGAAAGATACTAAAAAGAAGCGATTTAATTTTTTTTGGGGTAATAATTAGGAAAGTTCCCCGACCGCTGCCTTAGGCCTGTTCCGGACACCACTTAACCGAGCTTTAAGCAGTAACACAATCCCGATGCCGTCCGCAGGCCATGCTGCAGAAACGTAACTACACCATCTCGGCAGACTCCACGAAGACCCTCCGCCCCAACATGGAGATCAAAACTGAACCCGCTGCAGAGACGAGTAGACCAAAGAAGATCCCGCGTGCTCTGAAGCCGAGCGCCACCGTGCTGACTCTGGACGAGGGAACCAGGAATCAAATGAAACATAGATATAGAATAGTTATAGGTAATGTGCTAGAGGCTTTCGTATGCAAATCAGCGGTAATATCTATATCCTAGCGAGGAGAGGTCCTGCCAAACTTTTCAGAAGACAGACAACACAGTGTGTGTGCGAAAAACAATTGAAATCTGTTACTAAAGTTCGTAGGTAACGATTATAGTGGTCGACCGGCGCCTCAGAGGTGCGTTGTCTCTTTCACTCGAAGCGCATATTCGTTACGCGTACCTTCTCGATCGCAGTCGTCGTGGCCTGAAAGATACGGCGCCCGGCGTACTCGTGCGACAGTGCCGGGGTTCGAATCCCGCAGGCAGGTACCATTTTTTCTAATCAAATACGTATCTAACACGTGATCACGAATTACTATTACGACGAAAGAATATGATAGCAGGGTAATTGTTGTTTTCTACAAAATATTTGTCTTTTTTAATCAAGCAATCGTTCGTGATTTCGTTTAAAATATTAAAAAATATACTTGCAATATGCAGATCATAAATCGAACGGAATAAATTCAATGATTTCGTCATCCTTGTCGATCCTGATCAGGACATCAGGATCAGGAAATACAATAAATCAATTTTAAAAAACATTACACACTACCGGGTATTTAATTTTGATACAACATATTATATACTTTGTGTTTATTGTCAAACTTTTGTTATTGTTGAAAGTCTGTGATCAAATTGAGAATAGATTAATATTGTTTGTCTTTAATATTATTTGTCTATAGTGTAGTCTTTGTGAATCTCTGGTTATAGAAGTATAGTAAGTCTTTGACAATGGAACCATAATAATGTTCAAACTTATAATTATAATTATTAGTCGAATTTCGACTACAGAGGGATCACTATTCATTATTTCTTGACATAGTGGGTAGTCGTGCGAAGACACTGCACAGCACGAAAGTTCCGAGACGTCTTCACTCTTCCAAAGTCCGACAACGAATGTGCTTCGATTCAACCCGAGCGACTACACCTCGACTCTGCCGAAGCTCGCCATCCGAAGTGAACCGATGTTAGCCGAGTAGTTGCGGCTCGCATCCGCTAGGTGGCGCGCTTTTTTTTAATTGCCTTTTAGGCAGACGAGCTTATGGCCCACCGGATGGTGAGTGGTTACCGTCGCCCATGGACTTCAGCGATGTCAGGGGCAGAGCCAAGCCACTGCCTACCAAAAGGTCTGACGTTGATGTGTTCGGTCGCAGGGAACACGTCCAAGTACACGCCGGCCGCGTCCCGCTCGGACCGCTCCACGCACAAGTGGCTGCTGTACGCGCGCGGCCCGCCGCAGCATCCCGACATCTCGCGCGTCGTCACCGCCGTCACCGTCAAGCTGCACCACTCGTATGCGCCGCACCACACCGTGCATCTCAGGTACGTGTAACGGTCTAGAGCAGTTTTATTTTTATTTTTATATTGCTTAGATGGTTGGACGAGCTCACAGCCCACCTGGTGTTAAGTGGTTACTGGAGCCCATAGACATCTACAACGTAAATGCGCCACCCACCATGAGATATAAGTTTCTAAGGCCTCAAGTATAGTTACAACGGCTGCCCCACCCTTCAAACCGAAACGCATTACTGCTTCACGGCAGAAATAGGCAGGGTGGTGGTACCTACCCGTGCGGACTCACAAGAGGTCCGACCACCAGTGATTACGCAAATTATAATGTTTGCGGGTTTGATTATTATTACACGATGTTATTCCTTCACAGTGGAAATCAATCGTGAACATTTTTTGAGTACATATTTCATTAGAAAAATTGGTACCCGCCTGAGATTCGAACACCGGTGCATCGCTACATACGAATGCACCGGACGTCTCATCCTTTAGGCCACGACGACTTCAAAACGACGATGTAGACAACATGATCTTATTATCTATCCAGAATATTTTTAGGAATCGTCGTGGCCTATTAGATAAGACGTCCGGTGCATTCGTGTTGAGCGATGCACGTAGTCCTTTTCGTTTCATCGACTTTGAAGTCACAAAGATTCTAAAGAAGTTTCACTTCAAAAAATATACCATCATAATTTTTTGATACGTGTGTAAATGTTCAAATTAATCGTCAGCTCACTGAGTTTCTCGCCGGAGATTCTCAGTGGGTCGCGATTTCGATCCAATGGTAGATTCTGCGAAACACTGCTCTTGTTAGGACTAGTGTTGGGAAATTTTCTCAGGCTGAGCCCGTGAGCTCACCCACCTTGCTGGACTAACCCCTTAGGCTACATGAGAAGTAAGGAAACAAAAGTAGGGAAGTCAAAAAAGTCTTCAATGCCCTCATCATGTGTGTAAATCATTCGTGAACATATGCCAACTTATCATTTTGTCTACAGCAACTTTATTTGTTCTATGTTCTGAGGAACCATTCGCATAAGAAAGCTATTTTATGTATGCAGCATACAATATTTCGGTTTCAGCCCCTAGGAACTCTGGTAATCTGGAAAGGCTCATCATTACCGGAAAAATAGAAGGCAAAAGACCTGGAGACTAAAGCCCGAAACGGTTGTCTCTCCTGGTTATTGACCAACTATGAATTCTGGTCAATGAAGTCCTCCACTAGACAAAAAAATTTTTATTGCTTCGATGGGTGGACGAGCGGACGGCCTACCTGGTTTTAAGTGGTTACCGGAGCCCATAAATGCCGTCACACACCTTCAGATATAAGTTCTAATGTCCTAGTTTTTACAGTACGGCTGCCCCACCTTTCAAACCGACTCACATTACTGTTTCACAGCAGAAATAGGCAGGGTGGTAATACCTACCCGTGCAGACTCACAAGATGTCTTAGGTATAGGCGCAGTGAAAAATTACAGTCTAAGACATCATCCACAACAAAAAGGGAGAGAAGAATGTATGCAATGATCTGGTTGTGACCCTGACAATATCATTGTCCTAAGGCGCCAGTAATATTGGACTGTCCGTCTGTCTATTTTTCACGACCACAATAAATAACTATTGGTATCTATTATTAAAATATGGGGTTGTCCGTCTGTCTATCTTGCGCCACCCACCTTGAGATATAAGTTCTAAGGTCTCAACTACAGTTTATTTCTTCAGTTGTTATTATTAATTTGCAGTAAACCACCTTACCACATAACGCGGCGAGGCTGGGGGGAGTTCCCGGCCAAGATCGAGCTCCACTTCGCGCAGCCCCAGCTGAACCGGCCCGCGCTCGTGCAGCACACCATCAAGCTGGACACCGACTGCACGGGCCTGCAGACGTTAGGTGAGCCCCGCATCAAGCAAGCTTTTTGAAGTTATACTTCTTTAGGCGCATTATGAAAAATTGATGAGAGTGAAATTTTACGATGCGCGCGCACCGTGACACAAAATTAACAGAATGAAGTTGCCCACTAAATCGCTCATTACAATACGACCGACGTAACTTGGCGAGTCTGAATATAGCCGCAGGTGAACTTTCCGAACCGTACCGAGAATTACCGAATTTATACGATGTCAAGAAAAGGGATGTCCAATATGCGTGTTTGAGGATGTTGTTCAATCGATTTTTTATCAAATTGATTAAAATTTAAATAAAAAAAAAGAAATAATTTAATAAAAATGTGGCGGGGGTAGCCATCATACAACGCAAGATATTTGGCAGATGCTTGAATCTCGCTTACGACATTTTCAAGACAAGCTTGCATATATACAAGTTCCGAACAACAACATTTGGACCGTCGGTCTACCAAGCAAATATCACCCGCCCTGTGGAAGATCTTCCCTCTATCGTATATCTCCCTAAAAAAATAAAGTATAACTTCTTACGCGCGTACATAAGTACACGCACCCTTTTTTTACCCCTTTTTTTGAAGTGAAACTTCTTTAGAATCGTTGTGATGTGATTTCATACTCAATGAAACGAAATGAAACGAAACGAAAAAATAAGTGTGCCGCGATTGGCTTGCCGAAGCGGCTCCGAGCGGCGCCGACAAAGCACGAAGCGCTCCACACGGTCTCGCGTCCCCGACTAGTTCAGTGTGTTGTTGACGTCCGTGCACGCTGTCGTAGCTCTCGGCGGTAGTGTGACCATATGTGGCAGGATCCTGCCATTTCGGCAGGATTAGACTCATATTTAAGCTTCTGGCATGATTGGCAAACGTTTTATAAAATCCGGCAGTTTTTGGCAGTATTGGGATAAAGAAAATAAATTTCCTTATGGCAACTCAATAAAATGTAAAGAACGGCAACCCTAAAGATACTTCGTGAGCATGTAGGGGATTTCCCTATACTTCTCATACTAATTTCGTATCACATTCAATTAACAACTTTAAATCTTTGCCAAGGCCACTTGCGATCATTTTTATTTTTTATAAGTTTCACTTCTACCGTACTACCGTGTGTGACTTGCACACATACAGACATGTATTTTTTTTTTATTGCTTAGATGGTGGTAGACGAGCTCACAGCCTACCTGGTGTTAAGTGGTTACTGGAGTTCATAGACGTCTACAACGTAAATGCGCCACCCACCTTGAGATATAAGTTCTAAGGTCTCAGTATAGTTACAACGGCTGCTCCGCCCTTCAAACCGGAACGCATTACTGCTTCACGGCAGAAATAGGCAGGGCGATGCTCTGTCAACGACTGAACCCCAAACTCTCCGCTCGCATTATACATATTTTTTATACATTTCACAAAATTACAAATGAAAGTTAGTCAAGGTGCCAAGATGAGAAACGTAAATATCTCATTTATTAACTTAATAGTTTACTTATTAATTCTAAAGCTGTCTCATTAACAATGTATGATATTTGAATGCATTAATTTCATTAAATATTAAAACGAATCTAAGCTATAGACAGCCATAACACTTTTAGGACAATCAGAATTATATTTCGGACCTGACATTGGTATATAATATTGATATATAAGACAAATGTTTGTGGTTATCAAAGATTCATTTTCCCAAATATAAACCGCGACTGAAGTCTTTATTAAATAACTAAACTTATGAGTACACTAGCCGTACTCGCCCGCTTCACTGGGTATTCAAAATTAACATTATTATCTATTGTCATTATTATTAGGAAGTCCAACACTCATATAAATATTAGCCTATACATTAAGTACATGTATTTTCTACATGGACACCAAGTTTCAAGTCAATCTGATGCACGGTTCAGTAGTTATAACGGAACATCCGTAAAAACCACTGTAGATTTATATATTAGTATATAGATTATACAACACATATATAAAAAACAATTTACAATGTGGTGTTTGTGTTTACTCATCAATCTTAGAATATATTTGTATATGTATATAAGTATGCTTTTGACACATCAGCTTATAGATTATTAGTTTCGATAATGTATTTAATCATATTTCAGGTGGCGAAACATTGGTAGATGTTTGGTTATACAGCACGGAAGAAATGCTAAAATATGAATACAAAGAAGACACGCAAACCGACGAACAAAATGAGCCAACACCTGAACTAATACAACCTAAGACGGAGCCAGTAGAAGACGTGGACTCGCAGGCAAGCTGTCAAACCGATAACTGGTTAGAGTTCTTCAGCAACGAACACAAAGACACATCCTTTGATGTTGACGAGATGATAATCAAACCCGAAAAGAAAGCTGAACTCGACATTAATTACTACGACAGTGAGCTAGTCGTGAAAACTGAGCCTCCGGAGCCTCAGACCTGGACAGATCCGTGTGAACGCCTCAACGAATTCCCCGATGAAATACTGAAGAAACCAAATCTACCGAAGAAGCGTATAGTGAAATACATGGAACCCACAACGGGGAAGATTTATTATTTAGAAATGGACAGAACGCTCGATCTCAGTAAAGTGCAGGAAATAGTGATCAATAATAAAACTGCTAAAATCAGTCCGATCAAATCGAACGGCCTGAAGAGTGTTAGAAATAGAAAACACGGTGTGTCATTGTTAAAACCTAAGTTAAGTGCTAATAAAGTGAATGATTACTCTCATATACAAAACGATCATTGTTATCTGGCAACACCGCTTTGTAATGTTGCCGGTGTCAAAAAAGAACATTCGCTGTATGAGTTTTTGTGTTCGAGTATGAATAAGTTTGATTGTGTTAGGACCGCTGTAAGTTTTTTAGTGAAAAGAATTCCATTGGTGAGTGAAGACGCTCGGGATCCAGACTTTTTGAAGAACTTTCCATTTGTCGTTGATAATTATGAACTGTTTTGGAAGATGGATTTTGCTAAACGTCGAAATATTGAGGTGAGTTCCCATCGATACATTTTTAACACGCTTTTATTAGCTTCAGACGTATGTATGTTTGTAACGGAATCTTTGAACACGATTTTGATTCCCTTTAAAACGTCGGATTAACTCGATTTTTGGTATATTAATTAAGAACCGATGACAATTCAATATTTAAAAAAAAAAATCAAAAATAATTGAAATTCAACTAAAAAATGAAATATAAATAATAGTTTAAAAAAACTAACAAAATACGCTTTTATAGAAAATCCAACAAAAAAATTGAAAATAAATTTTACACTATTTTTAATTCAATTTTTTTTTTAGTTGAATTTCCTATAAAAGCGTATTTTGTTAGTTTTTTTAAACTATTATTTATTCTATCTACAGACTATTATTTGGTTAATATGAATGAAACCAATTGAAATGTGTGAATGTGTCTGAATTGTGAGTGAGCTCCTATTTTAGTATATAATAATAGCATATAATGCGATATAAGCATAGCAAACAGCAGCAATATGAGGTCATCGTTCTAGTCTGCGAAGAAGGGCTCGACGAGTAAATTAACCCTCAGAAACAGTCCACTGAGTTTCTCGTCGGATCTTCTTAGTGGGTCGCGTTTCCGATCCGGTGGTAGATTCTGCTCTGCACGGCTCTTGCTATGGTTCGTGTTAGCAACGTCGTCAGGTTTGAGCCCCGTGAGCTCACCTACTCATTCTGCGAATCTATCATAACCCCTCGGGGTTACTAGTAATAAGTAGGAAAAAAACAAGTTAGTATTTTAGGAGGTTTAACGACAGAGGAAAGATCTTCCACCGAGCGGATGATATTGCTCGGAACTTGTGTATATGCAAGCTTATCTTGATAATGTCGTAAGCGAGATTCAGGCATCTGTAAATACCTTGTGTTGTATGATGCTACCTGCCAAAGTGTATAATAATAGTTTTGTATTCTCTCTCAATATTATTTATTTAAGGTGTACAACATCACTCATCTCGGGACTTTTTGGAGGGAACCTGAGGATTGAAGTTGTGTGATTTGTTATATTTTGTCTATTTAGTGTTTCTTCAGGTTTAAATGTGTAATAACGGTGGTTTATTAACTGTTTAGTATCTGTGAAAGTGCACAAATTTGGGAAAATCAAACAAAGCCGCCGAACGCAACTTTTCGGGATCCTCCAAAAAGTCCACTAAAAAAGTCTCAGTAAACGACCACCATTTTACTGAGATTATATTTCATACCATATCATCTCCTCTCATTTCATTTCATATTGTAATATTTCATAGAAATAAGAATATAAATTAAAGAAGACTTGACCTAAAGGTCTTAGAAACCAGGTCATAAAATACCATAAAAAAATCTCTTATCTCTTTGGTAATATGGGTCGGATAGTTTTTCATGAATCGTAAGGCAGACAACACTAACATGATGAACAAATATCCAAAAAAAACTCTTCCCCCTCTTTATACCTGTTAAAGAAAACAATGTGCCATTACATTACACTTATTACGTTACAGTGGTCACGGGCGAAACTAATCAACAAAATATTAAGCGAGCACTTCATTAACAACGAAACAATATGGAGAACAAAGCAAATACTAATCTATTCTAGGCTGCACGGCTACTATCCCATACGCAAGGACTGCCTGAATGACAGATCTGAGACGTCAGACGATAACGAGAGGTTGACATCTGACGTTAAAACGCTGTCAATCTTCGACCCGGAGTTATACAGCTGTCAGAACGAAGTCCTCAATCTGACGGGATCGGATGACGAAATCGACGTTGTCAACTGTCAGTCGCCTGTCAAAGTCAAAGTGGAGTTGCCATGTGAGGAGGTGTTGACAGTGCTGCCAGTGGAAAACGAAGACGACAGACTGAGGTATTTTTATATTGAGAAGAAATGCGCTGATATCGGTATCGATTTACGATGTGAAGATATTGGAAACGGATATTCTTACAGGTGAGTTTAAGTAGTGATCGATTTTTTTTTATGTTATGTGCAAATTTGTTTTTAAATAATGGTATTAATTTAAACTATTCACGAAAACATTTATCTGATTTATCATGTTTACAATTTCTGTTAAATTATATCTCGTAATTCATAATTATCAATAAGTTGTTCTGGCGTACATGTATGATCTCTGCTTAGGGCAATCCTAAACATGAAGTTTTGTACGATTGTTTTTTAATGTGGGAACACATTAATAAGTGTGGCAACACAGTCAGTGTAGACGACAATAAAAATTTCTAGTCGTACGTGCACTTGTTCTACCTTAAAAGAAAAATAGCTTCGCTCTGAATATAGCTTTATTGAAGCGACCAGTCAAAATTACAGTCCACGCTCTACACAATATCTGTGTGCTTAGTGCGAGTGTGTTAACGTTCTCGATAGAGTAAAAGTTAACTCATATTTGTATGGAGTTGGAACGTTTGCCTAAGTTTGAAAAACTCGCACTAAGCACACTAGTCCCCAAAGTAGTGACTTAATACTTTCTATTGTACTAAGCGTCAGATCATTAAGACTAGGTCCCTTGGTCCCCAGCGCGGTGCACGCCGTACTGCTGTCCGCGGTCCGCAGCGTGGCCGACGAGCTACTCCGGGGCGCGCTCGCGCACAGCCTCGCCCGGACCAACACCGCCTGGCCGGGGTACGACCGATACACGCACTCTCATATACTGCCCTTAGTATTATTTGTTAAAGGAGACTAAAGTAACAAAATCTGTACATTCCCGAAAACCGTGTTAAGTGGAAGTGTGGACGAGCTCACAGCCCACCTGGTGTTAAGTGGTTGCCGGAGCCCATAGACATCTACAACGTAAATGCGCCATCCATTTTGAGATATAAGTTCTAAGGTCTCAGTATAGCTACAACGGCTGCCCCACCCTTCAAACCGAAACGCATTACTGCTTTACGGACTCGGTGCGGACTCACAAGAGGTCTTACCACCAGTGACTCCAGACATGATGCCAATAAAATAATCGACATCACAGTTTTACTATCTTGCAAACTGCGCAATGTAACACAATTAAAAGTAGGGGTTAACGACCTCTCTCGACTATAATTGCCTACGATTGCGCGTTCCTTAAACATAAACTTAACGATAAGTATTCATGTAGATAGGGAAATGAATATTATCCCTTTTTGTCACGTAAATGACGGGTGTCCTACGCGACGCACTGAAGTAATTATGTCGATTTCTATTAATAAGCGCGCCTGGATTGCCTAATTTTGTCTTCTTTTTTTTTGTTAATGTATGATTTAGTCCTTTTTGCCTCTTAGAAATAGATTCATTCTCAGTACCATCAGATTCGTCTTTCCTCGAGTATCATTATCATTATCCTGCCCTTCTCCCAGTTACCTGGGGTCGGCACAACATGATTTCTCCTTCCATACTCTTCTATCATATACCATTTCTTCGCTCACTCCCCTCTTACCCATATCGTCTTTCACGCAATCCATCCATTTCTTCTTAGGTCTACCTCTTCCTCTATATCCTTCCACATTCACAGTTAACACTCTCTTACCAACCTCATTTTCATTTCGTCTCATCACATGTCCATACCATCCCAAACGCGCACTTCTCAACTTCTCTGTCACAGGTGCCACTTTCAGACTTCCTCTAACATATTCATTCCGTATTCTATCCATTCTCGTTACTCCACACATCCATCGCAACATTCGCATCTCTGCTGCATGCAATCGCCTTTCCTAGAGTATATATACTACATATTCCGACGCCTTAGTAAGAGGAACTCTTGAGCTGTTAGGTCTCCTTCGGTGGCGCTCGGGTAGCTGTTAGCAAATCCCACCCCTCCTGGCTGAGCCTTTGCTCGCCCACCTGTCCTGGTGAAACTGGAAAGGCCTCCGAGCCACCAGTAATCCTTCAATCATAAAAAAAAAAAGTAAGAGGATCGAAGAGAAAAATCCGCATAATGACTTCAGTATGCTCTACGTATAATTACGCAGGGCATCCTGTGTGACAGTAACCAATAACATGACGATACGACGATGACCGGGAGTGGCAGTGTTGTATACAGTGACGTCACGGTTGCAGGTCGTCGCACCGCCGCGAGCGCGTGTCGTGCGGCGCCGTGGCGGCGGGCGCGGCGGCGGGCCGGCTCGCGCTGCTCACGGACGCGGCGCTGGGGGCCGCGCCCAAGGACAAACACAACTTATAATATTACATTTATACCACAGCACAGTCGCCTTTTATTTATACTTATATTTAGTACTAGCGACCCGCCCTCGCTTCGCTTCGGAAACTGTAATTTATTATTGATTTCTCCACTATTTAATGGATGTTATTATACATATAAACCTTCCTCTTCAGTCACTCTATCTATTAAAAAAACCGCATCAAAATCCCTTGCGTAGTTTTAAAGATTTAAGCATACATAGGGATATAGGTCAGTGTGGAGTTCCTCAACCTTAACGAGACGAACAAAGGTGAGGATCTTCAACTCAAATGTAAAGTCTGTACTGCTATACGGGAGCGAAACTTGGTTTGTTCGCAAGGACTTGATAAGAAAACTTCAAGTGTTTGTGAATAAGTGCCTGCGTCAGATTTTGAAAATCTTTTGGCCTGAGAAGATCAGCAACAAAGAGCTGTGGAGGATCACTAAGCAGACACCAATGGAGAAGGAGATCCTTACGCGGAAGTGGCATTGGATTGGTTGACACACATTTTGACATTTTGAGAAAGCCCGATACCCACCTATCAAAAAGAGCACTGACCTGGAAAGTGTCTGGCAAGAGGAAAAGAGGCCGCCCCAGAACAACTTGGCGTCGCTCGGTGGAGCAGGAGCTAGGGGTCTTGGGCATGGCGTGGGAGGAGCTAGAACAGACTGCCCAAGACCGATGTAAATGGAAAAATTTGATTCGAGCCCTACACCCCAGCAGAGGGTAATAGGAAGGAATGATGATGATGAGGGATGTAGGTAGGCAGCGGCTCTGCCCCTGGCATTGCTGACGTGCATGAGCGACGGTGACCACCTACCACCAGGTGTATGCTCGTCTACCTACAAAGGCAATAAAAAAAAAATAAAAAAATATGGGACAGAGAATGCGACTTTGTTTTATACTATGTAATGATACTGGGAGACCACTTCCGAAAACAAAGATAGACGATAGTAGTAATGACACCTTTGATGATGGGAAGTGATGAGAAGGAAAAAAATCGATCCTGATTTTAAAAAAAAAAACATATTTTTAAAAGGTTTTTTTAGCATTATTTACACTCCATCGTGTAGTTTCATAAAATAGTATTAGTAGTTTCATAAAAAAATACATTACTAAAAAAAAACCAGCAATGAAACACAAAATCAAAAACAGCTGATGCTCGGGTCAACGCCCGCGCGCTGTGCGGCGCAGACTCGCGCGATCCCACAAATCTATATATTAATACGTGAAGCAAGAACCTTGTACCGCTTTTTACGGAAATTGCGCGGACGGAGGTGTATGGAATTTCTCACACTTATAGAGAATGTAGAGAAGGAGTGCAGAATATTACTATTTTATAAAATTATGCATAAAAAATACATTAAATCGAAAAATAATAATTACACACACTACCATCTATTTGACACACACGCGCATGCATACTATTTGTTTATTGTCAAACTTTTCTCATTGCTTAGTCTGTTGTCAAATTGAGAATAGATTAAATATATATTTTTATTGCCTTTGTAGGCAGACGAGCATACGGCCCACCTGATGGTAAGTGGTCACCGTCGCTCATGGACGTCAGCAATGCCAGGGGCAGAGCCAAGCCGCTGCCTACCATAAAGTACTCTCCGCAAGCCTCGTTTGAAGAAGGACATGTCATAGCGCTCGGAAAACACCGTGGAGGGGAGTTCATTCCAAAGCCGGANCGCGCTAGAGTGCTGGTAGCGCGCCGCGCGGCCTCACCCCCTCAGGTCGCCCCTTGACCTTCACCGGGGGCGCCTGGATTGCCTAACTTTGCCCTTTTTTTTTGTTAATGTATGATTTAGTCCTTTTTGCCTCTTAGAAATAGATTCATTCTCAGTACCATCAGATTCGTCTTTCCTAGAGTATCATCATCATTATCCTGCCCTTCTCCCAGTTACCTGGGGTCGGCACAACATGATTTCTCCTTCCATACTCTTCTATCATATACCATTTCTTCGCTCACTCCCCTCTTACCCATATCGTCTTTCACGCAATCCATCCATTTCTTCTCTTCCTCTATATCCTTCCACATTCATAGTTAACATTCTCTTACCAACCTCATTTTCATTTCGTCTCATCACATGTCCATACCATCCCAAACGCGCACCTCTCAGCTTCTCTGTCACAGGTGCTACTTTCTGACTTCCTCTAACATATTCATTCCGTATTCTATCCATTCTCGTTACTCCACACATCCATCGCAACATTCGCATCTCTGCTGCATGCAATCGCCTTTCCTAGAGTATATATACTACATATTCCGACGCCTTAGAAAGAGGAACTCTTGAGCTGTTAGGTCTCCTTCGGTGGCGCTCGGGTAGCTGTTAGCAAATCCCACCCCTCCTGGCTGAGCCTTTGCTCGCCCACCTGTCCTGGTGAAACTGGAAAGGCCTCCGAGCCACCAGTAATCCTTCAATCATAAAAAAAAAGTAAGAGGATCGAAGAGAAAAATCCGCATAATTAATTACTTCAGTATGCTCTACGTATAATTACGCAGGGCATCCTGTGTGACAGTAACCAATAACTTGACGATACGACGATGACCGGGAGTGGCAGTGTTGTATACAGTGACGTCACGGTTCTAGATCGTCGCACCGCCGCGAGCGCGTGTCGTGCGGCGCCGTGGCGGCGGGCGCGGCGGCGGGCCGGCTCGCGCTGCTCACGGACGCGGCGCTGGGGGCCGCGCCCAAGGACAAACACAACTTATAATATTACATTTATACCACAACACAGTCGCCTTTTATTTATACTTATATTTAGTACTAGCGACCCGCCCTCGCTTCGCTTCGGAAACTGTAATTTATTATTGATTTCTCCACTATTTAATGGATGTTATTATACATATAAACCTTCCTCTTCAGTCACTCTATCTATTAAAAAAACCGCATCAAAATCCCTTGCGTAGTTTTAAAGATTTAAGCATACATAGGGATATAGGTCAGTGTGGAGTTCCTCAACCTTAACGAGACGAACAAAGGTGAGGATCTTCAACTCAAATGCAAAGTCTGTACTGCTGTACGGGAGCGAAACTTGGTTTGTTCGCAAGGACTTGATAAGAAAACTTCAAGTGTTTGTGAATATGTGCCTGCGTCAGATTTTGAAAATCTTTTGGCCTGAGAAGATCAGCAACAAAGAGCTGTGGAGGATCACTAAGCAGACACCAATGGAGAAGGAGATCTTTACGCGGAAGTGGCATTGGATTGGTCACATTTTGAGAAAGCCCGATACCCACCTATCAAAGAGAGCACTGACCTGGAAAGTGTCTGGCAAGAGGAAGAGAGGCCGCCCCAGAACAACTTGGCGTCGCTCGGTGGAGCAGGAGCTAGGGGTCTTGGGCATGGCGTGGGAGGAGCTAGAACAGACTGCCCAAGACCGATGTAAATGGAAAAATTTGATTCGAGCCCTACACCCCAGCAGAGGGTAATAGGAAGGAATGATGATGATGAGGGATATAGGTAGGCAGCGGCTCTGCCCCTGGCATTGCTGACGTGCATGAGCGACGGTGACCACTTACCATCAGGTGTATGCTCGTCTGCCTACAAAGGCAATAAAAAAAAAAAACAAAAAAACATATGGGACAGAGAAAGCGACTTTGTTTTATACTATGTAATGATACTGGGAGACCACTTCCGGAAACAAAGACAGACGATAGTAGTAATGACACCTTTGATGATGGGAAGTGATTGATGGGAAGGAAAAAAATCGATCCTGATTTTAAAAAAAAAACGTATGTTTAAAAGGTTTTTTTAGCATTATTTACACTCCATCATGTAGTTTCATAAAAAATACATTACTAAAAAAAAACCAGCAATGAAACACAAAATGAAAAACAGCTGATGCTCGGATCAACGCCCGCGCGCTGTGCGGCGCAGACTCGCGCGATCGCTCAAATCTAAATCTACGTGAAGCAAAAACCTTGTACCTACCCCTTTTTACGGAAATTGCGCGGACGGAGGTGTATGGAATTTCTCACACTTATAGAGAATGTAGAGAAGGAGTGCAGAATATTACTATTTTATAAAATTATGCATAAAAAATACACTAAATCGAAAAAAAATAATTACACACACTACCATCTATTTGACACACACGTGCATGCATACTATTTGTTTATTGTCAAACTTTTCTCATTGCTTAGTCTGTTGTCAAATTGAGAATAGATTAATTTAATTAAATTAATCTATTTTATTAATTATATTTTAATATTAAATTAATAATTAAATTTTTTTTTTATTGCCTTTGTAGGCAGACGAGCTTACGGCCCACCTGATGGTAAGTGGTCACCGTCGCTCATGGACGTCAGCAATGCCAGGGGCAGAGCCAAGCCGCTGCCTACTATAAAGTACTCTCCGCAACCCTCGTTTGAAGAAGGACATGTCATAGCGCTCGGAAAACACCGTGCAGGGGAGCTCATTCCAAAGCCGGATGGTACGTGGCAAAAAAGATCTTTGGAAACGCACTGTCGATGAACGCAGCGGTTCCAGATAATATGGATGAACCCTATTGTTTGTCTTTAACATTTTTGTCTAAAGTGTAATCTTGGCGAGATTTGTGATTAAAGAATTATAATAGTATTTGCCAATAGAACCATATTAGTATACAAACTTATAATTTCAATTAATTATAGTCGAATTTCGACTTTGCCACTGTGCTAGTCTTTACCTAGAATATCTGTTGCTCATGCGCACATGAAAGTCTAAATGAAACAACCCCAAAAACTAAAAATACTAAACAAAATCAATCCCGCCAAAACAAAACGCTCCTTTTGCGGTGGGATCACAGACCACAGATCAATAAAGCATTAGACATTCCCAACTTTTATTTTATAAGCTTAGTTAACCCTACTGACTAGTCTTTTTATGGAACTCTGAGTTATAACTCTAACTTTTTTTACTGGTGGTAGGACCTCTTGTGAGTCCGCACGGGTAGGTACCACCGCCCCGCTTATTTCTGCCGTGAAGCAGTAATGCGTTTCGGTTTGAAGGGCGGGGCAGTATAGTAACATGTGGAATGATTTTAAAAACAATGCCATAAACTTTTCACTTGAATCCAGCACAATTCACTCTGTTTAAAACTGGCATTGATAGCGGGTTAGGTTGCATTCCCTGTGGCCCGATACTGTCACTTGACCCCCCTGAGCTACACGGATATTCAACTAAAGGTTGCAGCTTGGTCCTGCCCATGGCAATGCTGCAGCCCATGGGCGACGGTAACCACTCACCATCAGGTGGGCCGTATGCTTCTCTGCCTATAAGAACAATAACAAAAAACCACCACTAATAAAACAAGATTTATAGTATAAATATATATATTGGTAAAGCACACTGTCTGCTGGTGCACTATCTCCGGTCCGTCTTGCCGACCCCACGTTTTCCAGCGAACAGATGCTTCGGCATCTTGGTGCCGATGAACCGGTCCGCCTCTCCCTTGAGGCCCATCTTCTTGGTCTTCTTGGCGATGGCCGCGTGGGCCATCCTCTTTACTTTCACGCGCATCTGTTTTAAAAACATTTTATTATTATGTATATTTTTTTTTACTATTAGTGATCGATGATTGGTCAATAATCTCATTATGCAACATAGTGCATCAATCGATAAATAAAAGACCCTAAACTTTTTTATAAAATAAACTAAAAACAAACAAAAGGAATCAGTCCGACGGGGGACACATCAAAGGGAAAACAAAATTGTTATTTTTTTTTAATTCCGAGGAGCATTTTCATATTTATCTACCTTTTAAACCTTCTCTGGACTTCGACAAATAATTCAAGACCAAAATTAGCCAAATCGGTCCAACCGTTCTCGAGTTTTAGCGAGACTAACGAACAGCAATTCATTTTTATATATATAGATAGAAGATAGATAATTAAACTTCGAATACAAATAAAAACATGCTAAACTAGCAAGTTAAAATGAAAATTAAAATAATCACTTAAGACTAAAATAATAATATTACTATATTGTCACCAGTCATTGACCCGTGTGCATTGTCAAGTCAATCTCATGTTTTGAACTTGACGAATGTCATGTTGAGCGGTTCCATTACACAGACATATAGATAGTGGACGAGCCAGCAGAGACATTATAAAAACATGCAATACTTTTTAATTGGACTAATTTTAATTAAAGTTTGTGGGAAACCTTGTTCTTGTATGTCTCCTCCGTGTGACCAAGGCATACAAGGGTTATTTTGAATATCAAGGACCGGTATACAAAAAAAACTTGCAACTATTTTTTATTTATTGCTTACAAGATGTGCGGACGAGCTCACAGCCCACTTGGTGTTAAGTGGTTACTGGAGCCCATAGACATCTACAACGTAAATGCGCCACCCACCTTGAGATATTAAGGTCTTAGTACAGTTACACGGCTGCCCCACCCTTCAAACCGAAACGCATTCGCATTCACGGCAGAAATAGGCAGGGCGGTGGTACCTACCCGCGCGCACTCACAAGAGGTCCAAACACCAGTTTGCATGTAGAGGTCTCTAAATAAGCGGTAGTGAGGTCAATGTGGCGGGTACTCACGATGGGGTCGGCCACGGGCTGGTTGGAGGGTTCCCGCGCGCGCTTGGCGGGCGGCGCGGAGAGCGAGCGGGAGCGGGAGCGGGGGCGGGCGCGGGTGAAGTGCGCGTCGCCGGTCTCCGACATGTCCACGCCTGGAGCGACACATACAAACGTTATATTCAATAACTTAAAATAACTTAAAACAATATCTCGATCAATATTATCGGGTAATGTTAGTATCCGGCCTACGAGAAACAATCACACAGTCAAATATCTATTTTAGGACACTTAAATAAGCGGCCCTAAATATGACGGCGACAATAATAAAATGTTTATTTTATGTAAAAATGTACAATGCTTTTTTTATGGGATTTTATGACCTGGTAAGTAAGACCTTTAAGTCATGTCTTATTTTAATTTATAGTCTTATTTTTATGAAAATTGATAATATGGAGTGAAATGAAATGAAATAAAGATGATTAATTTGAAACATTAATCAACTGGGATGAAATTGAATGAAATGAGATGAAATATAATCTCAGTAAAATCATCATCACCAAAATCAGTCATTTACTGAGATTTTTTTTAGTGGACTTTTTGGAGGAACCCGATAAGTTACGTCCAGCGGCTTTGTTTCATTTTCCCACATTTGTGCACTTTCAAGAGAGAGAGAGAGAGAGAGCGATCTCTTCCAGACTCTTTTGCTTCTTTACACATAAATAGAGTCAATAGAGTCCACAAGTTCGAAGTTATTGACTCGACTATACTTCAACAGATGGGTGCGTGCTCACACTAGCGCGTCGTCCTGGTGTACAACTGAAACACGTACCGAGTTTCTCCATGTCCTTCCTGAGCTTGGAGGTGGACCTCTGCTTGGTCTTGGCTCGCGAGGTGCGCGGCATCACCGGCTTCGTGGACTGCTTCACCAGGCGAGACTCGTCCTTGAGAATGGCCTTCTTGTTGCTAAACACAAGGAGATGATTACAGTAGATCGGGGGGAATTGAGACTAGTGTTAGAATTGGGACAAATCTGGGATGTCACAATACTTTTGTTTAGTTGTTAGATTTAACTTTGTTAAATTACTTTTATTTAGTGTTTAAGAATATTAAATAGTTTCATTTAGTCATCAACCTAACAACTAAATAGTGGCAGCCCTATCGAAAAAATATTGTCCCTAATGTAACCTGATACACCCTAAAGCCAAGGTGAATCGGGTCAAGCTAGTTTTTTCAGTTTTTGTGTATACTTTGTAACGAACTATGTATAATAACGCATCGTATTAAGCCTCCGGAACCATTTTAATCTCAATTTTATTGGTATAACCCTTAGAAAGTACCGTAAGTTAGTATTACCCTTTGAAGTCGTCGTGGCCTAAAGGATAAGACGTCCGGTGCATTCGTGTTGAGAGATGCACCGGTGTTCGAATCCCGCCGGCGGGTACCAATTTTTCTAATGAAGTACGTACTCAACAATTGTTCACGATTGACTTCCACGGTGAAGGAATAACATCGTGTAATAAAAATCAAACCCGCAAAATTATAATTTACGTAATCACTAGTGGTAGGACCTCTTGTGAGTTCACGCGAGTAGGTACCACCACCCCGCTTATTTCTGCCGTGAAGCAGTAATGCGTTTCGATTTGAAGGGTGGGGCAGCCGTTGTAACTGTATTGAGATCTTAGAACTTATATCTCAAGGTGGGTGTAGCGCATTTACGTCGTAGATATCTATGGGCTCCAGTAACCACTTAACACTAGGTGGGCTGTGAGCTTGTCCACTCATCTAAGCAATAAAAAAAATTGTTGGATTTGGAAAGGGTCCCGAATCCCCCTCAATCTACAGTATTTAGAACCTACAATGGCTACAATGAGTGGGGGAGGGTTGAGGGTGCCGGGGCTCACCGTATCTGCCGGGCCAGTTCCCTGATCTCCCTCACGGTGTCGTCCAGCTCGATCTTGGGCGCGGCGTACATGCCGCCAGCCTCGCGCAGTTCCTCGTCCTTCTCCAACTCTGCCAGTTTCTGGTAAAATTACGATACCTTTAAATTCTAATCTAAATTTTCAATTTAAGTAAAACTTTGAGCACATATCCAAAAAGTCTAAAAACTAGTTTTTTTTTTAATACACTAACATAATGTTACGCCGGTAAAAGTAACGCCATCTATCGCCGAATAGTCGAACGAATGTCGAAGGACCTAGAACGCTCGAGAATTACAACGCCATCTATTGTCAGATAGCGGAAACTACTACTAGACATGTGTGGAATATTCAGTGTTTTAAGTGTTGAATACAGTTTTTAGTTGTACTTTGGTGAAATTTTATTCATCCCGAGCCCCAGCGCGTAACAATAATATAGCCTCATAAATATGACTACATAAATAAAAATGTTCCAAAGCCTCATGACGATATTTGACGCAGTTGTGTGGAGACGGTTCCTGTCGAGGTACGGACAGATGGCGCCGGGCAGGTCAAAGATATAAGTGGAGGTGTTCCGCACTACCATACGAGCTCAAAGCCCACCTGGTGTTAAGTGGTCACTGGAGCCCATAGACATCTACGACGTAAATGCGCCACCCACCTTGAGACATAAGTTCTAAGGTCTCAAGTATAGATACAACGGCTGCCCCACCCTTCAAACCGAAACGCATTATTGCTTCACGGCAGATATAGGCAGGGTGGTGGTACCTACCAGTGCGGACTCACAAGAGGTCCTACCACCAATAAAAACCACCAAGCAACTTATCGTGAAACACATTAAGATCGGGTATCCCTGTGATAAGGGAATGGATACTCACATCGAAGATGTCCGGGTCGATGTAGTCGGCGATGTTGTGTCCCTCCCAGATCTCCGGGATGACGTCATAGCGCTCGTCCTCCGCGATCTCCGTGTAGTTCTTCTTCAAGTCTGCAAAGCAACAGACAAGCCGTTTTTTCGCATTAAAAATGTGCAATTTCCAAAAATATTCGAAATTGAGTTAATATGCGGAATCATTTAGTTTAGTTTTAGTTTTTTTTTTTTAGTTTACCCATGTTTTGACTACTATTAACAAAATTAATACATAATTTTATCTTACTTTAAAAGACAGATAATGTAACTGGTAAAAAAATTTTTGCAAAGATGAATAATATTAAAAGTATCACAATTTTTTTTTATTGCCCATGTAGGCAGACGAGCATACGGCCCACCTGATGGTGAGTGGTTACCGTCGCCCATGGACTTCAGCAATGCCAGGAGCAGAGCTAAGCCGCTGCCTATATCACAAGTTAAACCTTTAAAACTCTCCTGTAAAATTAGTAATTTTTTAAATTATACAGGTTTAATGCGAGAAGACGAAGCGTCAGCCGCGTGTACTGGTCGCCCGCGGACAGCGCCGCCCCCCCGGTGCGCTCACCGAGTACGTAGTCGTCGCCGAGCTCCACCTCGATCTCCCTCTCCAGTTTCCTCTTCCGGTTCTCCTTCTCTGCTTGTTTCTCCTTCTTGGCGAGGACCGAGGGCGGCAGCACGGGCGGGCGCGGCTTGTCGTCGCGCGGGGCCGGCACCGCCACGTGGAGCCGGTTCAAGATGCCGTCCACCTGTAAAACATACACTTTGTGGTCAACCAATGCGATATGTACTTAAAGCGTTACATGCCATCTGATGTAAAGCAGTGCCGGGATCTAGGTACCAGCCAGTGGTTGGAATGTCCCTTTTTGGAATCTCCCTAGTGTAGACTGATGTATATTGAACAGTAAAAGTATAGCGGTGACCATAATCGGACAGATCATGACAAGTCATATAGAGATTATTTAACGGTAGGCAGCGGATTGTTGCTGCCCTTAACATTGCTAAAGTCTATTGAGCGAAGATAACCACTCACCATAGATCGTATGCTCGTCTGACAACAAAGACACTGAAAATGGCACGAGTTTGGAAGGAAACGACATAGGGAAGATCTCCCACCGAGGAGGTGACATTTCTCAGAAAACCGACAGTTCAAATATTATTGTTCAGAAATCTTGAAAATGTCGTTAGCGAGATTCAGGTATCTGTAATCTTGTGTTCTAAGAGTTACCCCGCTACAAAAAAAAAAAAGTGTGTGTGTGTGTGTGTGTGCAAGTCGCACACGTTAGAAGTGAAATTTACAAATAAGATATAGATATACTGACTACCCCACTACACAGGAGCATACATGTGGACAATGTTCAGTAGACGATAGTGGGGATGCGAAGAGGAGAACGTCTAATGTGTTCTATCTCATTCTCTCGCCGGCTGAATCCTATACATTTATGTGTTTGTGTCTCTATGGACTTATTTTTTCGTTTCATCGAGTTTGAATCACAACGATTCTAAAGAAGTTTCACTTCAATATTCCATTGTTCACCTTCTTTGTCCGCATCTTCTCTGTGACCCGGTGTCCCAGCAGCCTCTCGCAGGCTTCAATTTTGACCTCCTGCACGCCCTCTTCAGTCACAGTGGACATCCGCATCACCGGCACCACGGACAGATCAGAATTTGAATCCGCACTGGAACCGAAATTCACATATTTTTTTAGACCACTTGATTGGTAGACAAGCCCACCTTAGCGAGCTAACATACCAGAGAGCAAACTGGAATACAACGGTTTTGTGGCAGCACTAAGCAGGCTGGTGGTGCCTACCCTTGCAGGCTCACACTTAACCATCAGTAATTATAAGTCACAAATAGATAAATTTGAAAGTTTTATTACACTACATTGTGACACTTACATCATTGAAATCATCACGTGTTAACACATTATGTACCCATATCCTTAGACTACTAAAACAAGATAGCAGGTAGCAAGATGTCTGAGGGATGTAGAGATCACTATAATACCAAATCAATCATTCTTCTTCTTTGAACCACAATTAAATAATAAATAAATAAATATTTACTAAGAATCACACCACGTTAACTGGTCCTGTGCTAAGTTCGTAAAGAATTTGTGTTACAGGTACCAGATAACAGAAATGAATGTCAGATTTTTATTATACACATACATATATTCAATATACATCCATAACCCTGGAAAAGAAATTTTATACTCATCATACAAATATCTTCCCATGGCGGGATTCGAACCTGCGACCCCCTTGTGTAGTGACCACATTACTTACCACTACACCAGACGGCCGTTTTAACTAAGTCTAGAGGTTAAATCTATTTTCTAAATACAGCAGTGCATTTATACCTCTCTCTTTTTACTACTGCACTTAACACCAGAACAGAGAGCTCTTTTTGCCACATACCTTCTGGCTTTGTATTGAACTACCCTCCAGTGCAGTATGACATGTCCTTCTTCAAACTAAGTGTAAAGAGTCTGCAGCAGTGGCTGTGCTCTGTGAATCGCTGATGTCCTTAAGCAACAATGACTAATCACAATCAAATGGGCCATATGCCTGTCTTTTTTTTTTTTGCTTAGATGGGTGGACGAGCTCACAGCCCACCTGGTGTTAAGTGGAGCCCATAGACATCTACAATGTAAATGCGCCACCCACCTTGAGATATATGTAAGTTCTAAGGTCTCAGTATAGTTACAACGGCTGCCCCACCCTTCAAACCGAAACGCATTACTGCTTCACGGCAGAAATAGGCAGGGCGGTGGTACCTACCCGTGCGGACTCACAAGAGGTCCTACCACCAGTGAAAGAGTGTCTCGTTATAGCCCCAGGTAAAATACACTTACTTGACAAGATTCCCTTTAGAGCATGTTTCGGTCAGATCGTCCAGCAACTGTTTCTTACTCGGAGACAGCTCTTCAGGTTTGACCACATCCATCTTGTTTAACACTACTATTAGGGGTTTGCTTGTGAATAAAGGCTTTATACTTTCGAATAGGGATATCTGTAGAAGAAGTTATACTGTATTAGACATTGGATATACATTGACACTAAAAATAACAATTATTCGGTAGGCAGCGGGGCTTGGCTCTGCCCCTGGCATTGCTGAAGTCCATGGGCGACGGTAACCACTCACCATCAGGTGGGCCGTACGCTCGTCTGACTACAAGGGCAATAAAAAAAAAATTTAAAGGTCCTTATATTTGAGTCGACTATTATCAAAGCCGGCAATGTGACTTTTGGAAAATTATTGGTAAATGAGAAAAACGAATTATTGACTTTGTATTCCATTGGCAGTCACAAAACTCTTCTGAACGACATCTTAGATAAATAACAGGTTAAGTATTAACCTTTATTTAATGCAGGTTTTGAACCGTATTCTTTGAAGGAGACGATTATATTCAAATCAATCTGTATTGACATATCAATAACATTTTTTTGTCCAAATGCACAGATNTCAGAAAAACGAATTATTGACTTTGTATTCCATTGGCAGTCACAAAACTCTTCTGAACGACATCTTAGATAAATAACAGGTTAAGTTAATACTTTATTTAATGCAGGTTTTGAACCGTATTCTTTGAAGGAGACGATTATATTCAAATCAATCTGTATTGACATATCAATAACATTTTTTTGTCCAAATGCACAGATTGCCACCTATGATAATAGACGACTCAATTATTCGGTAGGCAGCGGCTGAGCTCTGCCCCTGGCATTGCTGAAGTCCATGGGCGACGGTAACCACTCACCATCAGGTGGGCCGTATGCTCGTCTGACTACAAGGGCAATAAAAAAAAAATTAAAGGTCCTTATTATATTTATAATATAACGACCCGCCCTCGCTTCGCTTCGGAAACATTAAATTTTATTATTGATAGTCGAGTCCCGCGATGTTACCCGTGGTTATTGTCGTACCGCGGGTGACACTGCGAGGCAAAGCTAATCTAAGAAAAAGTAGCCTAAGTTACTCCTTATATCATCAGCTACCTATCAGTGAAAGTCCCGTCAAAATCGGTCCAACCGTTCCAGAGATTAGCCGGAACAAACAGACAGACAGACAGACACAAAAATTGTAAAAAATGTTATTTTGGTGTATGTACCGCATATATATTCATATGCATGTAGTAAAAAGCGGTTATTTCAATATTACAAACAGACACACCAATTTTATTTATATGTATCGATTGACTTGGAGGTGTAGTAGTTAAAATCTCTGATGGCTGAACTGAAGGCTCTGGTTTCGATTCTCACATCTGGTAAACATTAGTCTCTAACAGACTTGTTTTCTCTGAATGTCTAATATTTATAGTTATGTTTATCAATCTCTATGTATGATGATCAGTTCCGCTACCTATTTTTCCAATATGAAGAGCCCAAATGTTAATATACCTGGTCTTCAATACTATGGCCACACTGCTCAGACGGATCTATGAAGTATAGTATGGCAGCTCTGAGATGAGCCAAAGCTGTGACCGCTTGCATTTCTATAACATTGCGTTCTTCCAATGGATGATCCAAGATTCCAGGGGTGTCTATCACCTGAAAAATAAAGATTACAGTAATCTCCATATGTATAATTATTGTTGTAAATAATTAATTTCAAAAAATTTGTCAATTAAATGGTTGGTGGACTTTTTGGCGGGAATGCGAGGAGTGAAGTTGTGTGATTTGTTTTATTTTATCTATTTAGTGTTTCTTCAGGTTGAAATGTGTAATAATGGTAGTTTATTAACTGTTTAATATCTGTGAAAGTGCACAAATGTGGGAAAATGGAACAAAGCTAGCTTCTTGGGATTTTCCAAAGAGTCCACTGAGAAAATGTCAGTAAACGACCACGAGTTTACTGAGATTATATTTCATCCCATATCATCTCATCTCATTTCATTTCATGCCATGTTTCATATTAATCAACTTCATTTCATTTCACTTCATATTATCATTTTTCATAAAAATTATGAATATATATTAAAACTAGCTGACCCGGCAGACTTCGTAGTGCCTCAATCGATAAATAAAAGACACATCAAGGTGGACACATCTAAGGAAAAACAAAATTGTTTGTTTTTATATAATTCCAAGCATTTTCATAATTTTTCACCTTTTAAACCTTCTCTGGACTTCCACGAATAATTCAAGACCAAAATTAGCCAAATCGGTCCAGCCGTTAGTTTAGCGAGACTAACGAACAGCAATTCATTTTTATATATAAAATAAGACTTGACCTAAAGGTCTTAGTTACCAGGTCACAAAAACACTTAAAAATAATTTAATGGTTGGTGTGAGCAAAATTGATATTCTGAACATATCTGGCAGTTTCTGTTTGTATAAAAATGTTGTGTCTTTACTGCAAAGCAATATCAACATACCTGCCATCTCAAATATTTGTAATCAGTATGACCAACATACAGACTCTTTGTGGTAAACGCATATGGCTGCACTTCCACATCAGCACGTGTTATCTGAAAATATATAATAATTATTTATATTTAATTTCAGAAGAAAAAAGAAAAAATCTATTTGCATCAAATGAGCATAAGTATAATGTAATTACATAATAATATAACGCATTTTTTTTTTATGCTTAGATGTGTGGACGAGCTCACAGCCCACCTGGTGTTAAGTGGTTACTGGAGCCCATAGACATCTACAACGTAAATGCGAAAGACACCTTGAGATATAAGTTCTAAGGTCTCAGTATAGTTACAACGGCTGCCTCACCCTTCAAACCGAAACGCATCACTGCTTCACGGCAGAAACAGGCGGGGCGGTGGTACCCACCCGCGCGGACTCACAAGAGGTCCTACCACCAGTAAAAATATAAGATTGCCAGTGTAGTTGTATCAACTCCAGTAGGGTTATCTCGACTTGACATGATGTAATTTATGACATGGGCTTGTAGGTGATGATACAAGATAATTAGGAAATGCACTGTGTGGTTGAGCTCTTTATGAACTCATACAGATAAATACTGTCTTCCTATCTAATTCTGCTATAGAGAAGCCATGCATCCATAGTTGAAAAGAGTCATACTCAAACTCATGTTCTGATATTTATTAACTTCATTTACTACTCTTAATACTGTAAAATTTAGTATGGTTGACTAAGTAATAAATATATCTTTACTATAAAAATGGTCGATAGATAATGTTTATTATTTAATAATGAACTTAAGCACATGTGTTGGGTAATAAATCAGTTCATTGTGTGTCTTTCTTCATATGAGTCGACTATTATCAAAGGCGGCAATCTGACTTTTGGACAATGATTGGTAAATCAGAAAAACGAATTATTGACTTTGTATTCCATTGGCAGTCACAAAACTCTTCGGAACGACATCTTAGATAAATAACAGGATAACTATTAACCTTTATTTAATGCAGGTTTTGAACCGTATTCTTTGAAGGAGACGATTATATTNGGCAATCTGACTTTTGGACAATGATTGGTAAATCAGAAAAACGAATTATTGACTTTGTATTCCATTGGCAGTCACAAAACTCTTCGGAACGACATCTTAGATAAATAACAGGATAACTATTAACCTTTATTTAATGCAGGTTTTGAACCGTATTCTTTGAAGGAGACGATTATATTCAAATAAATCTGTATTGACATATCAATAAATTTTTTTTGTCCAAATGCACAGATTGCCGCCTTTGATAATAGACGACTCATATAATCCGCACTTAGCAATCTTTTAATTAAAAAGATAACAAGCACCCTCACTAATACACTAAATTGTTGAAATAGATCTCTATATCAGTGATCAAGAGAGATAGGCCTGTATTCATATTGGATGGTACTGATGGTACAAATGCACAGAAGCAAATCCAAGGGGACTCATGTCTTATCATTAGTAATTCCATTGCTTACTTTATTAATAAAACTTGATTTTCCGACATTTGGGAATCCACAGATGATTATCGTCCTGGTGTAGGGATCTATCGATGGTAAACGTGCTAAATGTTGACGGACCTGCAAAAGAATACAGTCCACATTAGAAAATATTGTTGTATTTGGTTTTTATTCATTAAATACAATTATCTTATACCTTTAAACGAGCAATTCTTGTATATACCTATATATAATTTGAATCTGGGAAACGGCTCCACGATTTTCATAAAAATCTGGGGCGATAAATCGATCTAGCTACGATTTATTTTCAGAAAATGTTGTTTTATTCGTGTTTTCAATAATCAACTTCACCAATAATCAACTTTATGACTCTTCCCGACATCTATTGGCGAATAATAATATGTACTATTTTTCATAATTTACAGCAACTAACTGCTTTAAAGACACAATAACAATAAAGCTATTTCAGCAGATAGCGTTGTTAAGCCACCTGAAGCCAATGAGTGTTTGGTTTAAGGTTAGACCAAGAAAATGAATTGTTTATTTATATTATTTGTCTTTTTAACTCACGTGTTCACTTAAAAATGCCTAAACGAGCTTGGGATATTTCATCATTCTATCAATATGTGATTCGTATTTAAATATAATTTCTAAACAACATAATTTATAAAAAAAAAACGTCATCGGTCATCGTCTAGTGTACATAGAAATGAAATCTGGAAGAATTATAAAAGCTACTCTATGCTATTGTTACACTGTCTATATCTGCAAGAAACATTCATATTGGAATGAACCCCTTTGAGTACACCACTTTAATACTACTAGAATATGTGACAGCAACGTTATGATTGTAATCTACTTATTGTTGAATCATCACAAGTATGACATACCTGTTCCAGGTATGTAAGATTAGCTCCTTGCCGTTTCATGATGGTGGCCATGCGACCCAGAGCCGCACGTTTGAGCTGTTTGCACCGATACAACGAATCTCCATATTTTAACAGTCTCACATAGTCTTTTGCGACACTGTAAATGAAGCATTAAGGATGTGAATAAAATATGAAGTAATCATGCCCTAAAAGATAAGACGATGTGACTGAGCTGGTATTCGAACCCCAGAAGCAAGGAACAATTTTTCTAATGAGAAACACACATCACAAATGTTCACTAATGACTTTCACAGTGAAGGAAAAACATTGTGTGGTAAAAATTTAGTAATCAAAAAATAAAAATTTTTAATTCTGCTTAATACATAATTGGTAATTAGTAAAAGATCTCTAGTCAGAGTTGACTAATATATTTTTTTGTTGCTTAGAAGAGTGAATGAGATTATGGCCCACCTGGTGTTAAGAGGTTACCGGAGCGCAAAGATATTTAAAGTGTAACTGCCGTCATCAACCTAGAGACATGAGTTCTAAGGTCTCAGTTATCTACAGTACAATGGCTGCCCTTCGAAGTTAGTTTTAAAGGAATTTATTTGTAAATGGGTTTACACTAATATTGTATGAGAGTTTGTGACATCATCGAGACTTACTTGTCAATAAGATGTCTGGCTGTATTCAGCTGTCCGAGTCCAAGTTTGTAATGATCCTTGTCGTACAATACGTTCATGAGATCAGCATAAAATGGATGGACATCATCTAACTTTGGGAATTCCTGTAAACATTATCTTATTAATCTATGTGTTTAATAACTTATTTATGATATATGTCAGTCTGTTACATCAATATACCCAGCTCAATAGATGAACAAGTCAGAAGCTTGTGAGATTTGATTATTCTTACATTTTCTTTTTAATTTAAGTAACACAATGTCTTGAAAAAGCATCAGAACTAAACTCAAGAGAGTTGAAGCATACATCAGAATGAAGATAGTTTTGTGAAAAAATAATAATGAAACTTTAAATTTCTTTAAGATTGTTCTGGCACCAGCAGTATGAGTCTCTAGAAAACTAAGATTTTAACCAAGAACAATAAAAATTTAGAAAAAAATTGGGAAATGTACACATTTGTAGATTTATTTTTTCGATGTGACGTAGCTACTTTTGCGTATTACTATAACGCTGTTGCTGTTTACCTGAATAATTCTGGACAGTCGGTCGTGGAAGTTCTGCTGGGTATATTTCACTTTTCTAATATAAAACCCACGTATTCTTGATATTTTATAATGCTTGTGAACGACTGTAGGAGTTTTCCTTTGTGTTTTCGATAAAATTATGTCTATAAAGTCCTAAAAACAAAATTTCGAGGTTAACATTCTTATCAATAAGATGATGGTTTTCATAATACATTTGTGGGATTCATACAGTTATACGCTTACCTTAGCTGTAGGGACTACAGCAATCTTTTTAAAGTTGTACAAACTCATTTTGTTTTAATTTAGTGCTATTTTAGTATCATAATCGCTCATAACGAGCATTACACGTAAACACGTGTTTGAAAAGAATATTTGACAATACTGATTTCCTTTTATTTGATTTGTTCGTTGGACAGGCAAAGAAATATAACCTATACGTGAGTATGTTGTAACAAAGGCCGAAAAGTGCGTTATAAATTTAAGAAAGTATTAAATGAAGATAAGAGAAATGAGATCAGAGAAAACTGTAGGTGAAATGAAATGACCAGAACGAAGAGAATTTACTAAGAGCTAAATAGATTTTCAGTCAATTATTTTTCAAGCAGTTTTTTATTTATTTTTCTCTGATTGTGACTTTATTGTTAATTTCATTAAAAAAACAAGTTTCCCATTATTTCTCTTTTACTATACAGGATGTTTAAACATCCAAAAAAAACACTGATTCTGATAATGTACAAGTACAAGGATTAATAATGATTATCCCAAAAAAATGGATTTACTTCTCAATTATACTGTTAAATACTCATTAATATCGAATGGCCACGCGGTGAGCATACTAACTTGTAAATGTAAATACGTTCTGTGACTCTCAAACAGAAACTCTTTTAAAGCGACATTTTAAGTTAGTAAATAAACCTATAAAACCGTTTAGTATCTATAAAAGTGCAGAAATTTGCAGAATAAAAAATTAGTAGTCGTGACTTTTTCGAGTTTTTCTAACATTTTAGTCAGACATTTTTTTCTTAAATCCTTGAGCACTATAATCTATCTTACATGGCATGGGTTTAGCTCACATTTAATAGTCGTATAGGATGTTCGTCAATGTTTCTTTCGCCTATCCGAGTGACAAAAAAAAGTCACAAGCCGTCATTGTCAATTCTAAACTGTCAATAAGCCGACTGTAAATTTGTAAGGTTAGAAAACAGAAATTGAATTTTAACATTAAAAAGTTAAAAGACATAAATACTATTAAACTGGATTCAGTAACATAAGAAAACTGAAAACAAAAAATTGCGAAGATTATTAATTGAGATTTAAAACAGCATCCTTCAACAGTAAGTATCAATAAATTGCATCATGTTTCATTTGTTTTTCGAAAATGCCCAAAAATTAAAAAAATAAACAGTTCTTTTAATATACTATTTTTGTTGAAACTGTTAAATAGGTTCTTTCTATTCATGGATTTTTTTGTTTTAACGAATTAATGAAAAATAACAATTATTTGTATAAGCACGAAAACTGTGAGTGAAAATATGTTCCAGGAATATAAAGAGCACAAATAACAAACCATGTATTCAAGACTGCGCAATGGTTTTCGGCAAACAGTTAAACACCGACTGGCTTCGCAAAGAAGTTACAGTAATGAGGTTTTGAGGAAAAAGGAAAATTTATCAAAAAATCTTCAAGTTGGGAAGACTATACATGGATTCCTTTGCACCGAAATCGAATCTATACAAGAATACAATATGACAGCTTATTTTTTAACCCACGAGAGAACCAAAACGGAATATTTGCATTTAGAGAGAGATGACTCAAATAATGTATTTTCTGTAGGTTTTCGCACAACTCCGTTAGATTCAATGGGCACTCCCCACATTCTAGAACACACAGTTTTATGCGGCTCAGAAAAATATCCAGTAAGAGATCCATTCTTCAAAATGCTGAACAGATCTTTGGCTACGTTCATGAATGCTCTAACAGGCCCAGATTATACATTCTATCCTTTTTCATCGCAAAATGAAATTGACTATCGTAATCTACAGAAAGTTTATTTGGATGCAGTCTTCAGACCTAATTTAACTAGACTAGATTTTTTACAAGAAGGCTGGAGATTAGAACATTCAAATTTGGAGGATAAAAATTCTGATTTGATTTTCAAAGGTGTAGTCTACAATGAAATGAAGGGAGCCTTTTCGGAGACAAGTTCGCTTTTTGGACAAAAATTCATTAATACAATTTTACCGAAAGGAACATATGGATATGTATCAGGAGGTGACCCGTTATGCATTCCTCAGCTAACTCATGAGCATTTAAAAAACTTCCATGCCACTTATTATCATCCTAGCAATTCAAGAATGTATTCGTATGGCAGTTTTCCATTAGAAGCCAACTTAAAGTTCATTAATGAAGCCTATCTGAGTAAATATGAATATTTAGATCCCAAGAACACTGTAGTTGCGAGTCAAGAACGTTGGAAGGAGCCAAGACGTGCAGAAATGAACTGCAGAGTAGACCAGTATGGTGGACCAGTAGAAAAACAGAATCAAATTGCCATAGGATATGTTATGTCGGACATTACTAATATTTATGAAACATTCACAATGCTAGCATTAGCGGAACTTATGATAATAGGACCGAATTCAGCATTTTACAAAAGCTTAATTGAGAAAAACATATCGGGAGGCTATAATTCTTTGACTGGCTATGAAAATCAGATAAGAGATACCATGTTTGTTGTTGGTCTCCGAGATGTTGAAACGTCAAAGTTTGAGACCATCGAGAAGATTGCAAATCAAACTTTAGAGGAAATATATGAGAAGGGCTTTGAGAAAGCTCATATTGAGAGTGTTTTACATGGCTTCGAGCTTTCTATTAAGCACCAATCACCAAAGTTTGGTTTAAATCTGCTTTTTAACCTAATGCCTCTCTGGAATCACAATGGGCCGATATTGAATGCTTTGAAGGTCAACAAACTTTTGGGGAGACTGAAGGAGAATCTAATGACTCCAAACTACGTAAAGAATATAATTGAAAAGTACTTTATTCAGAATAACCATAAGTTAGTTATGACTATGCTACCAGACCCAAAATTTGATGATGTCTTCAATGAAGCAGAATCTAAACTTCTGAAATCAAAAGTTTCGTCCTTAAGTGCTAACGATAAAGAAGCTATTTATAAAGAAGGCTTAGAGCTTTCCAAAGTTCAGAAGGAGGTGCAGAATCTTGATGTTTTACCATGTTTGAAAATGGAAGAGATCGTAGCGAACAAAACCGCCCCATCATTAAAACATTCTGTATCAGAAACCATACCACTGCAACTTTGTGAGGCGAATACAAATGGCGTAACATATTTCAAAGGAATCTTAGGCACCGACAGCTTGGGCGACAGTGAAAGAAAAATGCTTCCCTTTTTTAATTATATTTTAGATAAATTTGACACTAAGTCGTATAACTACCGTGATTTTGATAAGCATGTCAGCAAATGCACCTCTGGCCTGAGTGCAATTACACACATCACTGAGCATGTCGGGCAATCTGGTCAATATGAGCAGGGTATATTGATCAACAGTCATTGTTTGGACCACAATCTACCTAAAATGCTTGATATATGGCAGGAGATATTTAAAAAACCAAATTTTAGCAACAGCGAAAGAATGGCAATGCTTCTAAATAATTACTGTTCTTCGTTGACAAATGGGATAGTAAGCAGCGGTCACACTTATGCTGTACAGGCGGCCAGGTCTTTAATATCTTCTGTAGATGAATGCAAAGAGAACCTGCTGGGTATCCAACACGTCACGATCATGCAGGAAGTACAAAAAACACAGAAAACTGAAGATATACAGTCGGTAATAGAGAGCATATCAGAAAACGTACTTAAAGGGAATAATTTGCGAGCAGCATTCCATTATTGCAATACAAACAACGATGTCCACGAATACATCGATAAATTCTGCAAGGACCTGTGTAACGCTAATGATAATCAAGAAGTCAATCGCATTAATTGGACAGACTCTAAAAGTATGAACAAGGACAACCGCGGTATACATATAGCCATGAATATACCAGTGAATTTTTGCGCCAAAGTCATACCGACTGTTGCGTACACCCATCCGGATTACGCGAAGCTACGCGTGCTGTCAGTGTTCTTATCGTCGAAATACTTGCACCCGATCGTGCGAGAGCAGAACGGTGCTTACGGTGGCCGCGCCATGCTGTCCTTTGACGGAATCTTCAGTTACTATTCATACAGAGACCCAAATTCTAAAGTCACTTTGGACGTGTTCGACGAAACCGCCAATTGGTTGACAAAAAATGCGAATTTGATTGACGAACAAAACCTCTTCGAGTCCAAGCTAACTATAATGCAGCAAATGGACCAACCGATCGCGGAATACATGAAAGGAGTCGATCTGTTCCTGTACGGGCTGTCTTATGACCTTTGGAAGACGCAAAGGGAAAGAGTTTTGGCCGTGAAAAGCGAGGACTTGGTGGAAGTATGCTTGAAATATCTGACGAACGATAAATGGGCCGCTAAATGTGTAATCGGAGATGGTGGTGCACAGGATTTGAAGAAAGGGGATGAGGTGTGGCAGAAAGTCAGCGGGCCCCAACAGTAGGCACATTCATTCCAGCTACTCTTGTTAGTGAAAACGCATTACGGTTGTTACGAGGCGGTGGTTTGAGATATGAAGAAGACTTGGGTACGGCCGGAAAATGTGAAAAATACGAGTTGTTTAATTAACGGAAATTAGTTGTTGTCAGCACGGCAGATAATTAGTTTTCATTCTAATTTGAAATCGTGTACCAATGTCACTTGTCTGCCCCAGGCAAGGAATAATTGAGCTGTGAGGCTTAGTGCCGATATTGCCTACATAACCCGAAATTCGGTATAGTTTTTCATAAATATGGCTAATCGTAGAGGCAACTCCGCCATCACCGTTGTCTAGTTTCATTTCTTAATAAATTTTAGAAATATTTTTTTTGGTCACTTGAATGATCATGCATAACGTCACGCCTAAAGGACTATAAAATGTATTGTGCGATACAAATAAATGAATGTTAAGAAGTTCAATTTGCGATTTAATTAACAGTTACCATACTTTATCAAGCTTATCCGCCATTAATCTTAAGACGAAAATCTTCGGCAAATAAATGTCTACTAACACTAAAATTATATGTTCGTATAAATGAGGTCGTGGGCTTGACTTGGGCCTGAATCTAGCGGCTAGTTTTAGATAAGGTGGTAGGACCTCTTGTGAGTCTTCGCGGGTATGTACCACCGCCCTGCCTATTTCTGCCGTGAAGCAGTAATGTGTTTCGGTTTGAAGGGTGGGGCAGCCGTTGTAACTATACTTGAAACCTTAGAACTTATATCTCAAGGTGGGTGGCGCATTTACATCGTAGATATCTATGGGCTCCAGTAACCACTTTACGTCAGGTGGGCTGTGAGCTCGTCCACCCATCCAAGCAATAAAAAAAAACTACCAAGTTTATTAGCCATTAATCTTAAGTAGCTGAATATTTCTGTAACAAACAGATCTGCTCTTTTCCTGGTCCATATTATGGCGTAGGTATATACATTGTATCACTGGTTCCTATAAAGAGTCCTAGTTTGAGTTCAGGTGACTGATTGTTTTTATTGTTTTATTCATCACAAGACAACGATATCTATTTGTAGTTACTACGCCAGGGGTGCTGGCGAAAATGCAATCAACTATCGTTAATGCTAATAAAAACCATACGAATATATAATATGATTGATAATAATCAGACCGCGTAACTATTCGTTCTTCTATAAGTGATCTCTATAGACATCGCAGCGTGGTCGACTACTCTAACTTAAAGTCCCCAGAACCAAAACCCTTCACGGCAAAAACGGAGGTAAAGCGTTACCTACCCGAGCGGGCTCCAAATGCTCTCATTCCCCAAATAGTCGTCAACGATACTGAATGTAGTTACCCCACAGATTAACTGACAAGACAAGTTAGACCTTTCTTTTAACATTATATTATTTTTAATCGTGTCGGCTTGGAATATTATCTCTTCCTGTAAATTATGAAGGGTAAGGAACAACATCTCAGTGCATTAAAAAGTGTCCACTGAAAGGGGGCTAATTAAGGTGGCACCACAGTAGCAGGTGGAAAGATTTTAAAAATAACGCAATAAGCTACTTTGGGAGGCTTTAAACGACAAAGGGAAGATCTTCCACCGAGCGGGAGATATTTGCTCGGTAGACCGACGGTCCGAGTGTTGTTCGGAACTTGTATATATGCGAGCTTATCTTGAAAATGTCGTAAGCGAGATTCAGGCATCTGTTAAATATCTTGCGTTGTATGATGCCTACCCGCCACACTACCGTACTTCACTTCAATTCACCAAACTTCACTCTGCTTAAAACTGCTACATTCATATCATTTCCACTTCCTACACTACTACTATTTCGGGGGGTCTTCCAACAAAATCTTGCTGTGTACAGATGGACACTTTGTCATCATGTCCCCTATACAGGATGATGCTCCTTACCTCTACCCTTCATACCGGGGGCGTCATAAAAAAATTTATAGAAAAAAGCCGACAAAGCCAAGAAATGTTTTCTTTTACAAAAATAAACCGTAGTTAGCACAATATTCGCACACTCCATTAGTTCATGACCACGAAAACTGTAAAGTAAACTTAAGTTATGTTAAGTTGAAAATAATATAATCATAACATAAATGCGAGTTAAGAATGGTATCATTTATGTCTGCGACTTGCGAAAACTGAAAAGTATTCAAACTATTACTTGGTTGGTAACTGAACACAAATTCGGGAGTATCTTACACACTGTACGTTTTCTTAAATTCTTTGAACTATGTAACGTTATTTGGCATGAGTGCTCGTGCGAAGACTTCTAGGCAATGTATGAGGGAACTGTGTGCTTACTGCGAGCTATTCAACGTTCTCCATAGCGTAAAAGTGAAATCAAATTTGTATGCCGTTGGAACGTTTACCTACGTTTACTGCTAGGGGCGCTGTTACAACTGCAAACAAATTTGAGCTAACTTTTACGCTATCGAGAACGTTAAAAAACTCACACTAAGTATACTGGTCAGTTGAACAGTTCTACTAGTTAAACCACTTATCTATCTAGTGCGAGTCTTTGCTGACTCTGGTAAAATATAAAGCGTCAGTTTCCTTTTTAATTTAGCCGTTCTGATGAGCAATAAAGTTGTACATAAAAAAAATTATTATTGCTTAGATTGGTGGACGAGCTCACAGCCCACGTAGTGTTACGTGGTTACTGGAGCCCATGGACATCTACAACGTAAATGCACCCCCCACCTTGAGATGAGTCGACTATTATCAAAGCCGGCAATGTGACTTTTGGACAATTATTGGTAAATCAGAAAAACGAATTATTGACTTTGTATTCCATTGGCAGTCACAAAACTCTTCTGAACGACATCTTAGATAAATAACAGGTCAAGTATTAACCTTTATTTAATGCAGGTTTTGAACCGTATTCTTTGAAGGAGACGATTATATTGAAATCAATCTGTATTGTATTTTTTTGTCCAAATGCACAGATTGCCACCTTTGATAATAGACGACTCAGATATAAGTTCTAAAATCTCAGTATAGTTACAACGGCTGCCCCACTCTTCAAACCGAAACGCATTACTGCTTCACGGCAGAAATAGGCAGGGCGGTGGTACCTACCCGCGCGGACTCACACGAGGTCCTACCACCAGTTAAAATTACTTATAACTCTCGTTGTTTCTATTCCAATTTCGTTCAAAATTAAGAACAATATTGAAGGTTTATTTATGTTATAATTTTTGTTTACAGATGTCTTTGCCTGAGTCGTTTCAAGAGGACAGGCTATACTTCGAAGAATGCCTATCTTACTTTCAAGATTATAAAAATTTTTACAAACACCCGAATACAGAAATATTAGTTGAAAATGTTTTGGAACATATCATTGTAGGCGATTTATCTAAACACGATGTTTTAAATAATAATTTCGAGCTGAATTCAATCGAGGATGAAGTTATGATGAAAACATTTTTGGAGCGCACTCGGAGATTGACAGTGTGTCACGATGACGCTGTCAAAATTGGCGCGGAATTCGATCTCGACACCCCAGTTGGCATTAAGAAAAAATATGAAATTGTAAACTTAGCTAAAGAGATCAAAGGAATCTGTGAAGATGTAAATTGTAGGATGGTTGTGGATTTCGGGTCGGGCTTGGTACGTTCGATTTACTACTACGAATACATGAGATCTTTTTAAAAAAATATAGGTAAAATAAGACGACCAGCTAACAATATATAGATAGATTTTTTCTCTACCTAAGCTGATAGCCTTGAGAAGCTATTTCAGCGTAACCTTAACTAGTAGATGTGCTCACGGGGCTCAAACCGGAGTGATGCTAACACTGACCCTAGCAAGAGCAGTGCTTCGCAGAATCTACCACCGGATAGGAAACGCGACCCACTGAGAAGATGCGGCGAGAAACTCAGTGGGCTCGATAGACGTTAATTTTTGCCTGCAAAACATTTTTAATACTGCCTTAGATATCACTAATGGTATTGAGTAATCTACAGTTTTACCCGTCAATTAGCAATGCTGGCAATAAATCATTGTGCACGTTAAAACTCTAAAATAAACTATAGCATTTCTGGACAGCTACAAACTATATCTTCAAACGAGGCTTAATAGGTAGAGGCGTAATTAGATTTAAAATCCATCCAAATCCACTAACATTTTTATTAGACGCCTTAACATTTGGAGCTAGTATAGGTGACACTGGCATAGCATCGACACGCTGAGGTTCTCGCTGGATCTATTCATTAGGTTGTGATAGCGATCATGTAGCAGAGGTATTCGCGAAGCCATTGCCCTCGTTCGGTCAGCTCTTCTTAGGGGGTGCTCAGGCGGCTACTAACAAGTTTGCATAATTACTGGTGGTGGGGCCTCTTGTGAGTCCGCGCGGGTAGGTACCACCGCCCTGCCTATTTCTGCCGTGAAGCAGTAATGCGTTTCGGTTTGGAGGGTGGGACTATATATATAGGTATATATAGTTAATAATAATAATAATAACTCTTTATTTATATAACACCTTAATATGTACACAGTAAAGTAATAAAACAAAAGTCGGTATATAAATCGGCGGCCTTATCGCTGAAAGCGATCTCTTCCAGGCAACCTTGCAGGGAGAGGAATAAGTTAACTGGACGGTGCTATATCTTAAGAAACTTACATAAAAATATATACTTAAATACACATGTGAAAAATAAATACCATATAAGATAAACTTACATACGATTAAATACAAATAAATACTAAAAATATACAAGATAAAATACAAAAGAAGTAGGAACTTATACAGTTATATCATAGAAGCAAAGTAGTGCGATTTCAATCTGGACTTGAAAATTTCCGGCGAGGACGATTGTTTAACGCTTAAGGGTAACGCATTCCATAAACGGACAGCTTCAACCGCAAAGGAATGGTCATAAAATGACGTCCCGTGAGCCGGAAACTTCAGCATTAAGTATAGTTGTAACTATACTTAAGATCTTAGAACTTATATCTCAAGGTGGGTGGCGCATTTATGTTGTAGATGTCTATGGGCTCCAGTAACCACCAAACACCAGGTGGGCTTTGAGCTCCTTCACCCATCTAGCAATAAAAAAAAAGAAAAAAAAAGTCCTACACCTGAATGAGCCCATGCTCACATACCTGTCCTAGTGAAACTGCGGGATTCGAACACCGTTGCATCGCTCAATACGAGCATAGTTGTCTTCCAAGTAAATTGTTTAATCACAATAGTCGCTCTCTCCGTTAATATTTAAGATAGATCTAGGACAGGTACTCAATAAGCGCTTTTGAAATTTCAGGGCTATCTGGATCAATATTTACATACTATCAGTGAAGTCAAAATCTTAGGTTTGGAATGTAACGACAGTCATTATGTCACCGCCAAAAAACGCCAAACGAAATACCACGAGAGTTCGTCAAAGCATGTAAAGTTTATTAAACACACAATAACTAATGAATCTCATACACATATTAGTCAGTTTTTAAAAGACAATTTCCCCAAAGAAGCGAATTTTTGCATAACTGGGTTGCACGCGTGCGCTGATTTGACAGTTGATGCAATTGATACTTTCGTTAAAATGGCCGACGCACATTTAATTATTATTATGCCCTGTTGTTACCATAAAATGTCACAGAAAGAAGGAAATTTCATTAATTTTCCGTTAAGTTATTGTATTAATGATATTTACAAAGATTATAAAAACAGTGTGTGTTTTAATGTTCCATTTTTAAGATTGGCAGCACAGCCAACGGTTTGTGGAGATAACATGTCTGATTTGGTTTTTAATATGTTGGCCAGAGCTGTATTGCAGTTGTACGCTGCTAAACGTAAGTTATTTTTTTTTAAATACCCCCTTTTTAACCATTTAAATTTAATCTCTGTGATCTTAAAGTGTACACCTGAGAAGTTGGGGACCATCAGGAGACCGCAAATTAGCACACTTAGTGAACGACAGTCACAACCCAAAAATTCTAATGTTCTCAACATAGCGACGGTTCACAAATGGCAGCCCGCGCAAATAAGATAAATCATATTTTTTAAATTAATACTACTACATATGACAGTGTGTGATGATATTAAATCGATACTTCTGAGTAAATAATAATTTAAAAGTAAATTAGTTTTCTAAAACAGCGCTTTTACCAACCTTCGGATTAGTTTACTATTTCCAATATGTCAATTTGTTCGGATAATATGTGTAAATTTTTTTTACAGACAATTGCAAGGTTAAAAGAAAAAGACGAAAAGCCGTCAAAGTAAAAACAATGAACAATAATTTTGAGTCCTACGTTCAAAACGCCGTAACAGATGGTTTCCGTTTAGAAAAAAACGAGTCCAATTCGCCAAATAAAGCTGAAAGCATCATTTTTGACAACAACGAGCTGCTGTCAATGTGGCAGGAGCTATCAGATTTGACGTTAAAAAAGGCGGGAATTTTGATCAAAATGCAAAACGCCATGCAGCCAGTGCTCGAGAATTTTGTACTCTACGATAGAATTGTTTATTTGAAAGAAAAGGGTGTGGTCAAATGTAAATTTAAGAAAATATTTGATGAAAAGCTTTCACCTCGATGCTTAGCATTGATAGCTTATAAATCATAAATAAAAATAATGTTTTTATTATTATTCCAAGATGTTATATTTTTTTTATTTTTTTTATTGCCTTTTTAGGCAGACTAGCATACGGTCCACCTGATGGTGAGTGGTTACCATCGCCCATGGACTTCAGCAATGCCAGGGGCAGACAAGCCGCTGCCTACCAAGCCAAGCCGCTGTTATTTCTTCATCTACTCATCCGGATTTTACCCAGTTCTAAAGCTGCATTACGAGTCCGTAGTAAAGTTATAGCGATATAAAGGAGCCAATGAGGCTTATTTAAATTAAAAAAAATCTATTTGATTTTATTCATTTTACCCATTCTCTTTCGATATATCGATCCGCTTATCAATTGAAACAAGATTCTTATCACGAGACAAATAAAACACGGATTAACAACAATACAATTTTATTGGTTATACACATTATATCTTTACATACAGCAACAATTACGATAATATCATTACAAGAATGCTCAAAAACTGCAAGTTAACCTTTTCTAAACACTAAACAATCTAACAGTCCTACATAATTAATTACACGTTCAACTAAATGGTTTTTGAACACACTTAAAATGGAAGACACGTTTCGTAATTTACAATATGACATTGAAAATAGATTTTCTCTTTTAAACATAAACATAGAAGCGCATTCATTGAACATTTAAAATTTAATTTTAAATTAAATAACAATATTTCTAAGATTCTCGGTTATAGTAACCAAGCAAAGATAATACGTAATAAAGCTTTTAGCTCAAATCAATTATGTAATTATTTACGACACGTTGCACAGAAGACATATTATGAGACTCATTATACTCTATCTGAGTCGACTATTATCAAAGCCGGCAATGTGACTTTTGGACAATTATTGGTAAATCATAAAAATGAATTATTGACTTTGTATTCCATTGGCAGTCACAAAACTCTTCTGAACGACATCTTAGATAAATAACAGGTTCAGTATTAACCTTTATTTAATGCAGGTTTTGAACCGCATTCTTTGAAGGAGACGATTATATTCATATCAATCTGTATTGACATATCAATAACATTTTTTTGTCCAAATGCACAGATTGCCACCTTTGATAATAGACGACTCATCTAATCTACAACCACAACATAGACCAACTACACATAACTACGTACTAAAGTTAATTGAGTATGAAAAACTTTACTAGGTGTGTTAATAATGTAAATTAAGACGCGTGTGTTAATTTTATTCTCGAGCGGCTAATGTTAAATAAAATAAATGCAATCGTTGCTATTTAAATTTACAACTTGCCGTTAGTTGAAAGAGCTTGCAACAACGAAACTAATCCATACCCGATCCTGTGGACCGAATGGTAAACAGTCAACGTCGCCCTCGACACGTCATTACGGATCCTCCCGATCCATTAACGGTGCTTTTAGGTACCTCAAGCACCGGTCACCGTCCTCGCCGAACCCGTCCGCTTGTGACGAAGGGCTCGACGAGTGAATTAACCCACAGACACAGCCCACTGAGTTTCTCGCCGGATCTTCTGTGGGTCGCGTTTCCGATCCGGTGGTAGATTCTGGGAAGCACTGCTCTTGCTAGGGCCAGTGTTAGCAATACTTCCGGTTTGAGCCCCGAGAGCTCACCTACACGCTAGGGTGAAGTTGAAATAGCCTCTCAAGGCTATCAGCATAGGCAGGAAAAAAAAAACTAATTGTTATGTTAATGACCCGATAGACAATAAGGTAGATACTTCTACTGCCCATCTGGAAGCTAAGTGGGCTAATAATGTTACCAGCATTAGCGCGCAATACAATAATCAGTCGATTTCTGAACTCCATCAATGATTATAATTATAGTAACACGATCAAACTGTTTGTCGCTTTCACAAATATTACTTTAAACAATCAATAACTACTAACATGAATCTATTATTTTTTTATTAACACATTGAACTGATTCACAAAATACGACTACAAAAGCCAGTTAGTTTCTATAGACATTCTCATATGTAACCAATAGCTTCATGATGATTTATGTTGTAGGATGTAGAAGAAAACTTTTTGCTTGCAACTGTTTCATGTACTTGATTATCACTATCTACATTACAAATTTCCAAAGATTAAAGAAGCTAACCACATGATTTTAAATGTCTGCAAATCGCATTTTTAGAATTAAAGTGGCTTAATAAAAAATTTGAAGAAAATGAATTTTATATTTCAAAAAGCGACTTATAAACATATATTCATTCTATCAGTTCAAAAAATTAAATTTTAAAAATTGAAGTTAATAATTTAAATTTTATTTGAAAAAATTAAAGTATAAATTCAAATTTTAATATAAAAAAACACAGTACATACGCATTCCATCTCTGTTAAATCAAGCGCATGCTTTAAACTTTAAAATGTACTACATTACATTTAAAGAACTAAATTTAAACTGGAAAAATTAAATTTTTCAATTATATTTTTGGTGTTTACCAAAAAACAATAATTTAGGGTTAAGCCACATAAATTCTACAGGTAGGATATATCCACCATAAGAAGTACAATACAGATATAGAAAGTCGAGTTGCACAAATGAAGCTATAATAAAAAGTGGAATTTTAAACATTTGAACAAGACATTTCTAACTAGGGTTGTCACCCGTACTTTATAATAAAGTATTGTACGTTATTTAAGGTAATTGAACTCTATAATTTATGTGAACAATAAAGTACACGAGAATAGTTTATTTGGCATGATTCGGTTTCTTTGGGATTTTGAAAAGTTTAGTCATAATATGTATTTTTTTGTAAAGCGAAATACATCGATTTCTCACTCGTCAACGCCACATCGCCTAAGCACTCGTTTTTTTAACAAATATTTCTGAACGCAACTTGATCTCAAATTTCAATAAATTCACTGTCATTAATTGTCATAATTACTTGTTTAATTTGTATGTATTTAAACATAATAATAATAATAAATAAATTGTACTTCATTTTAATACGATATACTTTTTTTCCAACCTATAATAATATAACCAATGTACTTTATCTGCAAAAAAAAGGTGACAACCCTATTTCTAACGTATTCTTGTATTTGGTTAATATTTTGGTATTAAATGATTTTGTATGAATTTTGGTTTGCGTTATCTCAAAATGTCACCAACACATCAATCGAAATTGCGTATAGAAAACCATGAAGCTAGTAGAAATGTAGAAAGGCTGTAAGGAGCAGATATCTATTGCATGCATGTGTTAAAGAATCATAGGACATCTGATAGAATTAATTCTTTCGCAGCTATACTAAAATTCTGATTAATTTACCACCAGTTGATTTCTCGATGTATATGATATAGAAAATTTCTCCCTAAATATATTTACGACTATGGAAGACACGATCCACTTAAGTTTATTTCCTACAATTAATATTGTCATTGTCACATTTCGTTTCTTTATTATATGTACAGATCTTAGCTTATCATTTAGAATAATCTAGACAATATAAATCATAATTGTATTATCTATGATAAAAATTTTTTTAAATAGAATCAATGAAACATGTGCTAAAATTCGTTCGCAATAATAAAACGTAAAAAATTGCCAGGGTGACCAGAAACAGTTTACATAATTATAAAAAAAAAAGTTGTAGTTGAGAATCACAATTTGGAGGTTAACTATAAAAATTTTAATAAAAAAATAAAATTCTCAAGACTATTGCTAATTACTTAGTACTTACCTACATAATCTACTTTATCTATGTATGAGCGGAATGCAAATTATAGTTAATCAAATTAGCTGCTTAACTATTCAATTATGTAATCTTCTTCTTTCTTTCCAATTACCCTCTGCTGGGGTGTAGGGCTCGAATCAAATCCTTCCAATTACATCAAATCACTTCAAATAAATAAAAAAAATTCAACATAAATGAAAGTACAAAACGAACTACCGCCAATTCACAAGAACTAGCCTCCGTCCTGAGAAGAACTGGCAAGAAACTCAGCGGGCATGTGTTTTTGTTTTAAATATTACATCGGTCTTGAGCGCGCACCTTTTAACTCCATGTCCAAGACGCCCATCTCCTGCTCCGACGTCAAGTTGTTCTGGGACGGCCTCTCTTTCTTTTGCCAGACACTTTTCAGGTCAGTGCTGTCTTGGATTGTGAATATCGGGCTTTCTTGATATGTGACCAATCCACTGCCTCTTCCGTGTAAGGATCTCCTTCTCCATTGGTGTCTGCTTGGTGATCAGCCACAGTTCTTTGTTAGTGATCGTCATAGGCCAAAAGATTTTCAAAAGTTGACACAGGCACTTAATCACTGACACTTGAAGTTTTATATTAATTTAATTAAGTAATAGAACATTATTATTATTAAATACAATAAATAAATAATTTTTTTAGTAAATAAATAAATGTTTTATACGAGTAGTACCTATTCTATGTATAAAATAAATAAATACACAAAAATAGTTTAATTTGATTTACGCATATCTTAAAAATATATTATGCAACTTAAATATATTTAATGAACAGCGTGTTACATAATTTCGTGAAGATTAATTTCTCTTTGAGATTAAAACGAAAGCTCTCTGCTATTTTCTCTACTTCCAAAAGCTACATCGAAACACCGAAACAAGCTGAAATCTACGGACTTTTAATTTATTAATATATCTCGACAAAATACAGAATACACGTATTAATTGGCAAAACGGGAGATATGTCTTATATAACATGATTTTATTTATTATTTATTTACAGCAAACCGCTGGGCTAACTAATAGACCGCCACGGATATTCCAGCGGATATCTTACTTAAATTTAATATTATAGTATTATACTATACATTAATTAAGTATCCTAAACATTTATTCTAAGAAATTGTCTAAATAGTTAATAGCATTCTAAACACAAATTGAAAATTACAGAAAGAATAATGTATTTTTTGCAAGAAATGTCTGTGGTTGTAGTATTGTTGTTACTGTTTAAATATGTTCAGTCCATTCAACTAGAGTCAAGTCTACTATGGTCATAGACACCACAGAGCAGTGCCACTGCCCATCTTGAAACTAGAGATTGAAATTACAAATAGTATTTCTAACAGCTGCCTACAATACGCCCGCCAATTTATAAATAAAATTCAAGTGTCTGTTTGTATTATTAATATAACCACTTCTCAATACATGAATATGAATGTATATACGACACATATATATCAAAATGATATTTTCTATAATTTTTGTCTGTCTGTTGATTTCAACGGGACTTTCACTAGCAGATAGCTGGTATAACAAGGAATAACTTAGGCTATTTCTATTTTGTTAAATTCCACGTGGCGCGCAGCTAGTCTCAAATATTAAGTGTATAATCTATGACGCCCGCCATTACTGACGCGTGAACTACAAAATATTTTAATAATATTAAAAGCAACGTCTTAATTCTTACAATAACATTCAAAGCGCAATTACACTCACAACAGCTCCTAAAATTCGAATAACCTATAAATATATTTAATAGCATTTGAAAACATTACGCATTTAAGCTTCTAATAACGATAATGTTATATTAATTTCAGAGAAAACTTATTTTCAGTGTCATATTTTAATGTAAAGTATTTTTTTTCTTCTATTATACGTCATTTGTTTGAGACGGATTAAATTTTTATTTTCAATAACAAACAAATCGTAGAATACTTTGCACAGTTATAAATTATAGACATGTCTACTTAAAAAATCTATTTTTTTTTTCCTAATTTAAGAACGCAGGGTGCAGACTAATTCAAAAGCGGAGATAACAAGAAATATGTTGTTAGAAAATATAAAGAACTTTATAGCTGTACACCCGTCCGCTTCGCTGGCCATTTAAAATTAACATTATTATTTCTCACCCCCACGAAGATTCTCATCATTAACGCCCCCGCAACTGGTGTAGGGAGTCCAACACTCATATAAATATTAGCCTATCCATTAGGTACATGTATTTTCTACATGGATACCCAGTTACAAGTCAATCGGATGCATGGTTCAGTAGTTATAACGGAACATCCGTAAAAACCACTGTAGATTTATTTATATATTAGTAATAGATAAAACGTACAATGTGCTCACGAAAACTCAAACGCCACCTGAGAGATAAGTTTGCGCGACAATTATAGAGTTATAGTAATGCTACCTAAGGTTACATTAAAAACACTAATCAAATCTATTATTTCGATAGCATTTTATGGTGTTATCGAGAATATTCGTCCGCTCTGCACCCTATAGAACAATAAAAATTTGCCAACAAAATTAATCACACGCGTTCATAAACATTTTTTTTTTATTAGATATCCTAAATTAGTTATCTGATCAAGAATACAAATTAAATTGGCTTTTCGCTTGATATAACATGATTTTCTTTTGCCATTACTGTAAAATATTAATAAACTATTTCAATGAATCGACAAGAATAAATTTTAGTCGTCGTGGCCTAAAGGATAAGACGTCCGGTATATTCGTATCGAGCGATGCACCGGTGTACGAATCCCGCAGGCGGGTACCAATTTTTCTAATGAAATACGTACTCAACAAATGTTCACGATTGACTTCCGCGGTGAAGGAATAACATCGTGTAATAAAAATGAAACCGGCAAAATTATAATTTGCGTAATTACTGGTGGTAGGACCTCTTGTGAGTCCGCACGCAGTACCATCACCCCACCTATTTCTGCCGTGAAGCAGTAATGCGTTTCGGTTTGAAGGGTGGTGCACCCGTTGTAACTATACTGAGACCTTAGAACTTATATCGCAGTTCAGTGGGTCGCGTTTCCGATCCGGTGGTAGATTCTGCGAAGCACTGCTCTTGCTAGGGTCAGTGTTAGCAACTCTCCGGTGTGAGCCCCGTGAGCTCACCTACAAACGTTAGGGTGAAGCTGAAATAGCCTCTCAAGGCTGTCAGCATAGGTAGGGGAATAAAAAAAACCTTAGCTAGCGAGAACATCAATAAACTCGCACCAAGCACACTGGTCAACAAAATAAAGGTGGCGCGTACAACGGTCAATAGGAGAAGATGTTAATCATATTTAGTTAATATAGTTTCTACTTTTTTTTTCGTACATCGAAATGACATCTAAACATTTATACAGCGAATATTAAATGATTTTTAATGGAACCTTTACACATATAACATTATATAAAGCGGTAGAAACTTACTTAGGATTAAAGTAATAGTTTGTTTAATCAACGCTAGATGGCGCTATTGGTTTAATTGTTGCCAGTTGTCAAATAAGAAATTTTCAAGTTAAGCCTTCGTCAAACAGAACGCGTACTTAGCGCCGCGTACTTAACGTCGCGCTCTTCAAATTGACTAGATGAGTCTAACGCTCCTTGACGCAACGCATTCGCCAAATCATAGTGCCTTTCGATAGCAGTGGGAAAATTTAAAAGTATTAAGAAATCGAGTGAACTATTTATATCATTTTTTCGGGCATTATCTACTATTTTAATACACATTCACTCGGACGCTAAAATAAAATTTGTAAAAAATTACATCGCCTGACGTCAAAGCGTCCTAACGCCGCGACAGAGCGCTGCGTACTTATAGCGCTGGGGCTCTGTTTGACGGTATGTTACCATAGTAGTACAACACATCTCGGCGTCATAGCGCGGCGTCACTTTAGCGCTCTGACGCGCGCTAATTACGCGTTCTGTTTGACGAAGGCTTTAAACCGTAACCCATAGACACAATACACTAAGTTTCTCACCGGTACTACTCAGCTGGGTTTGTTTTCGATCCAATGCTAGATTCAGTGAAGCACTGCTCTTGTTAAGGCAGATTTTAGCAAACTCTTTCAAGCTGAGCCTAGTGAGTTCACCTACCAAACCGGTCAAGCCAGAATAGCCCTTGAAAGCTACTGACGAATAACCTCTCCGCAGTGACATGTCAAATGTATGTGTAAGAAAAAAACCCGTTAGATGCCTATGTCAAAAGTCATACGGCAAGCTATGGGATTAAAACGTACAGTTTGCGTTTTTAAAACACAGATGTCACTATTCCAAAGTAAGTTCCCACACTTATAATGACGGACACATATTTAAATTTATTCAACAACAATGTCCTGACCGAGGCGGTCCATCTCTGAGAGTAAGAAGTCCACGTCCTTTTCCGTGACAGCCGCCGACGATATTATGTTCCTGTAATTTGGATGAGAATTTAAAACTCACTCCCAGCGCGACTCGACGTCGCAATCTGGATCTATGTTTAGCTTCATGGATCGTTTAATTGAAGCAACGTTATGAAATATAAACTATACATCTATATACACGCCCATATATACACCATATATACACATATTGACGCAAACAAAACACACACACACACTCACACACACACACTCACACACAATGACCTTCTTAAATGATAACACCTAATGATCTCTCAACACTAGTCCGCAGCATCTGTTCACGACTTAACCTAACCTAATCTATCTTAAGAAGGAGGGAGCCTGGAGATCAGTAATACAGGTCTTTGAACCTAATACAGACTCCAGCTCTTTCAAAGGCTTACAAAATAAATTATAAGGTTAAATTCCATTTATATTTGTACTATACCTTTAAGAGAGAAATAAATAAATAATAATAATAATTATTATATACCAAGCATTAGCAGTTTTCTGGTGAAGGTCAATTTTGGTACTGTAAGCATCTTATTACCTGAAGAAGTTGGGGCGGCGGTCGTCCGGCTGGTAGCCCACCATCAGGGTACCGGACTGCATCATTCTTCCCTTCAGCTTGGCACACACCTGGGAATAAATTGAGGAAAAAACTTTAGAATCTGCCGAGCGTGGACACCATAAACCAATTTTACTACCTATACTGATAGCCTTGAGAGGGTATTTCAGCTTCTCCTTGTGTGTGTTAGTGAGCTCACGTGGCTCAAACCGTGAGTGTTGCTAACACTGGCTCTAGCAAGAGCAGTGCTTCACAAAATCTACTACCGGATCGGAAACGCGACCCACTGAGAAGATCCGGCGAGAAACTCAGTGGGCTGTATAATCCACGCTATGATTTACTGAAAACGTGGCAATATGGTACACCATTGCCGTGTAACTAGTGACCTTGTCCTAACATACCTTCCCCAAACGTATCTCCTTGTTGGCATCATGAGGAATCCCTCGCAGCTGCTTCGGCAGATACCAGAACGACACGTTGACCAGCTCCGGCTCCAAAATGAGGTAGAACTTGTCCGGCTGCTCCTTGATGCGGCGCACCATATACTCTGATAGCTCCATGAGACGATCCATGAGGCGTTCAAATCCGGACGTACCCTGGACAATTTCGCTTATATTATCTAACTAGACGAATTCTAGGCATATTTTTTCACACAGCAGCATTCTAACTCAGAACTATTGTCATAAGAATCGACCTATGGCTACCTTTCTGGTAGCAATTTATTGTATTCAAACGAAGTTTGCTATGAGACTCAGGAAAATCAATTTTCCTCGGTTGTCCTGAACCTCATCGTTCCTAGCGTCTCGTGTGGACGCCCTTGTAGATTCTGGCTACATAGCTGTTACATTGGGAGCGAGTGGACTTCGGATATCAGAATTGACCGATGATGGGAGATGCCACTACATGAAAAGTAAAGGTTTGATTAAGATGATCTGAATCACATAGCATACTCATCACTCGCTTACTGCCTGATTGAGCGTTGATCTAATAGTTCGTATACAATGGTTTTTGTATCACGGATACGTTTCTGATATTTATTTTGGGACAATATCCATACCAAAGTAGGTACCAAAGGTCGAAGTGAGTAATTATTCATCCAGACCCAATCTCTCAGACAACGTTTCTGCCCATTTTCCCATAAGCCTCAGACCCACTGGAAGAGATGGGAAGTTGTTATGGAAACCACATAACACAAAGCTACACTTATCTTTAGTTTTTGACTCACGAATGAGTGAGGGGATGCAGGCACCTATTATTGCATATTGGTTCTGTAATTCTCGGAATATGTACCTTTCCGCGCCATTGCAGCCACAGCTTGAAGATATCATTGTGCCTCCCACACTGGATCACCTTGTCGCCGGTGTCGAATCGAGGATCATAGATCTTGTCTGTCATGAACAAGTATTCAGCCGACATAGCGTTGCAGCTCAGAAGGATACCCTGAAAAAGTTTCATTTTAACTATTGGTTCGTATACATTGAAAAGCGGTGTTAAGTGGTTACCGGAGCCCACAGACATACCTAAGTAACGTAAATGACATCACCCTTTTTTTGGAAAAGGGGCCGAACTTACTACGAGGTCCCTGCGCCTAGAGGTCGCGTGGCGTAAGTGGAACTAGGTGGTCTGCTGATGTTGTGTGCAGACCGGGGCCCCACCCCAAGCAAGGCGTTCATCGACGACCAACGACATTGGTCTCCGTGGTACGGCGGTCCATCAGGCCACCCGGTCGGTACCGGTAATGTACCGGGGACCCCGCTTAGGTAGAACCAGCTGGTCAGGTCGAAACGCAATACACCGCCGACTGGGTTGCCCTTCCACAGTACGTCCGGTTTCAGTGAAACCCGGTCTTTTGGTAACGAAATAAAAGGCAAGACTTCTGGTAGGGCACCACCACCCGCTCACTCTAACCGGCGCCATCTAGGCGGGCTCCGGATAGCCTGCCGACCGAGAGGGCTGGTGGTCGTGGCGCCGACGACCGCGTCCCGAGGGGGAGGGTGATGGGAGAGATGTGCTCCGCACTAAACACTTCACTTTCCCCCCTTTGCCTTTTCATGAGTTCTGTCTCATGTGAGGTTTGGACGTTGGTTGTTGAGCGACAGGAGGTTTTAGTCGGTTCGACTCCGACATGCTCCGCCCGCCGTCCCCAGTGGAGGGCGGAAGTCCGGCGATTTCCCCCTGACCAAAAAAAAAAAAAAAAAAACGGTCTCGCAAATCAACGTGATCAGGTTTCTGACTTNACGTTGTTGATCTCCAATGGCTCCGGTAACCACTCAATACCAAGTGGGTCGTGAGCTCATTCATCCGTCCAACCAGTAAAAAAATATTTTTGAATTTATTTTGAACCAACCAAAAACTTTTAGTTGAGCACTTTTGCCACTAATAACCTCCATCAATTTATGGTACTATTTCCCCTTTAGTTTAAAACGGTGAATTAATTTCGTATCGTCTCTTGTTTACCCAGCGATGGTAAACATTTGCACGGCAGTTATGTTAATCGGTTTCATTGCAGGCTACGTTATCGACTTGGGACAGTGTATGTATTGACGGCTTGTTATGCAAAACACAAAACGATGCTAAATAAAGAAGTTCTGTTAATTTACTTCTGAATTCTGTCAGGGTATTTATATTTTTGATGTAAGGCTTTTTTGAAGTGAAAACTTCTTTAGAATCGTTGTGATTTCAAACCGGATGCAACGGAAAAAACGACAGGTAAGAGACACAAATACAAAAATGTGTATGTAGGATGAAGCCAGCAAAGAATGAGACAGAAATATACATACTATTTAATACAGCGCCATCTGTGAGATTTTTTAATACTAACGAGTGTATGAAAGCTCTTGTAGTGAATTTTAATTTAGGATTATACGTGAAATTAAAATATCAATTCACAGAGGGCGCTACCTTACAATTATTTACTAATGATAAAATTTTACATATACTTAAGACGTTTAGGATAATTGTATTTTAATTTTGGAAGGTTTCACTTCTACCACGTGTGAATTGCACACATTTTGTTTTTTTATTATGAAAGAAGGTATACTGGTGACCCGATGGCCTTTCCAGTTTCACCAGGACAGGTGGGGGTCAGTCAGGAGGGGTGGGATTAGCTACCCGAAGGAGATGTAACAACTCGGGACCAGCTGCTTTGCGAATAAATCTACTACCGGATCGGAATCGTGGCCCGCTGAGAAGATTCGGCGAGAAACTCAGCGGGCTGATGCTTAGATGAGGATGCAGAAGGATCCATACATAATAGGGGAATCCTAGTTCAGTTGGTCCGTGAGTTCATTTGGACATCTAAATCAACAAAAACATCCAGGACGAAGGTTAATTCACAACAATTGGCTTTCTCCCGATCCACTAACAGTACTTTTAGGTACCCCCAGCACCGGTCATCGTTCTCGCCGAACCCGTCGCTTGCGACGAAGAGCTCGACGAGTAAATGAACCCACAGACACAGCCCACTGAGTTTCTCGCCGGATCTTCTCAGTGGGTCTTGTTTCCGATCCGGTGTTAGATTCTGCAAAGCACGGCTCTTGCTAGGGTTCGTGTTGGCAACATCGTCAGGTTTGAGCCCCGTGAGCTCACCTACTAGTTTAGGTTACGCTGAAATGGTCTCTGTAGACCATCAGCTTAGGTAGGAAAAAAACAGTTGACAAGATACATCGTGATTATGACCGAGAAGACGTTTCTCACAAAACAGTTCTTCTACCGAAGCCGTTTTGTTTGTTTTTCCCTACCTATTCGCTAGCAGCCTATGGGGCTATTCCAGCTACGCGCTGACGAGGTTTTTGTACTGCAGGAACCAACAACTAAGAGCTTATAAGACTTGATGTCATTCTCATTGTTTTCTCTTCATGTGACTTGTCCATCACCATTTCAATTGCTATACTTTTATTAGGACATCGTCATTCATCATCATAGGAATCTATCGCATTTCCTCCCATCCATTTCCCAATTTTGATTTAGTATGCCGAGTTTCAAATGACGTTTCTGTGTGAATATTCAAGTTTGACACTGGTGTGAGCAATGGCGAAACGCACTGAATTAAGAACTTTCTTTATTGGCAAAGTGATGAGTCTATCAATATCTTTTTGGGAGATCACTTTGGTAGATAAAACAGAAACGCGATTGCTCCAAAACAAGTGTCATTATTATTGTTATTGTCAGTGGACATCATCGAAAGCCACATACGGTTACCGAAATCAAACAAATCCAGACGCACCTCATAGTGTTTGTGCAAACAGCGAGGGGTGGCTAAAGGAATGTTAATAGGGGATGTTTAGGGGCTGATCCTACTGAAGGGGTGCGCTGGCATGCGGGCTGCAAATAATTGCAGGGGTACTCCCGTTCTGAGTATTAATTAAATTTGTGGGAAATTTGTACTGTCAAGTATTGGGTCGATGTTCATAGCTAAATTGAGACAATGAGGATACGAATCGCAGCCCACGGACATCGCCATATAAATGCCGGTCACCTCAAGAAATGAGGTCAGTTTGTCAAGGGAGCACTGAACACAAAACAACGAGAGCCCCTAACTGATAAGTGCAGTGGTTTCAGAGAAAGATGAACTCTTCTATTAGTGGGACGACAATGGTAGTTAGGGAGGCAAAGGGAAGATCTTCCATCGAGCTGGTGAAATTTCTCAGTAGACCGAAGGTCCGAATGTTATTGTTCTTGAAAATGTCGTTAGCGCAATTCAGGCATTTCTCAAATATTGCGTTCTGTGATAGCTACTTGCTACAATAGAAAGGATATACCTAATCTATATGTATAAAAATGAATTGCTGTTCGTTAGTCTCGCTAAAACTTGAGAACGGCTGGACCGATTTGGCTAATTTTGGTCTTGAATTGTTCGTGGAAGTCCAGAGAAGGTTTAAAAGGTGAATAAATATGAAAATTCTCGGAATTTTATAAAAACAAACAATTTTGTTTTTCCTTTGATGTGTCCCCTGTCGGACGGATTCCTTTTGTTTTTTTTAAGTTTATTTTATACAAAAAATTTGGTCTTTTATTTATCGATTGAGGCACTGCGAAGTCTGCCGGGTCAGCTAGTCTCTTAAATAAACATAGAGCATTAAAAAAATAGAGTGCGTTTTATGAGTCCATTCTTCTGTCTCGAACAACCACTCCTCCTTACCATCAGACACACTGTACCGATCTATCTCTCTCAAAAACACATTCATATTTCGTATAAGAACATCAATTTGAGCTTCACTTCAAACACTTAAGGCTTAATATTGCATGACCAGCAAATTCGTAAGCAAATCTGTGCTTTAAAGTTTAAGGGATAAAAGTCACATTGTTGTCCGTTCCTATCAGAAGTTGGTGTCAGTACAATACGGTTGATGACGTATTCTTTGGGGGCGGCCATTTTGCGGAATTTAGTGATGGGACACAATTTTATATTAACTACATTTTTTTGGCGGATTTTTTGGCGGAACACATTTTGAGAGAGAATATGATGGCCAAGATATCGCGCATCTCCCGTGCTATCATCCGCATACCAATGCATGCCATCAATAGATAGCATGTCATTGATATGTAATATGAAAAGCGTGGGGGAGAGCACCGAACCTTGTGGAACGCCAGCGTTGATGGTCATGGTATCGGAGCAGCAGCCGTCGGCGACAATGTGATGCTCCGTCCATCCAAAAAGCTAGCGATCCACTTGTAGAGTCCCTCAGCTGGAAGCTTCGATAGCAGTGCCCCATGCCAGACCTTGTCGAAGGTCTTCGCGATGTCAAGGCCCACGGCGAGAACCTCACCCTTGCTTTCCAAGGCTTCAGCCCATCTATGTGTAAGGTATACAACAAGATCACCAGCTGAGCGACCATGACGGAAACTGTACTAGTAAATAGTTAAGGTACATGGTTTCTCACAGAATTTTCCGAATATTTAGGATGTTGCGTAAAAACCATTGAAGGAAGCAAAAAAGATTACTTTTCAATAATCGTCGAGAAATAGCTCCGAGGCGTCCCATCACTATCGCCAACCGCCGCATGACAGCAGCACGCGCCGCCTTTAATTAAATTCCTCTCTTGCAACACTTACTAACATATGTTGCCAATTTCCGACAACTTTTCCGGTTCACGACGAACGATTCTCGACTTTATTGCCTCGAGTTTGACTCAATGTTGCATTAGAACGTGATTTATTCAATATATTTTTCCGTTGGTGCACTGGAATGTTTTGATATATTTTGTACAGCAAAAATTTATAAAGCCCAGTGTTTTCGTTTATTTTTGCCAGGTAGTGGCATACCGTATAATGAGCCTACACGGGTAGGGACCTCATGTCTCAAGTTGGGCCGTGGCATAAACATTGTGTCTAAAAACGCATCGTCATCGTGTGTATAAATACACATACACGCAGAGCTAATGTCACATGAAATTTTCTTTTTTTCAGGAACCAGTAATGAAACGCGAAACAAACTGTCAGTCGTCACCGACTTCCTCGTGACAATGATCCCACGCACAGTCCTCTTTATATTACACTGCACGCCATAATAATGATTTAATTTCTCATAAAAAAAAACCTGCCTAAGCTGAGAGCCTTGAGAGGCTATATCAGCGTAGCCTTAACTAGTAGGTGAGCTCACGAGGCCCAAACCTGATGACGTTGCTAACACTGGCCCTAGCAAGAGCCGTGCTTCGCAGAATCTACCACCGGATCGGAAACGCGACCCACTGAGAAGATCCGGCGAGAAACTCAGTGGGCTGTGTCTGAGGGTTAATTTACATGTCGAGCCCTTCGTCGCAAGCGACGGGTTCGACGAGGACGGTGACCGGTGCTTGAAGTACCTAAAAGCACCGTTAGTGGATCGGGAGGATCGGAATGACGTATTTTGGACGACGTCGACTGCTTTTCATTCTGTCCGCAGGATCGGGAATGATTTCTCGTAACAATTCTTAGTCTCTTATCAAAAATCAACAAGTCAGAATGTGTTCAATTTCACTTACTTCATACTTAAAGTGCACTGTGGAGCACTGAAGCAGAGTCCCCATCAGCTTGTGAGGGTTCCACGTGACAGAATCAGCCCTGAAACAAAACGTATCTTCAAATAAAATAAATAAATTGTATTAGATTTATTTATTTATTGCTTAGATGGGTGGACGAGCTCAGAGCTCACCTGGTGTTAAGTGGTTACCGGAGCCCGTAGACATCTACAACGTAAATACCGCCACCCACCTTGAGATATGAGTTCTATGTTTGAGAAGCAGATTGGCAGCCGTTATACTGAGGTATAGTCACAACGGCTGCCCCACCCTTCAAACCGAAACGCATTACTGCTTCACGGCAGAAATAGGCAGGGCGATGGTACCCACCCGCGCGGACTCACAAGAGGTCCTACCACAAATAATTACGCAAATTATAATTTTGCGGGTTTGATTTTTATTACACGATGGAGGTGAGTCGTGAAAATTTGTCAAGTACGTATTTCATTGTACGTATTTTGAAGTATATTTTAATAGATGTGCAGACAATCCTTCTGGTATTTAGTGGCTACGGATGTGGACGATATTCAAATTAAATTTCAGTAAAGGTTGACTCAAATTAGGCCCTAACACTAGTCTCATTCGTAAATCGAATGGCGATATCTTCAACGCGTTTAAAAATGTACTTACTCGTCGTGGCCTAACGGATAAGACGTCCGGTGCATTCGTGTTGAAGCGATGCACCGGTGTTCGAATCCCGCAGGCGGGTACCAATTTTTCTAATGAAATACGTACTCAACAAATGTTCACGATTGACTTCCACGGTGAAGGAATAACATCGTGTAATGAAAATGAAACCCGCAAAATTATAATTTGCGTAATTACTGGTGGTAGGATCTCTTGTGAGTCCGCGCGGGTAGGTACCACCACCTCGCCTATTTCTCCGGTCACCGCTCTCCTCGAACCCGTCGCTTGCGACGAAGGGCTCGACGAGTAAATTAACTCTCAGACACAGCCCACTGAGTTTCTCGCCGGATCTTCTCAGTGGATCGCGTTTCCGATCCGGTGGTAGATTCTGCGAAGCACGGCTCTTGCTAGGGTTCGTGTTAGCAACGTCATCAGGTTTGAGCCCCGTGAGCTCACCTACTAAAGTTAGGGTTACACTGAAATAGCCACTAGGGCTATCAGCTTAGGTAGGAAAAAAAAAAAAAAAAAGCCTATTTCTGCCGTGAAGCAGTAATGCGTTTCGGTTTGAAGGGTCGGGCAGCCGTTGTAACTATACTTGAGACCTTAGAACTTGTATCTCAAGGTGGGTGGCGCATTTACGTTGTAGATGTCTATGGGCTCCAGTAACCACTTAACATCAGGTGGGCTGTGAGCTCGTCAACCCATCAAGACAATTTAAAAAAAATACCCTACCACTAGTCTCATTCGTAAAACGCATGGCGATATCTTCAACGCGTTTAGGAATGTACTTATTTCTGCAATACATTTAAATTCACTTAGATAGATTTGAGTGGTATACGCGAGCTTATCTCGTGTTGGTTCAGTCGCGGAGTCCCGCACTTTTTAACTTAATCCGATTTTAAAGAGGGTGAATAGCTGATGGGCTAACATTCACACCGAAGCGCAATGCTTTGTCGCAATTTCCTTTGGTTTTTAAACGTTTTTTTTATTAATAGACTAGCTGACCCGGCAGACTTCGTAGTGCCTCAATCTATAAATAAAATATCTAAACTTGTATAAAATGAACTTAAAACAAACAAAAGGAATCTGTCCGACGGGGGACACATCAAAGGGAAAACAAAATTGTTATTTTTATTGAATTCCGAGCATTTTCATATTTATCTACCTTTTAAACCTTCCCTAGATTTCCACAAATAATTCAAGACCGAAATTAGCCAAATCGGTCCAGTCTTTCTCGAGTTTTAGCGAGACTAACGAACAGCAATTCATTTTTATATATATAGATGTAACCTAAAGGTACTTACTCTATAAATCGCGAGTGGCGTCGGTTAGCGTTACATTGCTGATTCGCGAAGACTAAACCCATTAAAATGAGTATTTATTTCAATTGGTTCAATGACGCTTTCTCTGCTTTTCCCTCAGTAGTAGTAAAATAACTGTCTTGTTAGTATAAAGCTGTACCTCCATTAGTATTCGTTCATAATAGCTATATTTTTAATTATGTGTAATTCGGTCGCGATCCACTGTGTATTTTAATGTGTGACAAACATCCATATGTTGTAACTACTAGCCTAGCCCGTCGAAATATCTGAGGAACTTTGTTTTGGAACTTTTATCACTGGTGGTAGGACCTCTTGGGAGTCCGCACGGGTAGGTACCACCACCCTGCCTATTTCCGCCGTGAAGCAGTAATGCGTTTCGGTTCGAAGGGTGGGCTAGCCGTTGTAACTATACTGAGACGTTAGAACTTACATCTCGAGGTGGGTGGCGCATTTACGTTGTAGATGTCTATGGGCTCCAGTAACCACTAAACACCAGGTAGGCTGTGAGCTCGTCCATCCATCTAAGCAATAAAAAAATAAAAAAAGTTTCCATCATCTCGTTTTTACTATCGCACCGCCCGCCACCGGAGTAGAGTTCATCCATACTACCTGGAGCCACTGCGGTCATCCACAGTGCGTTTCCAGAGATATTTTTTGCCACATACCATCCGGCTTTGGAATGAGCTCCCCTCCACGGTGTTTCCCGAGCGCTATGACATATCCTTCTTCAAACGAGGCTTGTGGAGAGTATTAAGCGGTAGGCAGCGGCTTGACTCTGCCCTTGGCATTGCTGAAGTCCATGGGCGACGGTAACCACTCACAATCAATCAAAAAGTGCCAGCTATAACCGTACTAAAATTCATCACAATCGGATTAATGACTTAGGATCGCTCATAAAGAAACATTATTATTTTAAATAGATTTACTCATCGGTGTTAGTGTAGGTTTGATAAACGAGTGTCCCACGGAGAGTGTGTAGGCATGTACTGTTTTTTACCAGGGGGGGGCTCTGTCAGGGTCTAATTAATTGTTCCTCGAGCCGAACTTTATTTTTATTGGGGAAAATTTACGGTTTTCTAAGATTAAGTGTGGATTTGAAAGGGAAATTAGGTTTTTAATTGCATTATTTTTTATAATTTACCGTTTTTACTTCGCGAGCGATGTGTTTGTTGCAAATATCCAATGAATGGTATACTTTTTGTAGGTAACATAACCTTGATTTGACTTCATGGTAGCATTTTACGGTAGGCAGCGGCTTGGTTGCGGTAGGCAGCGGCTTGGCTCTGCCCTTGGCATTGCTGAAATCCATGGGCGACGGTAACCACTCACCATCAGGTGGACCGTATGCTCGTCTGCCTACAAAGGCAATAAAAAAAAAACAAAATTCTAACAAATATTATTGAGTACTACTGGTCCCTCAGTAGTCGAAATTCGACTATAATAATTAATTAAAATCATAAGTTTGTACACTATTATGATTCTTTTTTCAAAAACTACTATACTTCTATAATCACAAATTTCGCCAAGACTACACTATAGAATAATATTATAAAGACAAATAATATTTAATCTATTCTCAATTTGACAACAGACGTCAAGAACAAAAGTTTGACAATAAATAAATGGTATGCATGCGTGTGTGCGTCAAATACATGGTAGTGTGTGTAATGTATTTTTTAGGCATAATTGAAAAAAATATTATCATTCTGCACTTCCCTATATTCTCTATAAGTGTGGGTAATTTCATACTCCTCCGTCCGCGCAATTTTCGTAAAAAGGGATACAAAGTTTGTCCTTCACGTATTATTAAATAGATTTCTTTAATTAAGCAGCTACTGTCTGCTCACATAATAAGAACTTTCCCAAGATGACATTTAATTTGAATACTTTGAACGCTTTTATTGCTTAAGCAAGTAAGTGTAAGAAGGACACTGATCCTGATTTTTGTTCATAATAATAAAACATTTCTATAAGAATATGTTGTATTTTTTTGGATAAAAAGTGACCATTTCAACGTCCCTTCTGACCTAAAACTATCACTTTAAAAATTTATGTTCATTGATTCGTTTAGTCCTTGACGAAGGACGAAATCGCGCGAATTTTTTTTAAAAGATACTAAAGTCGTTACCCACCCCATTTTTTGCTGTGAAAAGTAAACTGTGTCATCTCCTGACCTTGAGAATAGAATTGCCCGTGTAGGCAGACAAGCTTACATTCCACCTGATGGTGAGTGGTTACCGTCGCCCATGGACGTCAGCAATGCCAGGGGCAGAGCTAAGCCGCTGTCTACCGCGTAATACTCTCCACAAGCCTCGTTTGAAGAAGGACATAGCGCTCGGGAAACACCGTGGAGGGGAGCTCATTCCATAGCCGCATGATACGTGGCAAAAAAGATCGCTGGAAACGCACTGTGGATGACCGCAGTGGCTCCAGGTAGTATGGATGAACTCTACTCCGGTGGCGGGCGGTGTGATGGTAAAAACGAGATGATGATATCATCTCAAACAATTCCTCAGAGCACTCGATCAAGTATATCTAAGACATCAGTGATCACTTATCATTGGATGATCCGTAAGCCCGTCTGCCTTGAAAGTTAATAATGTAAATAAAAAAATTTAAACCAAATTGGTCTTAAAGATTCATCTCAGCGTCTAAAACAGTGGAGTGAAACATTGTAAATGTACATTTAGTGTAGGAATTAATCCGGCGGCCATTAGCCGACATCAATCATGCCGACAGCGCGCGCTGCGTTTGATGTGCGCCGCCGACCGTGCGACAAATGACATAGGGCTGGCAGCTTGAGAGTTTTTTTAAATTTTTTTTCAAGAATAATGGGATGGAGTAAATTAACCGTCGATACTACGCATTTAGCAATTACCCTCCCTTCCATTACACAATGGACAAGTAACAACATCTTATCGACACTTGCCATAAAATACCTACCGGTTTGAAGGTCAGATGACGGCCCTATTATATAGATCGCATGTTTCACAGCCAAAAATTTTTTTATATATTTTTGGACGAGCTCACAGCCCCCCTAATGTTAAGATGTTACGGGAGCCCATAGACATCTATAACGTAAATGCCGCCATCC